ATCAGTCCTTTTTCTGAGTCACCACCACCTAAACTCCAACACCACTCACTCTGTCAGTCTTTGTTCTAACTTCTCATTAGCTCATTGTATAAGCTACTGTTGATTACCATGCTATCTTTATGTTATATAATTTTGAATGGTCTGGCTCAGTACAAGACAGCCAGGTCTTTCACAATTTCCATCTTTGGCAGCATCACAATGATTATTTCTGGAAGCATGAGCATATTCTGAGTTTGTCATGACAGGATACCTGCTCACACACTTCTTGATATGTTCATTCACAGACTACAACTTAACTCAAGACCCTATCAAAGCTGTAGACTGGAAGCAGTGAAACTGAAAGCTTTCCTCCTTGCATGTGTTTGTTGAGCATGCTTTCAGCTGGTTGAAAGGGTGATTCTCTATTCTCCAGTGCCTGTCAGGTCAGAAGCTGTGAGACCACTGTATGCTCATCGAAGCATTGATGATTGCCATCTCACATCTCTCTTTATAATCTTCCTCCTCCCATGCATCTCTTTTCTTGGCTAGTTTGAGATTTTCCTGGGCAATGGCATCACCATTTTGGGCCTTTGTCTTCAGCATTGAAATAGCATCCTGCAACAAGGCCACATTGGTATCAGAAGAGCTTCCTGTACTTGCTTGAGAGTCCTGCTTTCAGATTTGCTTCTTGGCAAGTGTTTTAACTTGTTCATCATCCTCAGTATTCATTAATGCCAAGATGTTCTCAGCAGAATTACAGTCAAAAGTCTGGATGATAATGTCATCACCTTGGGCCCTGCAAATAATGTAGGTTTGCCAAGCACTTCAGTGATCAAACTGTATCATATACCATGTATTGAGCAGCTCATAGACTTTGGACTCCTTGAATGCTTGAAGAACCTTGAGTGAGTAGTTTCCAGGCAAGGCTCCCTTCTTTTGCTTAAGCCTTGGCTTCTTTTCATCTAGAGCTTCTCTATCATCATTCTCATCTATCTCATGATTAGCATCTCCATCCCCTCCCCCAGTATGCTCCTTCCATTCTTTGCAGGCCTTGTATTTATCCTATGTTTGCTTGAGCACATAGTTGTGCACCTGAGTTGGAGTAACATAACCATCTAAAACCTCCTATGAGAGCTGCATGTGCATGTGAATATAGACATGTGTGATATGATTATGTTGGACTGACTGTAATCCAATAGGTATTCTGCTTGATCCACCAGTCCTTCCAGTTCTTCTCTGTTGTCAGCCATTGAATTGCAAGCTTGTCAGCCTCAGATAGCCTGTTTGTTTTCTCCTTTGACTCTTTTTACTTGGTTTTCTTTGTAACAATGCTGGCTGGCTTGAGACCTGCTATTTCCTTCTGCATTTTGGAGAGCATATTGATTTCATCATCAGATGCTCCATCCTTGCAATGGTTGGTGCCTAGGGATGTGCACCATACTGTATATGATATATGATTGTAAAGCCATTGTTCTAGACAGTCATAGAACTATTTATATACCATGCCATATAGTTAGTTTGGATGCCTTGTCAGCATCAGTACAGGTACCTTATGGCCATCTATGGTCATTGATGACCATGCACCTGAGCATGAAATTGATTTGCTTATAAAGAAGTCAGTTAAATGTCTTTAAGACTGCTAAAAAACTATACAATGCACTTAAGTTTAATCTAGTCTTATAATCAACTATGCCACATTGAGCAGGATTAGAGGTATCCAAGATCTAAAGGAAAGTCACACTTATTGTCTTGAATGTGTATGAAATTTTGATAAGACAGCTAAAAGAGTGAAGTTAGTAAAGCCATGGAATTGAATGATGACTATTTTGTGTTGTAGATTGCTATAAAAAGACTCTTAGCTGAGTCAAAAGTAAGATAAAAAATAAACTGTATTATGACATTGTACAGCTGTCTGTAAGAGCTCTTGACAGTGATGGAACAACCATATACCATGCTGTACAAATGGACAATATGGTGCTTTTAGATTTGGTCTGTCTTTCATATAATGGTTACCAAAAACCATACAATATAACAATGGTGTGCATCCCTATTGGTGCCCAACTTTAATCTTGGTCCTTTGGGCTTCATTGACTTTTTCTTAGATGATGCAACAATCTTGGTCCACTGGATAAAGCCTGTTTCATTAATGAAACTCTCTTGTAAGAGCTTCTAAATTTTTTAAAAAACATCTCTCCCTCTCAGCCTTCAAGCTTCATTGATGTTATCAATCATCAATTCATCATTAATGAATCCCTCTGAGGCTCAGAGACCACTCCTCTCCCTATTCCTATGCATCCCATCCTCTGCTCAGAATTCTGTATTATTATCAAATAAAATAGATATATTTAAAATACAATATAGTACAAAAATAGTACCCATGAAGTCTTGTGTAGAGGGAAGCAATGATATTGATGGTGAGGTGATTATTGCATTGTTGTGGGAGTGATGTGAGTGAGAAAAGGCAGGCATCAGGATAGAGAGTGGGTAGATGACAATGATAACATCAAAGGAGTAAATGGAGCTTGGATTCATGCTAGCTAGCACAAATAACAGGGGATGCATGAGTTTGAGAATGGTGGATGAGCTGAGAGATGCACAGGAGGCCAATGTTGGACAGGATGCAGCAGGCAGCAGTGAGGGTATTTGTGATCATGTAGCTATGAATGTGGGTTCATCCACAGCACATTTGAGCCCTCATTCTATGTCTCAAATAGCATGGTCATTATCAGTGTCATTTATTGTTGGCATCCCAACATTGCTCTCACCCTTCTGCCCACACCCTCTCACCCTCTCACCCCTCCCTAGTATACCCTGCTTCCACTCCATCCCTAGCCTGCTTTTTGGCATGGTCTTGCTTCATACTCAAGTCCTCCCCACCCCTCACATCATCACCATCGTCGTCCTGGTCATTATGGTGATTGGCTTTGCATCTGTATCCCTTCCTAGCAGCAGATAGAGGCAGATCATGAGTTCTTGAGTGAATGCAGCACCATTCAGGCATTTGTCAGCTGTGGTGAATGGTGATTGGCCCTGATTTTGATGTTGGGGATGCTAGATGGGTCACAGCGATAACAGGATGGGGCTCAATAGCAGTGGCAGGACTTGGTGGATGTTATAATCAAACAGTGATGGTGGTAGTGCAATTCTTCACCATTTGAAGGGAGGAACTTATGCTGCCTTGCAGGAGGGCTTACACACAGGCAAGTGGGGCATGATATATGATATCCAGGCCATCTGGAGGCCACCCAATGAATGAAAAGTATTTATAAAACTTATATTAACATTGAAAGTAATGAAACATATCTTTATTCCATTCAAACAAGCAGCAGGGGCAGGCAGGTGACTATGCAATGGACTGATGGTGATAGTCAGACCAAAGGTCAGAAGAAAAAAGAAGAAGTATAGCCACTCGATCACTATCAGTTTACTGGACCAGAGCAATTGAGCAAGCAGAATGGATGCTCAGGATGCATCCTCTGCTTGACTTTGTTGCTCTGAAGTCCACTAAACTGATGGAATAGACTATACTAGTGCTCTAATATACATTTATGTAGTTTTTAGCATATTTAATGTACCCTGACCTTGATTAATCTGCCTTTTACAGTGAATATCACACATTTCCAGACATTTCAAGGATGCATCCTTTGTACACAGATATGTGCAGCCTTTCAATGGGTAAGATTGATTGAATAGACAATGGCATGTGTTCTATTATTCAAAACATGTGTCCAATCTATGGCAATCTGCCTGTAGACCTTGTAATCACTTTTCTCATTAAAGTGATTTCTTTGAGAATGATATATGCACAATTTCATCTGATGCAGTTTTGTCTGACTGAAGAATATTCTGGTCAGGGCAAGCATGCCTATTGACATGTAACACTTTAAATAAGTACAGACTATGCTTTTCCAAGCAATATACTTCAATTTTAGTATGTACTGTAGGATATGTTTTTCACACATGCCTGTTGTATACTTTTCACATCATAATTCATGCCTATGTTGGCATAGGATAGAAAATATATGCTGAGACGTTGTCTAGAGCATTAAACAAGCTAATGTACTCTCTACATTATATATCCAAGCACTGAGAAAGGTTTGAGACTGTACAATCTTAACCTATTTGCTTACTGGGACCAAGTTAGGGGTGTTTCAGAAAACTCTGAAAATCATCAAAATACTTTTTGTCCTTAGCTATCCATGCATTAAGAGATATAAAAAAGATAGAGTAATTATACATAACTTCAATTATCATATTATATTTTGAATAAGTGCAATGTACTGTCTGCTATTCCAGAAAATTTGCCTGCTTTCCAAAATTCCAAAGCATATACCAGATTGGAAATGGTATATTCCCATAATAAGTGCATTCAAGCCATGCCAGTGTGCATTCAGTCAAATATATAGTAAGCATAGGTTTAGAGCAGTACCAGTATATCAAATAAGATTTTCTGACTTGCTCTGTTTTGAGGGCCCTTTGGCAATGAGCAAGAGAGCAGGAAATTCAATGCCACAGTTGCTATCCAAGCCAGTACCAAAACAGGACCATTGAATATCACATGAGTGTGAAATGATGTCAATAATTAATCGTTGGTGATTGTGTCTGGTGCCAGGTGTTTTTGAGGGCTGAGACTGAGAGGCTTTTCTTAATAAAATCAATTTCTCTCACTTAGAGCTTTTCATTAATAAAATGGTCTTTATGAGTTGCTTGGTCAAGGTGTTTTCTTTGTCATCTGCTGCAGCATTGAAGGTGCTTGGTGGTATGTCACTGGTATTGTTGACTGGCTGTAGGATCTGTTGCTTGAGAAGTGAACACAGAGTCAGAGCCTGAGAAGCCTGCTGGGAGACATACTAAATGTGGTGATGGAGGGTAGGGAACATTGAACATGTCCTAGCAGTAGGCAGTATGCTGATTGACATGTACACCTTGTTGGTAGTCATGGTAGGCATCCTAGTACAATTTTTGAGGATTATAGCACTGAGTTGGTGTTGGTGTGGTGGGAAAAGTTAGGCCAGGCCTCGGATATGTATACTGGGTGGATGAGGGGCTCAAGAACACTTCCCCAGAGTACAGTGAGGGCCAGTGTTGCCCCAAGTTGTCCATATGTAGGCCCAATAATGGCAACTTGTGTTTTTTTGTGCTCAGTTGGCTGCCTCGGCACCACTTGCAGAGTTTCAGTTTCCGATGCATGATGCATCAATTTTTGGCTGTATTTTCCTACACTACATGCCGGAGAGCTGCCGCCATCATGCCATCAAATAAACTAGAAAATAAACTGCGCCATGAACTGCAATTTGAGATCCACTTTCCCCCCCCCCCCCCCCCATGAAGGAGAATGGGAAGGGGTCTGGTTTTGTCCAAGGAAGTTACAGATAATCTCCCTTAAAAAAAGAGGCTCCTAGTATTGTGACCTTACAGTAGATATTGAGTACACTTCAAGTTTATCCTGCATTACATCGTCATACAAAAGAAAGTTCCACATCACTGTCCATTTGCAATACTCATCAGACTGCCCACAAATGTCATAATCTACACCGACATCAGCAACGAAAGAATACGAGTGAGCACACTGTAGACTCACCAGCTTCGGCCGAATATCAACAATATCTTCGGGTACCAAGAAGATCAACGCGTTCATCTTTCTCGCAATGGATATTGCCAATTTTGCATTCTGTCTCCGGTCTTCGTAGTCGCCAGTTACGTCGACCGCAATGACCAACGAGGGGTCGACAATTCCTGGTCGGATGGCGTCTAGCAAGTCGAGGAAGAACAAGCCAGTTGAAATAGAAGGATCCTTAAACGACCTGATACTTCTTGTCCGAGAAATGGGATTCGCTGCTGTGGCGGCAGTAGTATTGGCCCATTTGAGTATCTCGGTATCTGAAATGGGTCGACCACCAGTAGACTTGCTCAAAGACGTCAGCGTCTTGGTGATACTCAGTCTGGGAAGGGTAAGTTTCAACAACGAAAGAGTAGATGGGAAGTACAGACCTCATCAGCTGCCAGACTAAACCAAGCACCAACGTCTTGTTCCCGTCGACAATATCTGCGCCTTGGATACCGACCATATGCAAGCCACTGCCCCTGGCGAGATCAACGGCATAGTTTGTGTTTTCCACAGCCTTGAAACGGCTCACGCCCATACCCTTGGACTGCATCCCGACATCTTCATCTTCCTCGCCGACGGCCCCACCAGATACATACGCGCCAAGGTTGGCTCCCCTTCCCTCCTTGGGTTTCGACACCCGTCTCCAAACAACAACACCAGGACTAATTTTGTCGAAAGCCTGAAGAATGACTAGTCCGTCCCTGAGATCTTCGACGAGGTTGAACACGCCTGGCTCAACGCCCAAAGAATTCAACCATAATGTGAAGACACGAGCTTCGCGTTCGCCCTCTGCATCAAAGTCCTCCACGGCGCCATAATCCGTCTTCTCGACCTCCGTAAGCGGGTCCAATCCAGGATGGGTGTTGAACAGATTAGCGACAAAGGCCAAGTTCAAACGAGGGTTGCCCGCGATGAGCGAGGAGGGAGTCAGGAATTTGCGACAGCCAATCTTGTCAGCGTTCGACAAGACCTGCTCCGCGCGCGTTCGAAGATCTGAGGTCTGTAGCGGAGCCAAAGAGCACTCTGCCGGCACGAGCTGATTGAGCAGCACAGTATAGTTCTCTCCGTCATTGACATCCCTGCTAAAGTTGTTGACCCGCCTATGCCACCCGGCCTTCTTGAGATGATAATTGAACCATCGCACGAGAATCTGATCAGGCGTGAGCCTCAAGAGATCCTCGATGGTCTCACCCTCTTCACACAGCCTCCCGAGCTCTGGATGGATCCTCAAATCCACACCACTAAGCAGACCCCTCCGGATAACCTGCCAAATCAACCCCAAGATCAGATGCTCCCTGCCCTCCTGGATATCGGCACTCCCGATGTTCACCACGGAGCACCCAATGGCCTTGGCACTGGTAATCACGATATTGTTATTCTCCGTCATCTGGAACGCATTCAATGGCTTCTTCGCCGTCGGTTTGTTGAGAACACGCGTATCGATGGTATCCGGAACCGAGTCATTGATCAGCTTGCACAGCACGAGTCCGTCCTTGCATTCGTCAAAGAGCTGCATCGTATCGGTAGGAATGGGGTATCGGCCTGAAATATCAGGATCGTTCTCAAGAACCTACAGAATCATGAGTATACAGCCAGTATTTCGAGAAACGCAAAGCCCACCATGTTGATATGATTCGTAAATTCGCGCCGCTCATCCTCATTGATGGTATGGCTGACATTCGCATTGCTCCCCTGCACGGTCATCTTTCCCTTTGCCGTCTTGATACCACCTCCAGTCGCTGCTTGCGAGTGTAGTTTGACATTAAGCTGTAGACCCTATTGAGTTGCCGTCTGCAAGAGTATCCTCCGAGTACACACCTCAACCCAGTCCTCCAGCTCGACCTTGCCGCTCGCATCGACGCTAACATGCTTGAGCGTTTCTCTAGCCTGGTCATAGCTTTCACCAGAGCTTTGCAGAGCTTGAAGAACTGCGGTCTTGTCTACACGACCTGGTGAGTCGGTAGATATCGAGCTGTGAATTCCGTTGTCAGCAAGACTGTCCAGCCCCTCCAGTGCGCACGCACTTGAATCGATTAATGAGATTAAGCATCTCGTCTCTCGAGACTTCTGGGTACTTTTTCTGCAGTCGTAGGGCCTCCATGGTAGAATATTGACAGCGAACGTCGAAGTATGAGACAGAGTTATATATACGGGCCGGTGGCTGTGCGATGACTCTATGACGAAGACTGCGCAAGGCTACGGCCAAGTCCATGAAACAGAGAAAAATATGCATTGCGTGTGGTCTAATTACTATCTACTAAAAGCACAGAGAAAACATAGTAAAGGAAAACTTCTCGATCCACCATCAATCACTGCATCCTGCCCAGCACCCGCGGTTGGCTCACATCTGCCATGTTGATAAAGATATCATCTGCAGGGTGTCGGTACAGTGGTGCCCTCAGTCTCTTCTGGTCAAGATGATGTCCAATGAAACCGATACTCCTGCCAAGCACGAACAAGCCGTTCAATGTACCGATCTTTAATGCAAATCATTATTAGTCAATATCTCCGAACAGATACCGGGCATCTTACCTTGATGTACTCATCCGCTTCCTCTGGCGTGAACGCGCCACTGTCCCTCAACAGGTCGACAAAGCACACAGCAATACATCCATCCACGTTCAGAATCAGGGTATCCTTCTTGCTCGTTGTCACCTTTTCCACAGCAAGCGCGTAGTCGAGCAATGAGTGGCTGGGGAAGTTTTTGCGAACATACTCCTTGACAAGCTCAACACGCAAATCAGGGTTGTTGACGCTCTTGATCTTGTGTCCAATACCGGAGACTAAACCCTACGTATCAGCACTGTATCAGTTACTCCAAAAAGGGGTACTCACTAAGCTTGTTTGCTTTTCTTGAGTTGTCAACAAACTCCCGCGGCGTCAAACCTGTGTCCCGCGCGTTGCTAAACATAGCAGCAGCTTCGTCGAGAGCACCACCGAACCGGCTACCGATCGTCAACAGACCGGATGCCAAGGACGAAATCAAGTCCTTGCCCGCTCGCGACGCGACGATCGTGTTCATAGCACCAGAAACAGCCGGACCGTGATCCGCAGTGAGCATGAGGACCATCTCGATGAACTTGGTCGCCCAAGGAGGCAAACGCCTCTTGAACCACAGCAGACTGACAACACCACCAAGCCCAATATCCTCCTTGAATACATCACTGATCCTCATACCAGCATACAACAGCTCCTGGCCGCGCTCATCGGAGATCGTCGAGATGAATGCAGCAGGTTTACGGATCAAGCCCAACTCCTGAGCCCACTTGTAGTCCATCGGAATAACAGGAGGGTCCCTCTCGGGCTTAGGCACAACAACACCCTTTGCGACGAGCGCGTCATACGTCTCCCGAAGGACAGTCGGCAACTCCTCAAAGGTTTCCGGAACAACGAACCCTGCCTCCCTCATCGCGCGGTTCTTCGCATCGGCAGTCTCGAGGTCAGAGTTGGCCATACTTCCAGCGTGCCCGAACTGCACTTCGGTAGTAAACATCTTGGCGCAGGTACCGATGGCCCATGCAACGATGGGCTTCTTGATCTGCCCGTTCTTGACGGCCTCGATCACGCGGTACTCTTCAACACCACCAACTTCACCGAGGAGAACTAGCATCTTGCAGTCGGGATCAGCCTCGTAGCGGAGGAGATGGTCGATGAAGGTGGTACCGGGGTAACGGTCACCACCGATAGCGATACCCTCGTATGTGCCGTTCGTCGTAAAGGAAAGGATGTTGTTAAGCTCGTTGGACATACCACCGGACTTGGAGACGTAACCAACCGAACCGGCACGGTAGAGCTTGGACGCGATGATGTTGTCCATCATACCACCAGAGTTTCCGATCCTGAAGCAACCAGGCTTGATACCTCCAACAGTAGCAGGACCAATGATCAGCACGTTACGCTGCTTGGCCTCCCAGAGAATCTCACGGGCATGTCTCTCGGGAACACCCTCAGCAATGAGCGCAATGCTGCGAATGCCGGTGTATCCACCCTTGAGAATCTCCATTGTGCTGCCGAGCACGGATCGGCTACTGGCAAAGTTGACGACAACATCGACGTCAGGGTGCTTGGCGACAGCCTCGCCGACGCTGGTGTAAACAGGGAGTAGGGTCTCCTTAGTACCCCAGTAGAACTTTTGAATATGATGACCACCGAAGGGGTAGATCATTGCAGCAACGCTAGGTGTAGCGCGACCGCAAGAGTAATCAAAGTCGAGCATACCCTGAATTGCACGGGGCTGGAGACCATAGACGAAACTCCTGGTGTGTTCATCGAAAGGCCGGTAGCTGGGTCGGGAAGTGGGAGAGCTGGTGTCAAAGTGTACGATCTGGTCATCGGGTTGGGTACGCTCGCCAGATGGGTGGATGGTGCCGACGGCAGAGGGTTCGGACGTGACGGAGCCAGAAGCAGCGGCAGGTGGAGTTCCAGGGGCAGTTGCAGGAACGCTCTTTGGTGAGTGCGACTTTGCACTGATGCCGAGAGCAAGAGGAACGATCTCTGTGATGTGGGTTTCAGGACCAAAGACACGGATGGGAACACCCAGGGACTCTCCGAGCAGTCTCATCGCCTTGAGACCTTCCTGTGCGGAGTTGAGAATGGAGCATACAAACACCGAACGGAGTCGGACGCACCTGGTAGTTGGGACCGCCACGTCGGACAAAGATCTTGACCCCAGAGTTGATGAGCTGTTGCTTGTACTCTTTCAAAGCGCGAATAATGCCCTTGAATGTTGCAGCGACATTGGTGAAGTTGGCAATACCACCACCGATGATGAGGATCTTGCCATCAGGACGAGGGGTACCGCGAGTGATCAAATCGACTGTGAATGCGTTAATCAGACAATAAACAAATGATGATGATCAGCACTCACTCAGAGTTTTGGCATACTCGTAGGTCTGGCCCTCGGTAGGGGCACCTGAATATTCTCCATAGTTGGCAAGTTCATGTGCAAACCCACACGCAGCGATGGCATCACTGTAGACGACACTGGCACCACCACCTGCAACCATGGTCCAGACGCGACCCTCGGGGTTGAGGACAGTCAGTTTGAGGGAGGCACCGGTAGACGCATCAAGTTTCTGGATGTATGCTTCCTCTTTGGTGAGAGAGCGACCGAAGGGCGCAGGGAACACCATGGGGGGACCACGGTCGGCAGTGACCTTGCCACCCTTTTGCACGACAGCCGAGCCGTCGTAAACGCTGAGGTCGCGAGCAATAGCCCACTTTTGTCCGCAAATGCTCTCAGCTGTCTGATCGAGCTTGGCAGCCATGTCCAAGTAGTGAATCTCAACCTTTCCGCTCTTGCTCTCTGATGCACCGAGACAGATGAGAGGGTTGATCTCAAGGTAAGCAAAGTGGAGGTCGACGTATACCGAGTACAACCGAATGAGGAAGTCGACGAGGGCGCTCTTCTTCTCGGCAGGGACATGGGTAAGGAGGGTGGCGGCGATGGTCTCTTTTGAAGGGAATGTGTTGGGCTTGGCAGATGTTGGGACGGGAATGTCGAGTTTGAGGGCCTTGGCGTCGACGTCGCCTACATCGACACCACCTTCGTGAGTGAAGAGGATGCTGTCACCTTCACGCGACGAATTGATGCAGACATAGTATTCAGTGTTGGAGGGATGAGGAAGGAAGGGTTCGAGGATGAAAGACACGAGCGGGCCGGAGACCGCTTCGACCTGGAAGAACTTTTTAGCATACGCGTTATATCGATAAGATCGACGGTGGACGCACCTTTTGGACCTTGCCAGCCCTGTCACCGATCCAAGCCATCGCCTCATCTATAGTCTTGTTGAGGGCCAGGAGACCAGCCTTGCCTCGACGCTTGATGAGCTGATCGGGCTTCGCGACGAGCTTGACGCCGGGCTCCCTGGTCCACGCTGGGAGCTCAGCAAGGGTCGTCGTCTGCTTGGTGTCCTCATCGAAGAGGACCTGAGCGACACGAGGAAGAGCTGGGGTTGCACTCGCGCCGAGCTGGATGGTCGAGTCGACGGTTGGCACACGAGTCAGCCAGTAGGATAGCAAGAGCTTGGCATCGTATTCACGGATGGCTACAACGACGGTGAGCAAGTAAAAATGTGGAAAAACTGAGGAGACGTACGTTTGGAGGACATGGCAGGAGTGGTTCAATCTTCTTGTTGGCTGATCTTGCATTTATATAAATTTTGACTCTACGCCGGGCCCCCAATTTTCCCACGATCGAGACTAGCGCGGTTTCTCTTGTTCGTTGCTCGTTCTTGTGCGCCTCTGTCTCGCTTCCTTCTGATCTGATTCATGGCATTACACTTGCTGGCTGTTCGAGCAATACAGCTGCTCATCGTCGAGCACTGTCCGGGACTTGCGGAGGAATGTAGAGACAAGGATCAGAGATGGTTGATGTCCGAATGTATGCGGTTTTGTAAGTGGGTTGCACGATTGGGGATGCCCACCCGAGTCCAATAAATCCGTTAATTATACAATATCCAAAATAAAAATATTACGCGTCATAAATCATCGTGTCGTCGTTAATTCGAAGTTTCCTTATCTTTCAAATTTTCGTCATCGCCCTCGTAAGGACTGCTCGAGGCATTAATCCATTCTCCCAGCGCTTCTCTTTCCTGTGCGTCGAGCTTGCTCTTCGAATCCTCCTTGCCATTCTTAATGGTGCTCTTCTCATTGGCGTCCCAGTCCTCTGTTGGATAGCGGGACAGGGATTTCTCTATTCGTTCGCTTTCCGACATTATGTGGAAGTCTAATGTCTGCATTCAATACTAGCGCCAACAGGATGAATCAGCGCGTACCTCTCTAATATAACCCTGCGTAATCGGTGTAAATGTTTCTGCAACCTTCCAAACATAGGAAAACGCACCTCTTAGATGTCCTGCAAAACAAAGCAAATTGCAAGCGGACAAGGAGAACGCAATCTCAGATAGTCCGACCTCGTCGTCGAAAGACAAGAGACGTGTTCGGAGATTGCCAAATCCGTCTCGCGTGACCGTGAGACATTCCTCGCGTCGCGTCGCGTCAACCTCTTCCTTCGACTGAACCACTATCTTCCCATATGGAACGTCGCTCTTGTCCTACTGAGATTTCATTTATGGCTGGAGGAGGAATATTCTTCTGACTTTCTCTTATAGTTTTTCTGTCGAGGATGACCCCTATCGACAATACCAACCGTGCAACGCTCTCTTTTCTCAAAAATTCTAATCTAACATACGTTTCATAGTACAGTGGAGCTATGCATGCTCGATGGCGCCACATACACCTAATCATCAAACCGGACGTTACTCAAGCAAAGATGAAATACGGAACACTGAGTAAACGCTAACTTTTCTTGGTCGTCAGGCGCGCTGATCAATGATTGCAGCCTTGTCGGGATTATCGAGATCGCGAACACTACTGACTGGCATCCTGTAAAGTTCTACATCTTGGCTGTGTCCAAGCCTGAACGATATAATCCTTCTTCCATATCTTCAACACGATTCGATGGCTACTAGCTTTTTCGCTGTAAAGACTGACATCGGTCTACGTATTGACAGTGTCCGGAAGAAGGATCGAAGCGTACCTTACGTCGTCTGCAAAAAATCGATCCACATCGGATATGGCCCAGGAAACTTTCGTCGGCTTTCTTCGGACATCACGACTTTGGCGACATGAATTATCCTGCCTAAGACGTTCGGTATGTCTATATACCAATGCCAGCGGTTCGCACTAACATTTGGCTCAAGTACAACCTCTTAAGGGCTCACTCAACTCTCCAAAGTCTTTAATCCGACATCCTCTATCGGCCGGACTTATGTAACTTCTCACGGACTTTGAGAACCAATCGGGAAGATCTGATGCTGTCACTGATATTTTCATCTGTGTCGTGTCGTTGTACCATTGCCAACACCGACAGCTATATTTCTCTCGCTGATTTCTTCAATGCTTCAAAACTGACATCGCTGATACTTGGTGCATCAAAGAAGAATTTGCGCGTATTCAATCGATCGCATCTGAAACGCAGTACGATGCAAACACAAATGTATCAACAACGCGAAGACAGGAAAACATAACAGCAGGAAGCGATCATAACACGAAACAAATATGTGGTATGAGCTTCTCATAACGCATACCACATCCTAAGCGCTAACGCGTAGTACCTCAGTCAGATTCTGCAAAACAGTCGCCGGCGAAGCCCCTCCAGCAACCAACAGCGTAACAACGTCCTGGCACCACTCTTGACAGTTCCGGAGCTTTGGCGCAGTCGGAGCCCTCCCCTCGCGCTTTCAAACGATGAGACCTATGAACTCCGAGATCAAAACAAAATAATTCAACGTACCGGAACACTCGCACTCCTGGGGCTCCTCCTCGGCAAAGGAACACCCTTAATCAACTCCTCTCAAGGACGCGACAGCTCACTCGTGCTCTCCTCCTCGTCGGCATCCGTCATATGCTCCAATCCTTCTAACCACGCCACCAAGCGAGTGTACATCAAGACCATGACTCGTCCCTTTTTTCAGTTGTACTCACGAACAATATTGAAGGTGATTCCCCACCGGCCTGAAGGAAGCCGAGTAGATCTTCCTGCTGTGTTGCCCCCGTTAAAAGCGGCAATCTGAGAAAGGAGAATCGCAGAGGCAATCTAACAGGCTGAAGAGGAAGGGTTCAACGACAGTGATTGATATTAAATAATAGGAAGTAGTGCGCACCTCTTCCTCTTTTTTTCATGCACTCGACGGATCCATCATCGTAAGTTATTTGTATTGTTTTTTGTTTTCCAGCCCAATAATTTATTATCTGTGGACTTTGGCAACAGCCTCGGAAAGACACTGATACAAACACAGGCTTCGTCAGACTCACATCCCTCAACAGAGTCGACCGTCGGGTTCTACAGGCTCTTGCAAAACCCCAATGCTTCGAGCCTGCACTTGGCTAAGCTGTAGAGTTGCCGTAGAGGGCACAAATTTGGGTTATCTTTTAGTGGCGACCTTTTTTCACAACTTGGTGCATCTCTCAACAGCGGCAGGGGCCTTCAGCCTCCGTTATTTCGCTTTTCAACCCTAACAAAACTCTTGTTCGATCGGTCCAGACTGCACGATCCTGCGTGATTTAAGATTCCACTGATATTCACCACGTACCGGCACTGCACCAATGCTTATTTTTCCATTATACTCCCGCCAATGCGCCGTTCTTTAGTCAAGCACTACACCTTTTCTGGCCGATGGTAGTTTTGTGCACCATATGAATCGCTTCTGAGACGAACACACGTCAAGTCATGGGATGAACTGTCCGCTTTCTGACGGAAACGAGGCGGGCCGCCAATGCACTCCAACTACTTTTTCCGAGGTTTTTTCTGAGCCTTTTCCCATCATGGGATGATTTTCGGTACCTGCTCATGAGGTAGTGGTACCGCCAAGCGAACAGTGAAATTTTCTCTCTCACTATAAAACCAGGATGCGTCTCATCGATCCTTCCCTAGGCGATGGTCATGTTGTGCTTCGTATTTGCTGCTACACTTCTCGCGTCGTTGTGCTCCACAGTTGTTGGCTTCGGCCTCACTGTGAGTGGAAACTCATACATTGTCGATACCTCCGGTGGTTTGATTTTCACTGGTGCGCCTACGGTACCTGATCTACGAAATGTTACGTTTGTGGACTATCTTCCGCAGTTGATTCGACTAGTGGAGATATTACCTCCATGAAGTTCAATGGAATTGAGGTGAGTGTTCGAGTACTGCGCTTCGCCATCTACTTCACATTATCTGCTAGGCACAAGACTCCAGCAAACATAGTCAGATTGCGTCAGGTATTGGTGCTGACTGCTCGTGGGTTCGAGGAGGCCATGACAACAACTGTAAGAAGCGCTTCATGATATTATATGCTGTGTACTAAATATTCCTACCTTCAGATATCACTGTAACTCCATCAGTTTCATCTGCATATAGTCCGAACTCATTCTTTTCTTTCTATAGATCACCTGTTCCACCAGCACTCTTATTCAGTATTCATCTCTTCCCTTTCCCAATGTTTTCATACTAAACTGCCTCATTATAGGTACTACGTCGCTAGATACAAAGATCCGTCTATCCATATGGCCACATAGTACGTCCGTGATTGCCAGCGTTGAAGACTGAACTAACAAGAGGGTCAGCACTACAGCTGAGCCGTCCGTTGGCGAACTCCGGTTCATCGCACGTCTCAGTCATTCGACACTTCCCAATGGTTATAGTGTATCAGACATTGCAGGCGGGACTGCTATTGAAGGGAGCGACGTGTTCTTGGTCGGCTCCCAAACAAGGTCAAAATTCTACTCATCCAGACAGTTTATCGATGACCAAGTCCACGGAGTTTCTGGATCCAACATTGCTGCTTGGATGATTATCCCCGGTACCGGATATGAAGGCAGCTCCGGCGGACCTTTCATGCGCGACATCAACAACCAAGGAGGTCAGTGATACCCTTTTTTTTCCTTTTGGCATCAAGCTCACCACCATTGGATCATGGTGTATTGACAGGCTCTCAGCAAGAGCTCTATTTCTGTGAGTTCTATCTTCCATCAATCCGATCTCATGCTAATGTTTTGCTGTAGACATGGTAAGGATCTCTGATCGGTTGTCTATGCATCTAAGGCATACATTTAGAACTCCGAGCACACACAAACAGAATGTTCGTTATTTTACTTCAGTATTGATGAGAAATGATCTCATTTCAGGTAGCATATCGGATGGGTCTGCATGGTCCTTAGTAAGTCTCGATGTGCGTGTTCTGAAAATTCATCATCTAACTGATCTTCTTAGTGCTTTATGGTTTACGACTGGATCCACTCCTTCGTCAGACATCGGTAGCCATCGTTCACCTACTGTTTCATCGGATTCTTAATTCAGCACTGTAGATACCTCATTCTGGGATGGCCTTGATGTAACAGGATGGGTCTCCGAAGGTGACAGAGGTAGGGTCAAAGGAAGCGCGACCGGCTATCCTTCGGCGTACGCCAACTATATGTCGGTCGGTTTCAGTAACAGCAACGCTCAATACTGGTAAGTTGTGGTGTTAATATTCGATTGTCGTAATCTCTCATTGGACTATGGTTCAGGGTGCGAACGGACTCGTCCGGTGCCTTCGTCAGTCCCTATATGAAACCGGGTACCTACACAATGACACGTCAGTGAATTTCTCCGATCGATGATTTTCTGCGAAAGAAACTAATAATTGCCTTCTCGACACAGTATACAAAATGGAATTAGAAGTTGCCACTCAGAGTGTCACCGTTACTGCTGGAAGCGTTGGAACGTCCAATATCGCGTCGACTGAGGCTGTAGGTGTTCTCATTCGGAGATTATTCGACCTTCTAACAAATATAACTTTAGACACCATCCGTGATTTGGCAGATCGGTGAGATTGATGGCACACCAAGAGGATTCCTAAATGCCGAGTAAGCAACACGGATGTTTTATGTCGCAGCTTCGTTCTGAAATTCTGCAGCTTGATTGAAACGATGCAGTAAGTGGCGCCTGAGCGGTTCCGTTCGCCGATTGAAAGACACCTTTTTTTCTAGTCCAAGTGACAGCCGAATGGCTGACTGGGGACCTGGTACGCGCTTAAACTCTTGCACGCGTATATTACCAGGCTGATTAGCCCTCAGTTACTTTCACCATCGGTAATAATGTGAATACGTTCCCCATGGCTATCTTCAAAGTGAGCCGTGAATTCCTTCATCTCGGATTTCCGTAACAAATTCGTTTTACACAAGGACATCGGAGCGGTAACGGTGAAATTCACGCGCTGTCGAGTTCGCAGGGCACGTACCGAAAATTGTCGTAATGTTTGAACGCGACGATTAAAAGGTCCTCTTAGGTGGCGCCCGAACCCTTCAAATCGCAACTACGCTCGCCTTCGCAGGCAAGTTTCAGCCTATCGGTGTCTCCGTGCATGATATGACCTTGTACCTTGCTTCTAGGTGGTCGCCCTGTAGTCACCGTCAACAGTTGGACGAGCTCTACGCCGTCTATTCCGGATCAACCGGATTCAAGAGGTATGCTCCCTCCATTATTTTCAATGACTGACATACCTTGAATAAGGTGTAACCCGTGGCACATGGCGTGGAAATGTAAGCGTTGTCAAGTACTTAGACCGTTGGACTTCTACTGATAAATCTGACAGAACATCATGTATACATACTCAATCCGTGCGTTCAATATCTTGTTCCTGTCACGCTACACATGGTTGACTCTGGGCTCTAGCTTCTGGTGTTCTGAACACCGGATCGACTGTAAACACTCTCACTATTTCTGTTGCTTCTGGGTCTTCTGGGTCAGACTTTTTGTGAGCGTCATGAACCAACTCATGTTCTGTTGCACTAACCCGGATGTAGGTCTCCCAATGTTGTCTTCGACGGCTTGAGACTGTACTAGGCCCATGAACGGAATTCTGCTTTATGTTTTTCTTGCCGACTTGGATTTTCCTGCCTGCCAGGAGGCACTACTTGCGGTCGGAAATTTCCTATATCTATTGAATACATAATCATTCATAAGATCACAAAATTTCCATTTCTCTTATCTCGTCCGTCATGCAATATGGTGATTCCCCAACGTTTATCACTGTTCCGTACATGGGGTAACACTCAATGGGCCTTTCGTTCTGTAGATCTGTTCTCCGTATATTCCAGAATATCGAATTTGTGGACACCGGCAGCCGCTATGGATAGCTATGATAGTGCAGGTCCTTATGTTCAGATCTTTCGCTCGCCTTTTGACCAAAGATCGAAGTTAACCCACCCGTGACAGAGTCCTACGGCATCCTTTCCCTTATTCCCCGGCCAAACCTTATAATATACTGCCTTCGTCGACAGCCTCGTTGCGGAGATCTACAGCGAGAGAACTGACCCCGATCGAGAGGTGTTTGTTTCAGTAAACCGTAGATGTTAGCTAGCGAAATGGAATAGCGTCAATCAACCCCTTGTTCCTGTTCTTGTTACAACAAATATCCCATAACGATACAGACAGCCCTACATGTACATACAACAAAACACCCTATGCATACAACCAACTGAAGAAAAGACAAAAATTGCATTCACTACGCCAACAGCCCTTTCTTCTTCAAGAAACTCCTCCCAGTAGCATCTGCACCCTTGATCGCATGAAAGACGACATCCACATTAATCACTCGATCCAGATTCCAAATGGTCTCGTTTTCCGAGCATGAAAGCTCTGCAACCTTTTTCAGTTGTCCGTCGGTCGCGCCCTTGGCTCCAAGTTGCTCCAGAGTAATAGGCAAATCAACAGAGATCATAAACTCGAGATACCGATCCATCTCCTCCTGAGGCGTGTTGGATAAGATAAGCTGGCAGATCGTACCAAAGTTGACTAGAAAGACGAATGAGAAATGCATAAAAAGATAAGCCAACTGTTATACCTTTCTCGCCGTGCATGAGATGATGCGTGCCTTCAAGCGCAGTGAGACCGTTGTGGATCTTCACCATGACTCTAAATAAGAACGCCAAGAAACGAATGATAATGGACTTACAGCATGGGCAGCAGCCAAACCGCCACTCTCAAAGCCGAGCCCAGAGAGTAACGTATTCGCTTCGACAACAGCCTCTAACGCAGGGGTAATAGCGCCGACCTTGTTCGCCTCGTATGCCAACTTGCCATATTTAAAGAGAATCTCCTCGCACTTGGAAGTGATGGCACTTGATACGAGTGTAGGAAGTCCACCTATCACAACCAAGTTGACCGACCACGAGTCAGATCATGAGACACACTTACCACCAAAGTTGGTACTATTCCTCGTCTCACGCGCCTCGACATGTGTCGCCAATGCATCACCCATACCCGCGCTCAAGAAGCGAGCAGGAGCATTGGCGACAATAGAGGTATCCACCAACACGACAGTGGGATTTGCGTGGAAGAAGTAATACTGATCAAACTCTCCGTTCGGGGTATACAGGACACTGAGGGCTGAGCAGGGTGCATCGGTAGAAGCTGTCGTCGGAAGGACGGCAGAAGGAACACCCAGTTTGTCGGCGACGGCTTTGGCAGTGTCGATAGTTTTGCCTCCTCCGAGAGCGATAACGAATTCAGCCTACTGAGCATCAGCTTCATTCTCACGAGAAACTAAAGCGAGAAATCCGACCTTGCCATGAGCACCGATATCCTGTACTCGGGCAATTTCCTGAATCGAGGCTTCACCGTTGAACCTAGCATATAAGACTGTCATTTTTCCTTCCTCCAATGCTGTCGTTAGTGCTGTTCCAGCTGGAAAAAAAAAAAAGTTCAGTAAAAAGGCCTAGTATGTTGACCACGGCGCTCACCAATCTTGTATACCAACTCGTCGGCAATTAACAGCGCTGTCTTGCCCAGCCTTCCCAAATACAGCGGTGCATTCTTGATAGCAGAAGGGCCTTGGATGTACTTGGACGGTGACTGGAAGAGCTTTTCGGTAACTGTATTCTTCGTAAGAGGAGGCATGGTGGAAAGGATGAAAGACGGACGGCTCTTGGGAAAGTTAAAGGGGTTATATAGTTGCGGACCGGGGCCGGGCCGCGATCTAAGAGACGTTGGGTCTTACTTAGCTTCCATGTCCCTATCAATACTACGCTCTATTCTCCCTCGCTTGACGACCCCAAAATCACGGCTGCAGCCATTTCTTGTTCATTCACAACGTCTTTCTACTCGCACCGAGCTGGAGAAAGAACTTTTCGAGCTTCGAGAGTCGCTGTATACGCTAGAAGAGCTCGTTGAGCACCCCAAGGCTATTGACTACTTACGGGATGTGCATGCTCACAATTATAAGGCCCATCCTGAAAGCAGCAGCGAAGAAAGGTGGATCGAAGTATCCCGTCGCCTCAAAATACCTGAGAGCTACCAGGACTTACATGAAATTATCTATGGTCTCACCCGCTTCAGCCCACCACAGATGTACCTTCCGCCAACGTTTCATGCCGACATATATAAAACTGCTTGGAAATTCTTGAATTCGTTCGCATCGCCTTACGCCAAATTTAGTGTTCAGAACGCCATAGGACTTGTACCTGTAACGGTTTCATTGTTTTGAAGATTTCCTTTTTGCCTAACTATTCCTTAGGGACTCGTTTCTACTACTTCGCTGTTCTACAACCATTTCGAGATCCTGCGTAACGAGCCCATTCCAAAATGCCACCAACTCGCCAACCCCCTGCCATTAGGAGAGCCTGTTTCATATAAGGTTCGTTAAGATATCAAGCTAACAACTTGCTCCATTGTGATGAAATTCCGAACAGATTACTCTGCACAACCAAATAAAGTTCGTTGTTATCGAGGTTGGCAACACCTACTTGGACTTCGGTCTGCGTGACCAAGAAGTATACACCCGGCTTTTCACCGAGCTCTATGGCCAGTGTAAGGTCTCCTTTCATAATATATCATGCTCATTCCATCGGAATAGCTGCCTCTCAATACAACAACTACGTCGTTAACCCTGACAAGCCTCACGACTTGAGAGTATACGGTCTCTTGAGCGACATGGATCAGAATGCCTTCTTCTCTTATGATCCCGTCACAGGTACGTTTCAGAAGGATGAAAACGTCTGTGTCACGCCAAGTCGCGAAACGACAATTCATGACGTGATGAGATGTACGCTTTTCCGATACCCATCATTTAGCATTCGAATGACTTCTGTGCCAGTATCAGAAAAGTTATTTAGCGTCCTGATGCATATATACAATGAAAACCTAGAAGGCTGGTACAGCAAGGTAAAGCTGCTCCCAAAGGCAAGCAAATTATCATACTGCGGCCGAAAGATTGCTCACCTATCTATGCAGGAGGACCTTCCCCAGATGTACACAAGAATTGATGCCGAGACGACGAAGCCTTGTGATCGTACTCTTCCAGACTTATTGGCAGAGGCGATCCAGGATGCGAAATTAGCGACGGAACTGCTCAAACAGCAATCGAACGGCGAAGATGCCTTGAAAGAGGGTTTGCATCTTTTGCGCAAAAGGTAAGTGCCAATGTTGAACTGGTGGATGTTGCTCATCTTCGTAGTCTTTGGGTACATCCCCTCGCTGACACAACCAATTACTGCTGGCTTGGTCTTCATGACGACCTCGATCAGATGACAATGAAAGCTACGTCAAATTTCCGTCGAGAGCAAAACTCCTTGGAGAGGAAATGGGAGAACTAGGAAGGGTACAAAACACATAGGTATTGTTAAGCAAACTCACGGGATATGAAACGGCATGTACGAATGACCGACCATAATACAGAGGCCATAGCTGACATTGATGATGGCTCAGCTGATACCATGTTACGTATCCTATACCATCTAGTAGACACTATCGGACTTATATCTACCCCGGGTTGCCTCCAGCTTCACCTACCGCCTTCTCCTCATCATGAACCTCAACGCGAACGGCTCACCAGTAACCGGCGGCAATGAGCCAGTTGGAGCAGTGGTTCCCATAAACTGTCCCCACGCCATCCTCAACTCCTTGCCTACTTGGCTCGATGTCGTCGAATACATGGATAACAAAGAGTGGGCTATCCAAGCTCTTAAAACTTCCTATCCACGAGTACAGCTCCATACCTACGTTGCACAGGTGCGTGGACCTGCACTAAGAGCCCAAATCATAGCATCGCTCATTCTGCTTGAATCTAGCTCAGCAAAGTCTGCTCTGATCTTCATGGATCGCAGGACGAGGAATGCCTACTTTTCCCTTCTTCTAGGATCGCCGAACACTGTCAAGCCTACATACGAAAGCGATCCGGTGATACAGAACCACGAATTGTACCCTTCAAGTTACCTATCAAAGACAATCCAACTGGCATCTCCCTCCTTTTCCCTGATGGCGTCCCAGACCTTTTCGCAGTTTTTTGTCCATCTTCTTCTTTCTCTCGAGCTATGCAGTTCTGGCTATACACGGGAACAGGGATATCCTCACGCTTAGCAGAACATTGCCTATCCTCTTTGCCAGAGGGATTGGTCGATCATAGCGCATTGACTATACCACTTTCACCTCGGATTTGGCGAGATGCAGACTTCTATCATGTACATAAGCCATTGGAATCAGGTGTGAAAGCCAAGGCTATCATTCAAAAGCTCTTTTCTGGCATCATCGATGATGGTCCAGATAACGTCCGAGGTGTCTCGAACATCTCACCCGACGACATGTACCTTTATTCAACCGGAATGAATGCCATATGGGAGGCACATATGATGATGATGCACACTCAGTCGAAGAGGCAAAAGTGCGCTGCCTTCAAGTAAGTAAGAGTCATCCACTCGAGTTTCTATCCTCTGAAACGTATTTTTCAGCCTCCTCTTTGCACATACCCATGGCATGCTAGAGAATTGGGGTCCCGGATACCACTTCTTCTCGAATGGCTCCATTGACGACTTTGAAGCCTTTCTCGCTCTCGAGCACGCACGAAACCCTAGTCAACCACCCATTTCCGCTTTGTATATCGATTTTCCGTCGAACCCTCTCTTACGGTCCCCTGATATTTCACATCTGAGAAAACTAGCGGACCAATACGACTTCGTAATTATCATTGACGAGACAGTGGGCAATTTTCTCACTGTACAGTTACTTCCCTACGCGGACATTGTCACTTGCAGCCTTACCAAGATTTTCAGTGGACTCGCGAATGTAATGGGCGGGGCGTGAGTATTTCATCGTCGTTCTACATTCCTCGAATAACAGTCTTGGCTCGTGCTTCTCAGTTTCCTTCTCAATCCCACCTCCAAGCATTACCGTACTTTCAAAACATACTTGGACGCTAACTACGAATATACTTACTTCAGCGAGGACGCCATCTGTATGGAAGCAAATTCACGAGATATCAAACGGCGTGTTCGAATGATCGACCGCAATGCAGGGGCCATAGCTGACCTCTGCTACGACGACTCGCTGAAAGAGGGGTCAGTCATCGATCGAGTACTGTACCCCAAATATCACATGCGGGAGAATTACGAGCGTTGCTGGTCGAAATATACCCCTGACCCAGGATATGGAGGCCTCCTCACGGTGGTTTTCATATCTACAGCCGCTGCTACAGCGTTTTACGACTCGTTAACGTGCTACAAGGCCATTTCATTTGGCACGGTGTTCACGCTCGCTGTGCCATTTGCCGTAGCAGGATTCAATGATAGACTGGAGTGGGCACAGGAGAATGGAATAGATTATCCATCGGTAAGCCTGAGTCTTGTCTGTGGTCCGCTTTATTCATATCTGAAATGTCATAGGTTCGCTTCAGCATAGGCTTGGAGGATTTGACGAGCCTGAAGGACTGCTTCAAATTGGCTCTTTCAAAAGCTGAAGACGCAGAAAAGAAGGAGGCGGCCATTTCTACAGAGGCATGCATCAGGATAGTTGCAGCACGCCCATCCTTGGCAGCCGCCATCTGATTGTGGGATGCCCATGTAAGTTCAAGACGTCTTCCATATCCAACTGTACATATCTGCTCCCAGAGGACGGTTAATAAAAATACTCATATGTCTTATACCCTTCTTGATCCTTCCATTTCTTTTCCAAGGAATTTTTCTCTCGGCGAAAACTCGACGCAGCTTTCACTGCCATCTGATCAAGGTCATCGTGAAGACCAAGCCAGCAATAGTGGGTTGTTTCAGCGAGGGGAAGTACCCAAAGACTACGGAGATGAGTAATGCCTACCAGGTTAAGACTCGCCCTTACCTTTTGCGCAAAAGTTGTAGGCCCTCTTTCAAGGCATCTTCGCTCCAATGCTGTGAGAGTTTTTCCGACGCTAATTTTGCATCCTGAACTGCTTCTGCCAGCAAATCCAGAAGAGTACGATCACAGGGCTCCGACTTGGTCGTCGCTGCATTAATTTTTATGTACATCTGGGGAAGGTCCTCCTGCATAGATACGTGAGCAACCTTTCGGAAGAGCATGACGATTTGCTTGCCTTTGGGAGCAGCTTGACTTTACTATACCTATCTTCCAGCTGTTCATTGTATGCATGCATCAAGACACTAAATAACTTTTCTGACACTGATGCAGAGGTCGTCAGAATGCCGAACCATGGGTGGGAATAGCATACATCTCATCATGTCGTGTATTATCGTGTTGCGATTTGAATCGACACATACGTTTTCGTCCTTCTCAAACGTAGCCGTGGCAGGATCATAAGAGAAGAAGACATTTTCAGCCGTGTCCGTCAATAGGCCGTATACTCTCAGGTCGAGAGGCTGGTCTCGGTCAACGATGTAGTTATTGTATTGAGAGGCAGCTAGTTTGATAGAGTGGGCACGATATATTATGAAAGGAGACCTCATACTGACCATAGAGCTCGGTGAACAGTCGGGTGTAGACTTCTTGGTCATGTAGAGTGAATTTGAACTGGGCAGCGTCCATCTCGATAACAACGAGCTTTATCTGTTCATGCATCATGATCTGTTCAGCAGTTCATCAGCACTAGAGCAAGTAGTCAGTTTCGATATTTTCACAAACTTGATATGAGACCGGCTCCCCTAATGGCAGGGGGTCGGGCAGTTGATGACACTGTGGAATGGGCTTGTTACGCAAGATCCTGACATGGCTGTAGAACAACGAAGTAGTACCAAAAAGTACCTGGGAGGAATGGTCAGAGAAAAGGGAATCTTCAAGAGCAATGAAACCGTTACAGGTTCAACGAGTCCTATGTCTCTCAAGTCGCCCCCAAGCCAAAATGATTCAAAAGGCGACGAGAACGAATTCAAGAATTTCCAAACGGTTTTGTATGTCTCGACATAAAACAATTGCGGAAGGTACATCTGTGGTGGGCTGTAGTGGGCGAGACCGTAGATAAGTTCATTTGGGTCATCGTAGCTCTTAGGCATTTTGAGACGACAGCATACTTCAGCCCACCTTTCTTCGCTGCTGCTTTCAGGCCGGACCTCATAGTGGTAGGCATGCACAGCTCGCAGATAGTCGACAGCCTTGGGGTGCTCAACGAACTCTTGCAGTGTATACAGCGCCTCTTGCAGCTCGAAAATTTCTTTCTCCAACTCTGTATGGGTGCAAAGATATCGTGGACGGACAAGGGACAGTGTTTTCAAGTAAGGCCTAATGAAGCGGAGCATCGTGGTTCTTACTTGACAGGGTCGTGCCGGAATTTCCCACGCATCTTTCCTATTAAACTTCTGGCTTCGCTGCAACTCGCATTATTCCCGCCTTCAAAATGAATATTTTCACTGCGATTTCTCCTGGAAGACTCGTCAGCCGCCGTATGTTCACTGCCTCTTCGTTCTTTCTCGATTCCGGTCTCTATTCGCGTCGAATGCCCTCTCAGCCTTCAGCTTTCAGTTTGCCTTTTATCCGCTCTTACTCTCGCAAAACTGGAGCCGACACCAAGAAAACCGACTATTCATTCATTAAATCTCGATCTTTTATGAAGAGAGCAGATGACCGAATCAGACTTTTCGATCCAGTGAGTCCCCCAGTGAGTCCAGCAGACCAATCCATCTCTTACCACCAGGTTCCAGGCAGTCGATTACTGCGTACGCCTTTTCCGTGGACGTATGACATACCGCCCCCGCGAGGACATAAACGACTCAAATGCTTTCAGCAGTGGGGGCACTATCGAGATGATGGTACCCGCTTTTTCCCTCCCTTCCGAGCCAAACTAAGTGATCATATTTTAGGGCAATGTTGTTGCTACATATTCTATTCTCGGTGAATGGGACATGTCTGATATGCAGGCCTATGCAGACCATACCGACTATCTGCCTCATCTGTATGAGGAACTTATGGGTAAGTCGTTCTATAGCACTTTCATATACAACATAGCTGATCTGTATCATCACAGCTACTATACAAACCCATACGCCCACTTCTCTTCCATACAAAACAGTATTTGGAATCATCTGTGACTTTGAGAAAGGTTCTGTATATCGGTATGACCACGCCACCAAAAAGATATATCCTGGTCCGTCTGTGTACTTCGACAAGTCTAAAGATGCTTCGTTTGTGGAATGGTGTACGTCTTGCTTTGAAATTTCTTCTCGCTATGAATTCTTAGTCTTCTACAGTTTTCTCAGAGTTCTTAGGCATACTGATGCATCAATATACGTTCACCTTACAAGCACGAACTGAAATCTGCCAAGATCCGGAAGAGGTCGGTCCTCTTAGATCTCAGGAGATTATACGCTGACATCGTCGCAAAGCGCGCAAAGTGGCAGTGCAAAGTCGACTTGGCTAATCGCGCATATGACTTGCTGACGAAAAAACCTGTTGACCCTATTGAGCATAAGAAGGATTTCAACGAAACATTAACTCTTGTTGAGCGAAGGTGTGCTTTTTTAAACACTGGAATTGGAACATCTTCACTAAGGTTGTGTAGCACCACTCAGTGGCCAGAGTCACCACGGTAATGACTTCTGCCACACGGAACGCAGGGATTGACAGAGTATTTGCCAAGTATACCCATCGAATTTATTCATAGGCCTGGGATTGTGTTCTTGACGACGATACAGCAGGGTATGATAGAATAAAATACGATACCCTAATGTGTTCGATATTATCAGTAGCGACATACAGATCAATGTAGTACACTACTTTATGCAAGATATGCCAAAAAAGTCTGTGATTCCAAGTCCGCGAAGAGAATATGAAAAAGCTCGATAGTAGACCAGCTAGAGAAGTAACAAGCCGATGCTGCCAAACACCAACGACAATCCCAAGCTCGCTATCGCAACACCGGCACCCTCGGCGCCATTGCTGGCGCTACTGGTGCTGGTGTTAGTAGCCACCGCACCCTTGGCTGAGCTGGTTCCCGTTCCGCTGGCTGACGACGCAGCAGAGGAAGAAGCAGGAGCGACAGATGCAAGGTTAGCAACAGTACTCCAGGTAGCGGCGGTGTTAGCTTCAGTGGAGGAGTTGCTGTAGGAGATGTACGAGACGGTGCCACTGGAGGTTAGCTGAACGAGAGCATCCGTAGAGGCAAAGTATCTTGCGCCTGAATCCTTAGCGGAAGGTCCGGCAAGGGTCTGAGTCGTGTTCGTCTAACAACGATTGTTCAATGTGTATTCGTTTTCTAACGTGTTTCATAGAAGCTTACCTCGACACTGACAACATACGTGGCCGACCCGTCATCGGGGATGAAAGCGAACTCTTCTTGAACCTATCACACGCCATTTAATACATTACACGAACGCATACAAAAGCCCACTTACGCCCGAGTCCTTGAAGAATGAAGTCGCCTGGCCATGCGAAGCAGGGAAGCTGTTGTCTCCGTATGATTGAGTCTCCGGCTGAAAGTAGGAAACTACGATCACATCCATCAGAACACTGCCCTCCGCAGCCAAAAATAACAAATTCAAAAAGGTGGTGCCAACTCACAGTGAATGACAAAGATGTTTGCAGTTCCAGCAGCGTTTCCTGGGACGTCCAAAAAGTGTATGTGGTTTTGCGCGATGGCCATGACGGGGTTGTAGCCAGTTGTGGTGAAGCTGGGAGCTTCGATGTCGTTCCAAGAGAGCGATGAAGAGTTGGCAACGTTCATAGATCCCATATCCAACGAGTAGAGCTCTCCTTTGGAAAGAGCATCTAAGTAACGGGGTGAGTTCAATGCAAGCAAGGAATACCAATACGCGACGTACAGAAGATATTGGTGTCATGGTCAAGGATGGTAACAAAGTTGGACACATCAAAGTTGCCAGTAGTGACAGCCTGGGTAGACCAGGAGCTACTCGCTGCGTTGTAGATGTAGATATTGGAAGGGTTTGAAGAGTCGGCGTTTAATACGTAAATTGCGTTGTAGAACTGGCGTGGGCAAACGTTAAGCACGACGAGCAGGACATTCAAGAAAAGGCGTTCACCTGAGAGAGGTAGCAAGTCGTGTTGGTGCCATCAAAAGGTCTATTATGAATAGTAAACCGAAAATTTCTTGGCTTGCTGCGGAAATTGCTACTCACGGCCGACCAGACGTTGTAATATCTTTTGCGCTACCTGGATAATATTCAGTACGCCAGTTTTCTACTTCCGCTGCTGCAATACTGACCAGACGCCCACGAGTCCTTCGTGCCAGCATTATAGTCCTTTCCATCGAGCCCAAAGGCGAGCAAGTTCCAAGAAATGTCAAAGGCGACACAGGCGCTGCCGGCGAGAGCAGCGGAAGAAAGAGAGAGGAGTAAAAGAGAGACGAGGGTAAGTTGACGAGTCATGATGGGGGACGACGACGGCGAGGAAGAAAGAAGTTGATATTTATTTATAGACGCCATACGGTCACACGGATCCATAAATATTTGGATTACGTTATTCAGGATCGAAAGCAAGGATATTGGACATTGCATTGGAAAGAAGAAAAAGTCATCAAATGGAATCCAATAAAACATATCATTCGGATACAACTCTCTACTCCGTCGCCAGCTCCAACTTGATCTTTGCAATCGCAGCGCCAGGGTTCAGTCCCTTGGGACACGTCCGCGAGCAGTTGAAGATCGTATGGCACCTATACATGCTCATCTCATTTTGCAGCTTCTCCTTCCTTGCTTCACCGTACGAGTCCTGCAGCATTCAATAAGCACCCGCCTACATGCAAAAGCGACCAAAGACATACCCGAGAATCGGCAATCCACCTATACGCCTGCATCAACGTCGCAGGTCCCAGATACTCGTCCTGGTTCCACCAGTAGGACGGGCACGACGTCGAGCAGCACGCGCACAGAATACACTCGTAAAGACCATCCAGCTTTTTCCTATCCTCCTGCGACTGGAGGAACTCGCCTGTCGGCTCGGTCAGCCTCGATCCTACGTCATGCCAAGCAATCATAACGTACCTTTCTCTGGGGGATTGTCGTTCTGGAGATATGGCTGAATAGACTTGTATTGCTTGTAGAAGTACGTCAAGTCCGGAACCAGGTCCTTGACGATGTACACTATGTGAGACAGAACGGTTAGACTCGTTGCAGAAGGCACAACGGCGAGCACTCACTATGCGGCAATGGGTAAATCTTGCTGTCCTTCGAGGTGTTTCTGTCAATCCTGCACAAGCACGCAAGCGTATTCTGCCCATTGATGTTCATCGCACAGGACCCGCATATACCCTCCCTGCACGACCTTCTGAACGTCAAAGTCGGGTCAATCTCGTTCTTGATCTTGATCAGTGCATCCAGCACCATGGGACCCGTCTGGTTCAGGTCGATAGTGTACGACTGCAGCATGGGCTTCTTGCTGGGTTCGTCTGGGTTCCACCTGTATATCTTGAACTCCTTGTTCATCACAGGCTTCTGCAGAGGTGTTGCCTGCAACGCCACAGACGACGTCGAGAATAGGCGGGCATTGGAAGAGAGCTGGGAAGAACAGCGTCGTGCCAGGGATTGCATCGTTGTCGTCGTGGATGCGAACAGAGGGCGGATTGGTGCGGAAAGGAGTTATCGCGTGAATTCGGATGGTCACATCACGTGATATTTGGTTACCGGACCAATCAAATACCGGTGGTTACACCTTACCCCACATTGTGTAATCACACTGGGGTTAAACCTAATCATATTAATTTCTTGGCCTAAACCAAGCCTAAACAACATAATCTACAGAAACCTTCCATTACGGTAATGGTTCTTTGGGTGTCGTCGGACTAATTGGAGTTTTCGACGAGAACCTCCTACTAATTCGCTGACTCTGTAGCGCAGCAAATATAGACCGACGTCTGTCCATGATGCCGGGACTAGCCGCAAACTCATATCCATCTTCCCCCTCCATCACGATCTTCATTGTCTTTGGGTCAATTCTGAATTTCTTATCCTGCAGAGCTGCCGATATGTCTTTGGGATGCTGTCGACCAGCAAGGAGATCACCCATCCCAGTCTGAGCACCAATACTCACAGCCGAAGCAATTGTCCCCGGCTCATGAAGGAGCCGGAGGCTGCGTCGGTCGTAACGATGAAAGAGTTGGATAATTGTCGCGAAAAATGCAAGCAGGAACATCGCAACTGCTAGCAGATGGACAGCGACATCACTTCAAACCAATCCTCAGCCCAATTCGACCCAAAAAAAAGGCGAATGCGTACCTCAGCCAAATCCGCTTCTGCACTGTCTTCATCTGAATCGTTATCGGTTCACTGTTGTCTAGGAAATATACAGTCTTTGCGATGAGCGTCAAATACGTCCTCTGAGTCACCGTCAGTACGCCATCATCAATACAAGATATAACGCCCACATAAACATTGGAGGACAGCCTCGCGAACGTATTAGCCTGGAATGAGCCGATCAAGCCCTCTGGACTCTGGACAGCAGCCTGAAACACCGCAGCCGGCATCTGCAGCTGCGTTGCATTTTTCCTGGCAAGCACGAACCTATCTGGATTCGTCAAATTAAACTCAATCCCATTATACGCTCGCCCGTTTAAAGGTGGACCGGTCACGTTCGCAGATAACGACGAGAAATTGGACGAAGAAGAGAAGGGACGTAATTCCGTTACTTGGGTAATATTCCCACTGGCTAAGTCGAGGTTGACATTTACGTCCCAGAGTGTGATTGAAGGGAAGCAGAGTGCAGCAGACGCTGCGGCCTGGGGTTCATATCTAGGTCCATATACATTAGGGACCGGGCATAAACGAAAGACATCGGACATACGTGAAGAACCAGAAAATCACTGGACTGAATTGCGGGGGAACATCGGAATCACACGTCGGTATATCAGTGCCTATCCCGATGGTGAGAAGAACAGTTCGCAGTTACACAGCAATTTTGACGTACCGAACAGGTTCGTCGCATTACGGTCAATGGCAAACGATATGCTACATCCGTTCGAGCTTACAGAATTGTTCCATCCACTACCATCCGTATTTTGGGCCATATTAACCTGTAAAACCGTGAAACGGCGACCTTGATTGAATGACAACTACTCACGGATACAGCCTGACAGCCGGGATCGCTTCTGAGCGCTGTAGTGTTTGCGTAAATCATGGTACTGTTGACAGGAACATCATTGGGCAGCTACAAGCGAGATGAAGACGACTCTTCGGGCGAGAAACATAAACACACCTGAAACGGAGCAACGGTATATCCATCAAAGACAAACGGCGAGTTGCCCAGGTTATATAGCACGGAAGCGGACGCGAATCCCGCTGCCGTCAAAAACGCTAGGAGAAGGTGAGACCTGTAAACAGGAAACGGCAAGACGCATACAAGTCAAATCATCAAAGTTCTGATTCTGGTTCAATCCGATGGCAGCCAGGGTATTCACGGTAGTATCTATGGAAGAATGTCAACGGCATATTGATACGGAGCATTATGCGCACCTGGCAATCCCCACCAAGTATCGCGAACTACCAACAACGCAGCTGCTAAGGGTTGGAAAGTAAGGGATAGCAGCACCATAAGAGACGCGAGAGCGACGAGATAGTGTTTATTGGCCGCTGCACGCGACCATACGAAAAAGTTGCTAGTCAACAAAATCAGCATAGGATCACGATGACATAGTAAGAACAACCGCACTTTGTTCGGGTATAGTCTAACAAGAGACTCCGCTTAGGTGGGGAATCACCATGAACGAGGTCGACATAAGGTTGCATCTTTTTGATTTCGATATCTGTCCATGTCCATAGGGCGACAATCTAGGAAGACAGAAGGTCAATACGCCGCCCAGAACACATAGAAAAATACGGCTTACGACAGCGGCAACGGCGACGGGAGGCAGGGTCTGCATCAACTGATGAGTAGATGGTGGCAACGCCGAACAATGAACGCACATAGACGTAGTGCAGAACGCCAGTCTGACTACTGAAAGCATCATTCGTGGCCCATCCTAAGTATCATCAGGAAAGGAGAGTAAAATCTATGGATATCGCACACCAGAGTTCTTGTTACTGAAATGAAGGGCGACTTCTAAGCCAATGGCGCCTAATATCATCAAGAGAACAAAAGGTATCCAGAACCAGGGTCTTAGTGGGTAGGGTATCCATGGTTTAGTAACAATGCCAGACTCGTCTGTGACTATAACAGATGAATACGAGAAAGACTGAAAGACGATGAACACACGTTTAACAGCCGTGTTCGTCCACGAGGCCGACTTTTCTCTATATGTAGCATACTGAGGCTCTTCAGACCCAAGTAACCGATGAGAAGGTGTCGCTGGCGGGCTGTCGTCGCGTGGATTCTCTATTCTTGGCTGCAGGTCGCGTCAATAGATGAGAGGTGAAGACAAAGGAGCGCATACAGTCGGGGCCATAGCTCCTGGAGGCAAGGCGGGGGGAGATCTCGAGGGCTGGTCATCATTGTTCATGGCGGTAAGAGAGAGCGTGAGAGGAATGCCCAGCCATCATTGCTTCTTTGTTGGATGGTAGTTGGCTGTTCGGGCATTTCGGTGATCATCATAGCGTGGTTGGAAATTGAAATTCGACTTTGCTAATCGGATCATTACTTTACTTTCCTCTCTTTGAAATTTCAAAAGTTTCTCTACTATGCGGTGCTCAATACTTTCTCTGAAGGTCTATACCCTTTGAAGCAGAAGCTATCAGTATCAGATGGCATCGCCCCTCGATTGACACTCATCTTGGCCAAGCAAATACTTGTCATTTAGGGTTTTCAGGATTCTTCTATTGCATTTATCCTCCTGAAGGGCGGGAATCTGTCCCCGTTCCTGATATTCCCAGAGTGCCATTTATTTCACAAAATAAAGGCCTGTGTTCTCCAGCCTTCAGATCAGACAGCATGAAAGCTGTAATGCAGCCACTGAGGACGTCATTGTCTTGAGATACGCTTACAAACCGAGACCGCCTCAGCCCACCTTGTCATTACTCTCATGTTCAAGCTACACTCCATCATCCCTGTTATTCGACGACTCCAGCCACCTCTTGGATCGTATCCTCCGTCGAGACAGATCTACACTCGCAGAAAGCTACAGAAGAACATTGACCAGCTACAAGAGGGACTGTCAATCTTGAAAGACATGGTTATACATCCCAAGGCCACAGACATCTTACAGGACGTATATACCGACAGAAACGACGAGTATACTGAAAGCACCAGTGAAGATTCAAGGTGGACCAGGGTCGCCCGACGACTCAATATCCCTGAAAGCTACAATGGCCCAGCCGAACTTATTGACAGTCTCACCCAATACAGTCCGCCGTATATGTACCTTCCACCCTCATGGCATACATCTCTTGGTGAGTTCCAGGCTGCCATAGGAATTGTGTGGATAAGTTTCGTTGTTTACCAGAGTTCCGTTCAATCTCATCCTATGTTACCTTAGGCGTTCCATTGCATTACTTCAATGTTCGGTAAACATATCAAATTTCCGCAAGAGAAGCCCATTCCGGGGGAGTTTTGGCCGCTTTTTACCGATGTTCCACAACCTGAGCCCGTCTGGTATCAGGTTTGCCGTGATTCTACTTTCTGACTCGGTCTGAACAAACCCTAGGTTGTCATGCAGGGCCAAATCAAGTTCATTATCATCATGGTAGAACAGTTATCGCGATCTAGCATAGACGTATACACTCGGCTTTTCACCGAGCTCTATAGTCTGTATAAGAATAATTCCCTCCATCCTTTCTGCTTACTTTGTCCGCGTAGCCGCCTCTCGATACAATACAGAGTCTGACGACGGAAACCGAATGCCCAGCGACTACTCGAGAGTCCACGGTCTTCTCACTGATAGACCAGCAGCTCACTTTTCATTCTTTTCCTATGACCCATTCACATCCACTTTCCAGACGGACGAAGACTTGTACGTCAACCCAAGTTCTACGACAGCCCCTCGTGATATGGCCAAAGGTATCTCCCAATCCTAGCCTCTGTGTCATTTTGATGACCTCTTTTCCAGTAACAGAAAAGTTTTTAAGCATCCTGATGTATGCGTACAATGAACTTCTGGACGATCGGCGCAGTCACACCGACCTGGTTCCCAAAGTAAGGAGGGACTCAAGTTCTGGCAAAACGGTTGTTTACCTATTCATGAAGGAACATCAAGTTCACTGGATATCTACAAAAACTCATAACGCGCCGAGATCCCTTTCGGATGCATTGGAAGAAGCGGCCCAATACGCGAAATCGGCGACAGAAATACTCAAGCAGCCTGCTAACAAAGATGCCCTGATACAAGGCCTGGATTTTGTGAGCGAAAGGTATGTGCTTGTGGGCTACCTATTGTGTTATACTCACTTCCGCAGTATTCGAGTACTCCCCCTCTGTGAAGATTTCGACAGCTCCTGGTCCCGATACACGACGTCGTTGAGAGAAGAAGGCGCTACATGGAGAGAAATTTGCAGTAAGTAATCGACGAATGTAAAATAAAGCGTCAAAGTTAAAACTGGCTATGCTCACAGCGGGCAACAGACAGGGCTCTTCTGAGATCTGAGTTAATACATAAATTGTACAGATAGCCCTTCGACGGTGGGCCAGTGTCTGAGGGTGTACGTCTCTCGCGAATGGGATTCCAGAGGATCGACTTCCCCTTGACAATTGACACTTAAATGGGTCCGATGGGACGGTCGGAAACCGCTGGTGATGCCACTATAGTCCCGACAAACGATGAGATGAGACCCTGTGAGCTTAGTCACCACCTTATTGAACTTTTTCGTACCATCTTCGCGGACTTGGAATTACAAACATTTTGGCATATCTTGCATGAAGTAGTGTACTACATTGATCTGTATGTCGCCGACGAACGCATTAGGTATCGGATTTTGTTGCTATTTCTCCGTCATACCCTACTGCACCGATGTCACGAACATAATCCCAGGTCTATGAAAACGCCCAACCACGTCAATGAAGATGTTCCAATTCCAGCCGAAAAAGGCATACCTATCAATAAGAGTTATTGCTTCATTAAAAGGGTTTAGTGCTCAGCAGAGCCACCAGCTCCAAGTCTCATTAGGAGGTCATGTCCTCGCCTGGCAAAGTCGGCCACTCGCTGCCACTTTGCGCGCTTTGGAACAATATCAGTTTATAATCTCCCGAGATCTAAGGTGACTGACATCTTCCGGGTCTTGGCACATTTCAACTCGTGCTTGTAAGGTATGCGTATATTGATGCATCACTATGCCTAAGAACTCTGAGGCAACTGCAGAAGACTGAGATTTCATAGCAAGAAGAAAATTCAAAGCAAGACGTACATCATTCCAAAAATGACAACTCATTTCCAGACTCGTCGTTGAAGTAGACAAATGGACCAGGGTACATCTTTTTCGTGGCGGCATCATACTGATATACAGAACCCTTCTCAAAGTCACAGATAATTCCAAACACAGTTTTATATGGCAGAGGAGTAGGCGTATGGGTCTGTATAGTAGCTGTAATGATGATACAAGTCAGCTATGATATGTATAAAATCAGCAAAAAAGGACTTGCCCATGAGTTCCTCATACAGATGAGGCAGATAGTCGGTATGGTCTGCGTAAGCCTGCATATCAGACATGTCCCATTCACCAAGAATGGAATATGTAGCAACAACGTTGTCCTAACATGCAATTGGTTTAGTTCGGGATGGAGGGGGAAAGCGCGTCACTGCTTACCATCATCTCGATAGTGCCTCCACTGCTGAAAGCATTTGAGCTGTTTATATATCTTCGCCAGGGCGGCATATCATGCGCCCCTGTAGAAGTTGTAGGCACTGAGAAATTACCTGGAACCTGCTGGTAAGAGATGGATTGCAGCGGGAGCTGCTGGGGACTCACTTGATCGAAAAATACGACTCGTTCATCTGCTCTCTTCACAAAAAGAAACGGGGGGTTGCATATGCTCACTTCGAGAAATCGTCTGGACATGTCTTTCTTGAAGGACAGGGGCAGAGTACTAATAGGATGCGGCTTTTCGTCTGCGGGTGAATGGGACGTTTCGATGGTATCTTTTTCCGAGACGGGTGAGTTTTCGTTTTGATAGGTATCAGATCCGAATGCAGAAGAGTAAGAGCGAACGGAACGCAAATTGAAAGCTGTAGACTGAGGGCAAGCTGAGGATATTACAGAGGGCATTCGACGCGAATAGAGACCGGAATCGAGAAAGAATGAAGAGAGTGTGAGCAGACGGTGGCGACCGACGAGTTGTCTAGGAGAAACTGCAGTGAAAATATTCATTTTGAAGGCGGGAATAATGCGAGTTGCAATGCGAAGCCAGAAGGTTAATAGGAAGAAGGCGTGGGAAGGCCCTGTCAAGTAAGAACCACGATGCTCTGCTTCATTAGGCATTGCGTTCCTTGTCCGTCCACGACGTGACCTTTGTACTCGAACTGAGCTGGAGAAAGAAATCTTCGCGCTGCGAGAGGCCCTGTACACACTACGAGAGTTCGCCGAGCACCCGGAGGCTGTCGTCTACCTACGAGCTTGTGCATGCTTACGACCGACCTGAAAGCAGCAGCGAAGAAAGGTGGATTGAAGCTACGCCCCGTATTCCCTGCTATCCAGCGACTCCAGAAACCTCTCGTGTTGTATCGTTCCTCGGAACAGATTTACACTCGCGAACCGACTGCAAGAGGGACCGCCTATTTTGCAAGACGTGGTCGCACATCCCAAGGCCATGGACATCCTACAGGACGTAGATGCTGATAGAAATAATGAATATACTGCAATGAAGATCCGAGGTGGGTCAAAGATGCTCGCCGCCTACGTCCTGTCCCAAGCTTCGAGAAGGAAGACAGGTAACATACGAACGACGGTTTAGAAACTGCCCGCTGTTCTGCTAGCCATATACAAACTATATGACTGTATCGTCTGCGTATCTATGAATAATTAATTAGTGAGGTTCCGGTGAATGATACGTGCCCAAACTCTATGGACTCATATCTAAGATGCTGATTGAATTCCCTATCCAGAAAGTACTTTAGATATGAAAGTACTCGTGGATGGACAGTGACTTCTTAAATTGCCACTTCTTATATGCTTCCAGAATGTTCTAGTCGGAAAATCGTGAGTATGATTTCATAGAATGCATGTTATGAATACAACGGGCTACCACAGAACCCTACTAAGCCGACCGGCCTCTCCTAGAACCAAGTCGCCTTGCTTAAGAACCACATCAACTGCCGTGCTCTTCAAGCTCAACGTTGGCGTTATAGAGTCTGTTATCGCGTCAGACCTAGCAAAGGCTAAAAAAAAGCCCAACACGAACCGTTGAATCCCATCCTCGTCGTTTCCACCACCCCATGTACTTTGTCAATCGTGGCATTCAACCTTCCCGTCGATATAAAATGAGAAAGTTCGCTGGAGATACGTCAACTTCCTCTTGAAAAGGAGTACGTTACATGGCAGCTCACTTGTCAATAAATTCAGGCCTGACACCGAATGCTTGACCCATGCTTTCAAGGGTCAAACTCTTGTAACTTTGCAAGAGCTGATTGTACGCCAAAATGCGCATTTCGCGAACATAGAAACGCGTATGAGGCGACAGGAAGCGAGAAGGAAGCAGATGGGTTTGTTCAAGGGTTGCTGTAGGAAGACGTTGAGAGAATTGTACTGTACTCGAGAAGATTGCACCCACCCAAGGCGACGAAAAACTTGTCGTAGTGGCATTCGTAGAGATTCTTGACGATATCGCCAAGCGTCGGCTGTTCGGGAAGTAGTTGTATTACCTCCGGAGCAGATATTATCTTTTAGGGAAGAAAATGAGATTGTTTCTTCTGAATGATGTGCAAGTAACTCGTACCTTCTTCTTGAGATCCACACGACCGAGAGTCAGTGTATTGGCAATGACGGTGAGGGCCACGAAATCGTTGTAGCTCAAAAGTTCCGTAGCTGTAAATGTTGACAGCGCATCGAGAAGGAGCTCACCGCCTCGCTTGAATTGGCGAATGGAGAGAAGATGAAGACCTTTGTAGACCTTTAACCTGTTACGTCGGTCCCAGTCACCACCCTCTTCCACCATTCTGCATAAATGATTTAGACTAGAAATAAAATAGTTTCCTTGAAAAGGATACTGACTTTTCCGCCTTTTCAAGTCCCCAGATAATTAACGGCCTATCCAACCAGAAGAAACCGATTCTGACAATTGTCAGGGCAATGTCTATCCGACTACCCAACCCAGGTGTCTTCTCCAACGCCACCTTCTGTGCATCGACAGCCTTCTCTCGTTCTCCGATCTTGGTGAGGAAATTTGCCCGAGCACGTAGTGCGTCACTGATTTCGGATTCGCCTTCCATCTTCTTTGCACTCTCCAGTCGCTCATCAAGTTCTGTCAGCGTTTTGGCATTTTCTCCTTGCATCTTTTCCAGTATAGCAGCATCCTGGGGAACTATAGATGGCGAAAGAGAGGCATAGTATGGAGCCATCTGGTCGGCATTGATAGCTTCCAGCAGAGCATGCTTGGAAGCCTCATGAAGATGGGAAAGAGACGGCGAAGAAAGAATAAAGAGGTGCTGAGGAACAGCAAGATTGGGAATGGGTAGTACGACTTCTTCGCTCATCGTGGTCGTGGTGTAAGCACGGTCAGTATCGACGACGCGACGCGTAAGTTGCTGATGTAAGCGGATAAGATTAGATCGTGCCCAAAAAACCATTTTACAATATTTTACGTTTTACAGCTGATGTTGTATTCTAATTATCTACCGCTTCCATTGCTTCCTCAAGAGCTGTTTCTTCGCTGTCCTCGGGAGTCTCATCTTTCGCACTGCTTTGCGTTTCTTCCACTTTGGTAGCGGTGTCCTCTTTGGACACTTTTGCTGATGATGCTTCGCGGCCAGCAGTAGTAATATCTGCTCCGAATATTCGCAGACTCAAGGCGCTGTATTTGATCCAATGAGTGACTAAGGTATGACAATGTATAACAGCTCCGTACCTTTTAGCCTTCTTGTCAATCATTAAACTGATAGATACATTGGATTTCCACACAGGAAGAACAACATCGTGGAACAAGCTGGGAAAATATGTCAATAAAGGTTTAGATGCGCATTTGATCAATTCACGTCGCGCCTTCGGACTTTTCGGGTGGGAAACGTATGATATGGCTTCCCGCAGCTGTCGTTACATCAAATCATAGAAATTGTATAGCCTGCTGAAATACTCACGTTTGCCTTCAATGATCGACTTGAACGGTTCGGAGAACGAGGAACACAAAGGATAGTAAGATTGTACCAATATCCTCAACGTCTGGAGATTTCCGTCCAAGATAGTTGCAGGATCCGTGAAAGGCAGTACTACGGGCAACCCTTCTCCCAGGATCCTAAACTGGGCATCTACGCCCTTGCCAGCTTCTTGCTTAGCAAGGACTTTGGTTCCCGCCGCATTCAGACGTATCCGACCATACTCATTGTGCAGTACAACCTGTTTCACGATATCATTGGTAAGGTACATGGACCTGACAGCATCGCCTTCGGGGTTTCTGACGAGGACATTCGAAGCCGGAAATTCAGAGGTCAAGTGCAGACGCTCGCTAAGAGGCTCAGTCAGTCAAGGTACAGGGTCCGAGGTCATTACACGTACATGCACGATAGAAGGATGGGATCGTCGGGGCGTAAAAAGGTGTAAGGGTTTTCTTTGAAGGATCCGCCACTGCCGGAGGCGGCTTTGGATGCCTTTTCATCCTTTTCGTCAGCTACAATGTCCATTGGTGCCTCGTCACTTGCTTTGGTTTCTGCAGCTTCTTCGACTGCGGCAGGAGGCTGGGCATCATCCCCGGCCAGTCGGGGCTTTTTTGATTCTGGCACATCCTCTAGGCTGTCCGCGGTCCTTTTCCTGTGTATTAATAAATAAGAAAGTGGATCGGTGGGAAGAGAACAGCAGCAGACTTGGCTTTATTTGTTGATCTCCGTTCTAACACTGCAACGAAGAAACCTCCCGAGTCTTGAAGGTGAGGGTATATGCGCATGCTTGGGCCGAGACCATAAGATAGATATGTTGAAACAGGATACAAAATAACTTACCACCGCGGAAGATTCAGTCCGTCAACGTCTTGCGGAGGCCAGTGCCCTGGCGTCAACTTTGTCTCCGACCCTGGTTCAGCTGACAAGAAGGCATCATATGTGTCGTAGGTGGTTTTAGCTTCGCGGTCAGATGTCGGCCTCCAACTTGTCAGTCCAGGTTGACGCTTCAACTCAGGTAACTGAGAAGACACATCCACAAGATGGAAGTCTTACAAGATTAAGGATACATTTATCGACAGCATTTCGTAGCGAGAACGTACCAGCGTGAGATCTGAGAGCAGAAGCTACGACCGCTTCGTTCTCAACAGGGTTCAAGGAACAAGTCGAATACACTATCCGTCCATCTGATTTGAGAAGCTTCATCGCACGCTGTAGAATACGAAGCTGTAGACTGATCTTCACATAAGCTAAGGTGTATGCGGAGGGCCTGTGACTGACCTGTGTAGACCATTGCCATCCTGTGGCTGCCATTTTTTCCATATACCTATATTCTTCCTGATAGTTCCGTCGCCGCTACATGGGACATCACAAAGAACGCGATCAAATAACAGCTGCTCCGTACGCGGCGGGACACCCGCAGATGCATCTCTTTTTACAGGAGCAGGGATTTTGATTGAGGGATAATTCGATGCGTCCATGTTAGTTACCATCAGCGCAGGACTGGGTAGACGCGCAGACTGGTGGATGAGCAGGTGAGTTCGTTTGTAATCGCTGTCATTGGCAATGAGAAGACCAGAAGGCATGGAAGTTGAAGTAACAGTGTCATTTGCGTGCAATGCTTCCAATAGCTGCGCCGTTTTGGAACCTGGCGCAGCACACATATCCATGACCTGACATAAAAATCAATGACGGCGAGAGGGACCTTGGATCATCGACGTACATGATGATGTGGTTCAACTCCAAGGAAAAGGGGAGGTAGCATGCTGACAGCCTCTTGCCTGGAGATATTCCCCTGGTACTGGCATAAATTTCGAGCGGTAGCAACATATCAAAGATAACGAACCACTTCAGTTTCGCCGACCAAGAATGAGTGGAACTTTTTGAACTCGGACGACTTGCGCAAGACTTTCTTAGGAACATTGAACTGCCATGCAAGGCCTTCTGGATACCTTTTAAACGTTGAATACATAGCTCGGGTCAATAATATATACGTACCATAGGATCTGGACTGGAGGCGGTATTGACTGGCCCTCAAAGGTGACATTGCTCAAAGTTGGTACATGTATGTCCTTTACCATCGAGTTCAGCGTATGAGCCGTCCTGTAGTCAGTCAGTCAGTCGAGGCAATCGATAGAAAATCACTACACGCACTCCCGACTACCAGCAACCCTGAATGTAGTAGGCAGGTGCTGCCGAAGTGTCTCCACAAACAAGTCCCATTCATCATCAGGGACAATTTTCTGGGCCTTGTAGTACGCGAAAAAGCGCTCGTTTTTCATGTCAGACTTGTCGATGAGGTCGCTGCGATATTCATCTTTTTTCTGCCTTCGACCACCGCCGCCCCTGCCATCTTTGTTCTGTAAGACAATTGAGAACGAATCGCGACGTGATGATGGAGAGTGCAATGACCTTGTTTCTTCCCATTGCGCACCCTTTAGTTTGTTGAAGTTTTCGGAAAGGAGTCAGCGTTCCGTCGGACCGAACTCCGATGCTTACCACATTCCAACATGAGCCTCCCAACTTTTATCGTTCTACGTTTTACCTTCATCCGAATGGTTGAGTCTGGTTTACAGAGACTAGACTGGGAGCGGAATATACATGACGGCTATTTTGTGGTTGCATTCAATATGTTGCGCCAGAGATTCTGTGCGACGAGCCACGAGGTCGGCCCAACTTTACCATCTTCACGGTGTTGTTTTCGCTGAATGGCTCCAACGGCCAACATATCACCGGATGAGGCAGAAAAAATCTCTACCAATCATTTGGGACCTACTTTTACCATTTATGTCTTGGCATGAAACGGCTGGATATCTGATCCACGCTGCTCTACCCTCAGGACCTCTGAACATCTGGAATGGATATCCGCCCAATAATTACAGGAGTTGTCTTTCCATTGGGCCCCACCATCGTACCCCTCGTGCTGTTGCTTCTGATTATGAGAATTCTAGAAGGAGAGACACATGGATAAAGATCTGGCGTACTCCATTCTCCATTTTTTTTCGAACGAAATACACGCGCTCTGGAAATGCCGGCCAAACACGCGGGTACCTTGCTGCAAGTATATACCTTACCCCCATTTGGTACCACCAATTCTTCGCGTTTCGCGTTTCGTGTTAGGGTCGACATTTTTGTTGGAGAATTTCTATCATTATGGAATATTCCCTCTGTGTACTTGATCTTCGAATCATACAGCTGCGCATAGATGACACCCTACCCTTTTCATGTACGAAACTAGCGCCTTCTATCACCTTTTCTCCGCAGTCTGTGGCCCGTCTGGCATCTCTTCGTTCTGATGCTCGTCTTACTGCTTTGTTATTTGTCGTCTGGTCTAGAGCACCTGCCACTGGCCCTGTTCCTTAGGCTAGCTTACGGGAAGGGAATACACCGATAAAACCATGAGTTATAAGAGTCTTGTCAGAATTTTGAGCCCTGCCGATCGACAATCATGCAAACCTCAAAATACCGACGGCTACCGTATCGCTGGAATCTGAATATACCTCTCATCGGGTAAAGTTCTTGGTAAAAGCTCGCCAAGCTCTCCTGCAGTAGTACCTTAAGCGCTGAACCGATTTTGCATCCGGGACTCGACCCTTCCTTCGTAATGTGTCAGGCTTGCCATGTTGTTGACCAACCGATCATTTCACTTTCTGGCTCAACCGAAAAGCGCTTGAAAAGCTCAGCAGAGACCCTGAAGCAGGATCTAGAACAAGCCGCGTAGCTGTGAACTATTATGAGATCTCGCGGCAGTATTCAACCAGATCGATGAGACCGAGTCTCACCGATACCGGAATTTTTCTTTAGCTGGAGCATTCTGCAGGACTTTGTATGTAAATTCGCTTGCTTAACTTTACCCATATCTTCTTTCAACACTACAGGTACCACCAAGAATATGTTTTCTTATGGATGTTTTAACATTAGTTCCGCGGATGCTTTCTCCGTGGCACGTGGCAATCAACGTTTACTATCTACCTCGTACAACGACAGATGCTTGCTGATACTTGTCGCGTCTCGAGCACAGGTTCATCTTTCTTCAGACCTACTCCGACGCTTCTATACTTTGCTATGCCAGCTGCCAGACATAGAATTCATGAGTGGCTCCTATTCACCACGTATAACTGACGCCCCACACGGGAAGAGACATTCTCACTTCTAATCCAGCCCCCGCCACAATGCAACGACGACCTCTTCTCACAATGGCTTCGTCCATCTACCATCTATCTTATCAAAGCCGTCGTCCTGCTTGTACTCTGCCACCCATACCCGAGTCGCGATCCGTCTTCTCTGTCCATTACCAAACCGCGTTCCCGGAACCTTTTAACGCATACGAAATCGAATACGTCGATGACGACGAATCTTCACTGGGCTCCCTAGAATCCTGCTGCTGCTCCGAATGTCAGCGGATCACTGACGTAGACGCCGAGATCCTATTCTCATCAGGCCCAGCAACTCCTCTCCGGGCTCCAACTCCAGACGAATGTGATAATCCTTCCGAATCTTCCGATAGCCACACCTCAATGAGCCCTATCATCCCGACTTCAGAAACACGGAAGAAGAAAACACCTCTATCTTTTCTGCGGTCGTTCCGTGTTTTGTCTCCCGGGATCCCTTCGCGAGATCCTGAAGCAGGTTCCGAGGGTCAGCCAGCCGAAGCCGAAGGTACCGTCAACAAGGGAAAAGGCATTTTTCGGAGCCTCAAGTCTAGGTTACTGAATCCTCGGGAGATGGCGAGTCTGAACAATGCTGCTGATGATGATAGCAAGTCAGAGAGCTCCAAGTCCGAGAATAGGAGTCCACGCGCAGGCATCCTCCCTAGGCTGCATTCTTTTTGATTATGACTCAAAGCGGTGTCGGTATGTCGTTTTCATCTAGCTATTCATCAATTGCGTTGATTAAGTTGTTTCATTCATTCAAATGGGCTGTAGCCTTTAGCTTAGAACGTGCTTCTTATGATCCTTGAGATATAAATTCCCACTTGTAAAGAAAATTTTGCGGATGTATGTAGCGTGGAATCCGTATGGATCGGTCAGTCTACGTACTTGTCGGAATCTGGGCTTTCTTGACATATATCACCTGTCCGACCGTTTTACCTGAATTGAAGTCTTTCTACTGCTCATACTAGCTGTCATCGTCAGACATTAAGTGTCGCACAGTTCATCGAAGCTATAATATTATGATTTCTGGCGGTTGCACATTAATTATCGGGAGCATCTTTCGCCTTGTGTTCATATCATCACTGAGTAATAAAGGTCATGATCTGCACACAGGCATCGTTGACCTTCCGGCTGTACATGATTGTGGAGTGCTTCAAGTTCTAGGTGGTGAGCGCAAACGGGAACGACGCTTGACATCGAGGGGTACTGTACCGGTGTTTACGCAAGGCCGATATATTTCGGACGGAGCGCGGGATCGTTCTAACGTAGGGGAGAAAAGTTAGCCTGAGGTGACGGATGGCTTGCGCTGAGTTGAGCACTAGTGGACTCAGTTGATTTTTTTCCGGGCCACCGATCCATTTGCTCAACTTGGACCCGTTGCACCTTTTTCGGGGCAACTACCATAAGGCTCTGATTGCCATCTTCACGCTATAAAATCTTTGCAATCAGGAGAGACCAAGTCTTCAATTCTATGACGGGTTTTGATGGCTTCATTTTGACATTCCAGCCTGAACTTTCATCCCAGGAGCCGTTGGAAATCCCGGGTGGAAGTAGTCGCCCTTTGCAAGTACCCTGATTTGTGCCCTGAGGTCCCCTTAAACCTTTCCTTGCCAAGAATAGGACGGAAGGAAAGATACATCCAGGTCAATCTAGCTGACCTCAGTGCCTGGCCCTCAGCGCCTTAAAGTGATTACCGGAGCTTGGAATGAGGGATTGCGTCGTAGCCGAGCCTTACTTGGAAAAGGGCGGGAGGCGGACCGACGGCAACGTTTCTTACGAAACCACCGATCGCAGAGTACCTCCGTGCCTTTTTCAGCTGAAATCAGCAGAGTGCGCCGGATCCCATGCCAACTTGGTCATGTGCGGCCACCATCACGGAAGGGATACCCGGGACGCATCACGGTTTAGCGAGGAGACGTCGGCATCGCAGTTGGTACCTTGCGACTCGCTGTCCGTATCGTATGAAAAGTCGGCCTCAGTCAGGACTTATCGGCTTGCGAATGTAGGATCGTACTCTGAAACGTTAAAGAAGCGGCACAAGTTAAAGGGACGGCACAAGGGGTCGCCTTCTTTCTCCTGATCACGGATGATGTTCAAGGCCATGAATAACAGAAGCCCTTGAGAGAATCATGGACCCTAATCTTCTGGCCCCATGATGTAGGATGGACCTCGTATCCTGGTCATTGCCTGATGGACTCCACTTGCAATCACGAAGGGATCTGCTTCTGAGGCGATGGACAGATTAGCAGCTGTAATTCACACAGATGCCCCGATCATACCAGAGCGAGGTAAAGATACATCTTCATCATGTTGTCTTGAACTTTGTATTATCGTTTTACGAAAATGCCGATCTCGCAAATTCTCAACGCGGGTGGTAGCACTGGAATGTTGTTCCATCAACTTCTGTAGCTGTTGAACAGCTACGGAGGCGTATCATTTCATCTCACTATAGTGTTTCGCGGCCTGCAGGAGGTTGTCTCGCAACCTATTGTCCACCGGTAGTCGACTATTGGATGCTATGTCGTTCATCCGTCTACGCCTTGACCTGGGCGTTGATCGTCCACGATCGATTATAATTACTTACTGTGTAGGAGGCTGTGCACGTCGCGCAGTTTATACGCTGGCGGCAGGCTAGATATGGACCGTAGTAATCTAAGGACGTTATCTTGTCGTCCGCAAGAGGATATCATGATGGGGAGTTCTGTCCTTCAAGGTCGGAACGAACGATATCCAAGTACTAAGTCTTCTATCAGGCAGCCACTGCTTCTTTCCAGGATGATCGAATCGCACATACTACAGAGCTAAATATGTGTTTCCTTGATCAAATGATTCTGATCGAATCAGCTGTAGTGGGGAAGGCTCAGTGTGACTTTGATACTCGGGAGATAGTATACTCCAGACGTACAGCAACGGTATCGCCGACTCTGTGTGCGGTCTTTGCCAACGTCGGCTGAAGCGACGCTTGTTTTGGGGTCCCAGCTAATACTGAGTCGCAAAGATGGTATCCGAATGGCGGTACGTATATTGATCGGGAGAAGGTCGGTCACCCAGGATGCTGGTACGCCACCGACCCTGCAGGACTGGGTTATGCTGCGTGCCATGTAATCGCTTAACGGGAAGGGAGGCCAAAGTCACGGAACTCGGCTCGGGGGAATACGAATTCGTCGTTGTTCCGGTGAGAGAGGCGTGGAATGCGAACAATGAACAGTATTTGGTATGCGTTCCACGCGGAAGATAAAGTAGGATTCTGGATCAAATTGATGGATTATCTTTCGTACTAGAAACGTTGTACTATGTTACACGACGACCAAAGTGTTGTGCTGTTGAGAAGAAAGGATCCGCCGTGGTCGGGCGCCCACTTTAAGGGAGGGGGGAAGAGGGAAAGGACGATAATTTTTTATGATTGCTTGATAATCTGTGCTGACTACTGCGGCTGGGTGGTGGCTGGACGAACCTGGATGATTGTTTGGCTATGGCAACAAGTGCAAATACGGTAACCAGTTACGTGATTGATGATGGGAATAATCGGGTTCGGAGTAGTTGCTCATTCCACCAACACCGGACATCGTGGTCTTCGGACGACCATGCCAGATTCACCTTTAAAGTCCATCCTCTCCCCTTTCGTTTTTCTCAACATTCCCTACAATCATGTCTTGGTTCTCCCTTCCTACAGAAATGCATCTCGCCATCGTCGATGTCCTCGACCACGATGAAGTCAGAGCTCTCTCTACTGTCGACAGAACGACCTATGATGCTTGTGTTCCGTCTTTGTTCAAGGTGCGCTACTATCTCTCTCATATCAGAACGCGTTATTCATTTCTCTCTCTAGTCGGTCACATTGAATAGCCACAATACTCTCGAGCAATTCCTTGGAAATGTACCCAAGGATTATTGCAGATATATCCAGTCAGTCCAGGTCGACCTCAAGCGTCTGGACTCCAACGGAAGTGGAAGGAAGGAGCGAACCAAAAGTCTGGTATCACTTCTTCAGGCTTGCCCCCGCTTGAATGTACTGGACGTACGGAACGCAGGGTATCTTCACCCCGATATCCTATCCTGTGCCCTTCCATCCCTAAGGAGTCTCATTTTGAGCCATTGGGATCCCGAGGAAATGATGCCTCTGTAAGTTTGTTCGAAATGATAATGGTCCGTGTTACTGATCCTCGATCCAGGAGTGAACGCCTTATCGTTTCACTTGCAGCATCGCTTCCGATGTTGAACCACCTTTCTATTAGCGGTGCTACACGAAGTGCCCTCCATGCTCCAGACCTCGTTGGTGTCTACCCACCCGTCCCTCTTGTCATCGGAGACAGTGATATCCCAGCTCACCCCATCCTCGGAAACGAATTGAGTCTCCCCAGTCTGCTCAGACTTACCGGGCTCCGAACCCTCAGCATCAAAGACACGCACCTCGGAGATGCTCGCTGGGACACGGAGCAAGTCTGTTGCCAATTAGAGCGCGTCGATTTGATGGGCAGCTGCGAGGAAGGTTGGACTGAACGTATCATGGCTCGTGTAGGCCGTACCGTGGGCGAGTTCGGCTTAAGCGCCCCGGTTAAACCAGCTAGCGTCAGGGGCTTGGCGTCCTTGAAGAAGCTGCGCATTGGAGAATATTTCCCCGTAGACGACGTAGCTGAAACGCTCGAGGGCTTCGCGGACAGCCCCATTGAACGCGTCGAAATGGAGTGCTTCGAGGAAGATGTCGTCGATGTATGCACGGAGCTAGAGGGATGGTTGCGTGGCAAAGGGGAGGGCCTTTGGCAGAGACTCGAACGCGTGGATGTCAAGGTTCTCGAAAGCTCGTACGACGACGACGACGAAGAAGAAGAGAAGATGAGGGAAGCCATGGGCAAACTCATGAGAGTATGCGGCGAGTTGAGGGTCAAAAGCCGCGTCTGTGGCAAGCGCAATGGCAAGCAACGAATCCTCTCCGAGAACATGAGATGGCCAGATGGGCGAGTCCGAGCCAACACCGTCTAATCTGATTATCTTTCAACAAACTTCTATTATCGGGACTTCAGTTGGACTTGGGTACTGGGTATCTTTATTTCTTTCATATCAGTTTTAATATGTACTACTATCTATCTGTACTATCGAAATACACCTAGTCGATATCTTCACTCTTCATCTGAAAACTTTTTTAACGCGGTCTACCCGGAGCCTTTCAATGTCCAGCTTTGACGGACAATGAGGTAATACCCTGTGGCGCTGGTAAACTTTACTTGTAAAGTAAGTGGGCACGTGACGTCCTTTCAATTAGTTCAACACTGATGTCCAGGGTCTAATAACCGGCGGCAACGGCATCCACGAGCTAGTATATGTATTAAAATTCAAAAATAACGTGGAGATAGTTTAGAGGCGTTGACAACCGCTGACAGCTCATTGATATATGCAATTGCTTAAAACTTATACAGACAGGATGTAACACATATTGGGCGAGAAATATCCGGGAAGCCAAGAGAAACGCTGCGGTTAAAGAATTAGCACTAGTAGCTGACGGGTTTACGTTTGGGCCTAAGTGGAGTCTGCGAATTCACCGAGTTGACAGTGCTAGTCGATGGTGAGCGATCCACCTCAGCTTCTACCGAAGAGCTGGCATACAGCATAAATGGCTCCCCACACATCGGACCCTCACAAATTGTCGCAGTTCCAGAGTCACGGACATGACCCAAAACAGGTCCGGGCGGAGAGGCGGGAGTGTGATCGGGTCTCGGGGAGAGTGACAGGCTCGCGCTGACGTTGGTGGCAGGCGTTTCCGTACTACATTGCGACAACGTAAACGGTGTTATCCCGTTTCGCGCGGATATAGAAAAGTCAATGGTCTTTCGAGGTTTGAATTTGGGGAGAGACTTTGTGTCCGGGAAAAGACGACCTGTGGCAAGGAGGAGCAGGACGTTCACCAAGCCTGAAAGTAATGTAAGCCATACTATATAAGGAGCTGACGGCGCTAGAGCTTAAGACGGGTTACCTGTCAAGTTGAAGATTACCGCCGTTGAGAGGACCGCCCACTCGGGGACGTGAGCCCCGGAAAACTCGGAAAGGCGGGCGAGGCCTATGGGGACGATGAGCATCCCGTAGGCGATCTGGACCAAAGGAGATTCAGCGCGCATGTTTGGGGCCTTGAAAGAGGCACACAGTTTACCGGGTGCCAGACCATTTGGTGTACGACGCGTAACATTGAAGAGTCGATGTAATCCCGGAGAATGCTGAGTTTCCAGCTTTGCCCACGGGGGACGAAACGAAGGCGGGGTTTCCCTGAAACAAATATGAGGTTGCCGCGGACCCTGAGGAGTATCGCTGTGTACAGAATGAAGGAGGTACCCGCTGAGATGTACTCCTATATTTGTTCTAGTCAGGTCGACTGTAGGATGGACGGGAATCTCACGAAAACATATTCAAGGAACCTCTGTTCACGGGGATAGGCACTGGTTATCCAGCACCTCAAACGCTATGAGGAATGAACGGATACATGCTAGAGAAATGACATACCAGCTGCCAGAGATGCCGAAATATGGGTAGTGGGTCGGGTGAGACGTTCGTATTGCGGTGGGTCCGATGATTACAATGCCGATAACGAGTCCCCATCCGAGTGTCAGTACAGCAACGAACGCGGCGCGATTAGATGTCCACCGCAGGAAGAGGATGTTGAACAAGTGAATTGAAATACTGAGAGACCAAACAGCGTTACCAACATTTCCGGCTTGTTTGATGGAGCCTGCAGGGATAAGGTGGTGACGGTAAGTATAAAGAAGTGACGTCGGGGTTACCTTGAACGGCGCAAAAGTCCGTCTGATAGACGCTGTTGAGTGATAACCATCTAGCGTTCATGACGGTACCGGAAGATTGAAAAACATTAGAGATGAGAAGGGATACAAAGTAACCGAGGATGTGGGTCCCTTTGTACCCCTTGGATCTAGGAATGACCAGCTGAGCCGTTATGAGACTCTATGCACAATAGAACGGTATGATAGCGCACAATGAGCGCAAAAATGGCAGCAAGCAGGGAAACTGCCCCTGATACGGATATCCACTAGTTCGCCCCGTCAGTACGTCCCGACAACGGATTGAATAGAACAGGTACTCACGAGAACTCCGTTGAATTCGTATATGTCATACGGGTGCACAGATTCGAGACGAGTCGGGTTGATCTCAATAGCAGGCATACGATATAGAGAGTGGATCACCACACCAGGTGGGACGTCAATCCTATACGGAGGAGCGGGAGAATTGCGGTACGAGAAATTTCAAAGCAGGAGAGGTGGACAGTACAGGATATTTTATCTATTTGGCCTGGTCATTGAAGCGCATCTTTGTTATGGTAATTCAGCTGGCAGGGGTAAATCACAAGTGTTCACGACGCGAGTACTGCCCGAGCAATATACAGCGCCTTGGTGTCGTTTTTGTGTGTACATTTGTGAGTTAAAGCGCCAGAAATGAGCCTAGAGAGCCCAGTTTATTCTTTCGAAAAGCCTGGCATATGGGACGTAGTCGTCGCGCCGGTAGTCAACAGTTCAGTCGGGAGTCAAAAGACAAAAATGGCAATGTTGACAGGTGTTTGATTCGGACGACTTTAGCGAGTCATACGCTCAGCGCTGTTCTAGGTTGCCAGCGATTTTCCAGTTTGCAGCGTTCGTTGCGACACTAGCAGCTGAAGAGCACGGACCTGAGTGCTGTGGAGTTTATTTATAATGGGTAAGTGACATTCATTCCGGTTCTCTTCCAAGCAACATGATGCCAACTCACACATACCTATGGAGAGATTAAACAATCTCCATGATATCAAAGACCTTTCGGCTCATCCTGGTATATTTCTCAGTGAAGGAACCGCTTGAGTCGGGGGTCAAGAACGGAGATCTGATTGCTGTTTCGTGTCCAAGCGCCCTACCATCTTTACTGATTGTTTTTTTAGCAGGCGGGAAAATACATCTCTTTTTTCTCAGCAGTTGCTGTGTTGGACTACCATCTGATTTCCAAGGATTGTCTGCCTCAAGAATCTTGAATCATTAGCGTCAAGCTTCAAGCCGTGTTTCAAGTTCAAATTTCGTCAAGATATCAAGCTTCAAGGTCAATGCAAGGTCAACAATGATGTTAACAAAGGATTGGTACCAAGGCTGGTACATCCAGAAAGGCTGTATCTAATTTTCTCAGTTTAGGCTCGACTTTGGACCAATTTTCTGCAATCTATCTTCAGAGTCATGCCTGCAGTTTGACGTCAAAACGCCGTGCGGCCCGGGATATACCGGAACTTATTTTTGTAAAAGGAAATTCAAAGGCCATTTCTTTCACCAACGACGGCGACGTTCAGTGTGCCCGTCCGCTTCTTGGATTCCATTCGGGGCACATGGTCGCCTTTGTTCGTTTGCCTCTTTCATTAGTGTCTTGTCCAGGATTTCCTTGCAAGCCACCAGCATGAAGAAATATCCCGGCTTTGATTACGATGCGGGCAAGGACCAACTCGAGGGAGATGTACGGCCCTCATTCCAGCCATTCTACCGCTCTGTTTGACTGACATTTGTGCCATACAGGATCTCTCTATGCTGGATGGCGGCAATGCTCCTCCGGAGGCCTTACCAGACGTCGAGGATGATGGTGTAGACGAGCCAACGAGCCAGGTGCGTTGATATCGATTCTTGACGCGTCTTTATCTAAAATTTCGCCAGTCTTCGCAGTGGGAGGGTGATATCGAAGATCTTATCATAAATTACCAGGTGCGTCGCGTGCCGCCTGCGTCTCAAGAGTATCCTCCAATTCGCTCTATAGGAGTGCAATAATAATGCCATCACTAATGTGAGCGCCCCGACAAGCACTCAGCAGGTCAGTCTTCGACACTGCTATTCTCCAAGGCTTCTCTGACTTCTGGAAGATGTGGGCTGACTTGGACAAAGAACCTCTCCCGCTAAGTAAAACCTTCTCGTATCTGTTTCTTTGAGGCAATGCTGATCTCGTGGAACAGCGCAGGTAGTCGAAGAATATGAAGAGAAAGGAAAAAGAAAGTCTAGCGATACGATTGATCTGTCATCATCTGGAACGCTGGTCGATGGTCGAAGACCAGCGAAGATGCGACGCGTTGATGAAAGCGTGCAGGATGTCAATGATCAGCCCTGGATCGTGGTCAGTATCCTTTCTTTCTTCTATAATTTCATCTGACACTCCTCTCGTCAAGGCGCAACACTCCTCTCTCGTTGACGAGTTCAACCGGCTCGGGATATCCGTTGGCGTTCGAATGGAGCTTGCAAGATTGAAGACGTCGGGCGAATTGACAGAGGAGGATATGTGGAAACAGAAAGATTGTCTCCAACATTTGATAGGATCTAACCAGGACGCAGCGCTGAACACTCGCGCGACGTTTCTTCCGGACACAGCTTCAGATGACGATGGTCGGCCTGTACGTTTTTCTCAATATTTCTGTGCTACGTTCACTTATATAACACTTTGTCGCAGCCGCCTTGGGAGGAGCTTGATCTGGAGACTGACCATCTTTCCGAGGACCCATATGCTGGTCTGGGTAACAGTGAAAAATGGCCAGACTGGTACGGAGGGAAGGTCACCTTCCGGGCTCGATATGGTCGGGACTCAAAGAAGATTGTTATTGAGAGACCTACTTTGGATCTGTCCAACTCCTTGAAGCGTCGTTTTGGTTCATGGTGCTTCCTTCGCGTGAAAACTGACGACCAGTGCGGCTCTGCAGTTGTCGATTTATTCAAGAGACCACTAGTGATCTGGGATGCCGTATTTAGGGCACTTCACGCTTCGGAGGACCATGTTACCATGGTGTGGGTCAATGAAGCATTCGTTGCGGGAAAGATTGAGAGGCCCTTTCCTGGCCTCGAATCATTCGGTGTCGGTTATTCTTTGTTCGACTTCATCAATTTTCTTAATCCTCTACACGAGAATAAGAATCAAGTGAGTATATTCCTCCAATTCTTACTTGGCACTTATCGTGGTGTAGTTTCTAGGAAAATGGGCGTCGCGAATAGCGCTCTATCTCTCGACTTCCGTGCCTGGTCCACGTCTCAGGGAAGAAGACATGCATGAACAGGAAGATCATTGTAAGCGCATAGTCTGTTAGATCACCAGGTTCTGAATATCTACTTTTCCACAGTTTCTGGTGATAACTCAAACATGACCGACGGCTGTGGTATATCCAATCTTCCTCTCCATCGAAGTTTTCCTAGGCAAAATAATAAAATACCTACTGCCGTTCAATTTCGTCTGAGAGGAGCAAAGGTATGTAGCCCATCCGCTGAGCTTGAGCTGCATTCGTCCGACGTTCTTCATTTCCAGGGAATGCTCTTACTAGTGCGAAACGATGAGTGGCTGGACAAACCTAAGTCTTCCGGACCCTCATCCACCGAGGAGCGACCTGAAGTATGGTTTCGGCGCCCGTCTCAAATCAAGATCAATTACCCCAAGACTGAACCGCTCGATCCTCTTCACTTGACCATGGCCGTTCTCCATTTTTCATCGATTCAGTCCCCGGCTAGACTCTGCAGAAGTCATCATCAACCTGGAACACAATGGTGTGCCTGCGGTTGTCTTTGAGCAACTTGGAAGGAACTGTATCCAGCAGGTTGTCGATGAATTCGCTACATGCATGACACCTGAACATGCGTGTAGACTTTGGGCATCTGTAGAGGACGTAGAAGGTATCTATTCAGCTAGACGGATGCGCGTCACCGAGAGTCGGCAACGACCTCTGAGAAAGAAGAAAGAAGACGAGGATGATCACGACGCCGGGGCATGGTTCCCTGATCCTCACTCTGGATGCCCAACTTCCTTAGGCGAAACCGCGATGGAGCTCTTGGATTCCGGCTTTCTACCCGATCAATGCAACTTCCTCAAGCAGAAGTTGTGGCGTGTAGCCAACTCTAAAATGCGCGCGGTTTCTTCACAGTTCAACTTTGAGCTGGAACAGAGCTGCTCTGGATTGGTCGTCGTTGGTGCGTCTCGTCAGCACATATGTTGCCTTCATATCTGATAACAATTGTGAAGATCCTCACGGCGTCCTCAAGGAGAACGAAATACAGGTTAAAAGTTCGCGACACGAATTCAAAACGGATGATGGTTTCGAAACCGACACCGTGCTTGGAGAAGTGGTGGTTAGTGTTTATCGTGCTAATCAGAACTGGATGGTTAATATCATATTTTACAGATTGCTCGTAACCCATGTAAAATTCCTACCGACAGCCGAAAGGTGGGTTCGTCGTTCATTTCTTCTTACATTCATTGATGAAACGAAACAGGTGATGGCTGTAACGCACCCAATGTTGGCTGATATGGCCGACGTCATCGTATGTTCCATTCGGGGAGCTACTGCTCTGTTACAGTATCTTGCTGGAGGTTAGTATTATCCCGTTTGCAAAATGACGTCCATTCATATCATTTGATGTAGGTGATTATGACGGTGATCGAATTCTGGTCATATGGGCACGAGCTATCGTGGACTCCTTTCGAAACGCCCACGAAGATTACATGGAGCCGCCTCCTGGATTCGATGATCTTTTTGAAAGGGACACGAAAACTGTCGATGATTTTTGTCAAGAAATGGCTTCTGCGCCATCTCATGTCAAAGCCAAGGAGTTACAGACCCGTCTTCTTGCCCCATTGAGCTGTCCTTCCGCAGTGGGAAAAATCTCAACTCTCCATGATGATTATGTGTATACGAAGGGATACAGTCATCCGGATACGCTCTGCGCAGGACAAGCGTGAGTCACATGTATCTTATAACCACCCCGATCCCTGTGCTCACATTAAATGCAAATTAGATTCGCCAGAATAATGGATTCGGCAAAGACTGGGTATCGATTGAAGGCGAATTCTCGCCTCCAAGGATCTCAGAGGCAAACGCCTCAGTGGAGGATGGTCCAAAAGAGCGCCAAGCTACCCAAGGCGTCAAGTAGCAATTCTGACAATACGGTTGGGAACAAGGGCAATCTACCACATTGCAGAAGATTCGTGGATGAGACCCATATTGTCGGGCAATATGCCATGGGCGACATAAACACAGCCATGCAAGAGAACGTTGCAGACTGGGCGAAGGTTCTAGCTCGCATGCTGCCCCAGTACGCCGCTCTACCCAGTAATCTTTCCCAGCTGTGGAAGGATGCAAGAAGATCATTGAGCGAATATCATCAGCGCGATCTTAACATCATTCAAGGACACATCGATGACACGCATGTAAAGTGGCTGCAAGTCAGAAAAAACAAAACAGAATTCAAGAACCTTCTTACACACTTCGAGAAGTTTCCATCCATTGGCAAATTGCGATATATCACCGATAAATGGCAGCTCGACCTCCTTCGCGCTTCCTGTGCCTATATCAAAGACAGTGCTGGCGGCCACCGTTTCGCGTTTCATATTTCCCCCTCCATCCTCTCTGACAAGTTTATCATGGATCGCATATTAGACGCTCTCAAAGATGCATTCGAAAAGGGTATGACTGCGTTGGAGCATTTAGCGCGCAAAAACGAAGAGGTATACGTTCCTGATATGGATCTTGCCGGGACGTGGCAGACCTTGACAAGCGTCGCAGAGCATTGGAAAGATCTGGAGATCATCAAAAAGCATGTTGAGGATGTGTATGCGCGGTGGAAACGTACGACGATCCGACCATATAACGAAAAGACCAAGCAACGACGCTTAGCTTGTTCTAAGGCCTTCAATGAATACCCAACATCTGCGGACATGCGTTTGCTCAAAGACCACGCGCTAATATCCCGTTTGCGAGCCTCCTATGCCTACGTTAGATATCACGGAAAAGACAGAGACCACCGCTTTGCGTTCGAAATGGCTTTCAGGGAACTCTGCCACATGAAGGCCACTGCTATTGGCCAGACTAAGACTACGACTCGTGGGTTTTATGATCGTATGAAGTTGAAAGTTTTAACTTGATTTTTCTTCTTTCTTGTATACCCTTTTCACTTATACCATCCCCGAATACTCCACATTCTTGTAACATTCGCACACACATTAAACTGTATCGTATAGGTACCACACCATGTATACTGTACACGATCCAAAATTATATTACAACAGTATCATCCTCTGCGGGCTCTTGGACGGACAAAAGGGCATCAAGTTCTTTCAGCCGTTTCTCCCATACATCAACTTCCTTCAATTTGTTCTCTAGGGTGATTATCTCTCTGTCGATGCCTACACGTTCCTCCGCTGTACCCACGCGCGTCAAGGTCCAACTACCCGTTCCATCACCGTGCAGTGTCAACAATCGCGTGTGATATTTCGATAATGATGGACTAAATGAATCATTAATATCAGGTTGCTAGGCTGGAGTACGACACGTACCGTAAAGAGATGGTGATCAAAGTGATACCTTGGGCCTTAAGATGTTCGTACATACGTCCTTCAACATCACTAGACACGGCACTCGTACATTCTGAAACGCCATCAGAATCAGTTCATCACCGTACACGGTGCACGTACCATCCAAAATCGCGAACTCGGGTTTATGATAGAAAACCCGGGCCAGACTCATCTGCGAAAGTTGTTAATTATCAGCCAAACTAACTCATGGATGCCATGACACTGACCCTTTGCTTCTCACCCCCACTCAACACATCTCTCCATTCCTTCCTCGTAGTCCATCCACCTTCTCTTTCCGGCAGATACGCAAGATACACCATCTCCAAGATATTCATCATATCCTTCTCAGTCTTCCCTGACTCCAAAAACTCTGCATACGAGTGTGGGTAAATCATTTGGTCAAGAAGACTTCCTGTCACCATGTAGGCTCGTTGAGGTACCACAAACACGCCTCGGCGGTCTCCACGATTCCCGGGACGCTTAACCTGGGCATTTGTACCTTGGGCCGCCCACAGTCCAGCTAGTACGCGCGCGACAGCGGTCTTTCCAACACCATTACTTCCAGTGATCATAAGATGTTCACCTTCCCGTAAGATCATAGAAAGATCTTTGACGAGCGGTGCAATCTCCTTCTCCGTCTCTGTTGAATCAAGTATCGCCTTGTTGGTCGACGGAATTCTAACGTCGACATGAGAGAGTTCAATGGTGTCGTCTAGGTCACTAGTCGCGGAAGGCAGGGGTGGTAAGTTATGTAGCGTCGAAAAGAGTGTGTAAAGTCGCGTCGTAAGACCTGCTAGCTCTAACAAGTCTTTGTACGCATACATTAGTCTGCCTCCGGCGTCAGCAAGGGAAACAAGAAGACGTCGGTTGGAAATATAGCCTATGATAATATGTTGAGACCTCGAGATACCATTGAAATCCAAGTTGACCTACTTTCTGTTCGATTCGCCACGGCGTTTCCTTCCTCCACAGAGTTGGGCTTCTCATGTTGAGCGCGCCGTCGGCGTCGCGTGTACAAAAGAGGCACAGCGATGAGCACGTATCCTGCAGCCGACCACAGGTACTTGATGACAAAGTCCTCCGTCCATTCATAAGCTATGCGGATCTACAGGAAAGGAATTAGAGATGGCCTGTGGAAAATAATAGGCTGATACTCACTTTGTAAATTGAATTCACATGCTTGATTAACCGCATGTACGCGGCCATAAGGATGCTCCTTTCACGAGCCCCGCCATCATAGAACCTATCAAGCCAAGTCAGGGCAAAGATGGAAAAGGGGCAGACCACGAGACTAACGCGACTTCTTCACTTTCCCGTCCGACTCTTCCCATCCCCGCGCGATATTCGCCCTCGAGGCGAGCTTCGACCGCAGCAAGCTTGCCGAACGCTGGTGTCACCGCACGGAGGATTGCCACAGTCGCGTAGTAGTTGCAAAATAGTAGCACTGTCCCCCGGGCTCCTAGGGATCGGGAAAGTTGACTTGTGAATAGGACAAGGTCGAGCGAAGGCTTGAGGACATTTCCATATAACACGGACAATGACTCTGCCCAAGATTCTACATCAGCAGTGATGTACTGATCCACGCCTTCGAGGCCAGATCGGTAGAACCGCAGGTCCGGGTACGAGGAAAGGTAGAGGTCATTGGTGTAGTGCGTCAACCGCGATCGTAGCCTGAGGGAGAGTTTTGATTGAAGGTGACGGATCTAAGTATTCGGATGAGAAATGTTCCTTGAAAGGGGAAGAGAAACCCCACCATTGAGTTTGTATATGTACTAGGTATTGCGAGCAGGAACCACAGCACAAGCCCTCTGAGAAAGCCTTTAGCATCCGCCCGTACCTTGATACAATGATAAGAGATGATACCATGCCTTGCATTATAGCACATACCAAATCCCTAACAATGATCCCATCTAGCCTTGCAACAACAATACTAAGGACCGTCCGCGACACCAAGAAGAAAGAGTGCAAGGCAACGATGAAAGCCTCCTTGGACCGGAACGAGGGAATAGCTATTCGAAACAAGATTGCACGTAGCTGACGAAAGAAGTTCAAGTCGATATTCGGTTTTGTTGAAGGGGGTAGAAGAGGAAAATAAGGCACGTCTGAAGCGAACTTTGATTGGGGCGTCGGCTTGATATTAACCTGCACGGTGCTCAGCTTCGACTTGCATTTGCACAAAAATGATTTCGAAGAGCTCACCCTAGACACCTCTTCACGATACGGAACGAGTAGAGTCTTGCTGCCATCGTCCTCTTTCACATACACTTCTTGCAGGACACGCAGCAGTTCTTCTTGCGACAGACGCTTCCTATTGACAACCACACGGAGTCTCGCTAGAGTTTCTTTGGGGATTTCGGTCAACCTGGACCGAAGTATGAGGACGACTGCCAGTACGAGAATCGATGTCCGTCGGGAAGGCCATCGTATAGGCTTGGAGAAGATGGCCATGCTCCGGTGGAGGCCACCGACGACAATGACGGTAAGAGACAAGAAGGGTTGAGGGCGGGTTGGGGTAAGCAAGTCAAGACATCAAGCCGGTCAAACACTGTGGGGTCATCGTGCTGGCATATGGCAATCATACAACACAAGCATGTGAAATTCTTTTTATCAATAAGATTAGATTAGATCAAAATTACAATCTTTTCAAGCATCTGTAGAAACATTCGCCACCCCTACGAAGCTCCAGTGCTGGGTATAGGTTCCATCCGTAGGCATTAATTTAACCGTCACAGTATTTGGAGAAGCCTGTGTTTCATTAGCCTCGGGTCAACGAACACAGCATTAAATCTACTTACACCGTACTCGGAGGCCACAGTCCATGCCAAGTCAGTGTCGGGGTACTTGATCTGCAGAACAAAACATGAGCATAGTAAGAAAAGATAAAAGAGATACTCACAGCGTAGTACCCATCTCCAACGGATTCGATCGTGAACGTCGTGGCATACAGCGAGTTATCGGTAATAACAGGCGATTGCTGAAATCCAATTCAGTTGGCTAAAACATCAAAGGATGTTGCCGCTAACCTCGCAGTTTTCAGTGGACGCTGATCCGGAGAAGCTCGAGTTTCCGAAAGTGTAACCAGAATCACTTTGTGCAACTTGCCACTACGGGAAAAAAAAAATTCAGACAACAGCATGCCACTGCAGTGCACGAAAACTTACAGCAGTGGTTGGTGGAGCCGAAGCGTTGGCCGGAACAGTCGGTGCATACAAGGTCTGGTACATGCGGTCTGATTTTAGCGAGCCTGCAGTCACATTGCGATTGAAGATCTGATACAGCCCCGGGGTGATCTAAGCATAGCACAATGAGCTCTCATTCCCTTCTGCTAGAGGAGGAAAAACACATACGCCCGAGTCAGCAGCATGGACACAAGCAGCAGCAGCAGCAGCAAGCAGAGAGAGGAAGAACACCATGGCGTTGACAGAATATCAAACGGACAATCACGTCCATATTTATAGGCTTCCAACCTTTTCGGATGTAAAACGGATAGCCATATTATGGAATAACAGTCCAAGCAGTGGCGTACCAAGGGCATAAGATCGCCGTCCATAGAAGCACATTTGATGACTGTTTGATGAGTGCAACCGATCAGTTACAAGTACCGACAAAATAAACGAGTACGTGAGAGAAGACAAGGTGCATCTGAAATGGACGCTTAGAGCTCTCGGTCATTGTAAGCCGCCTAGGGACTCCGAGAACAAAGCAGAAATATTAAGCTTGATGAACCACATGCATATCTCATACGAGGCAGAAATCAAAAAATAGACTCGTAAGATCGCAGTTAAGACGCGCTCTTCGCTCTGAAATGTTTCAGGTAAGCCAAGCAAAATACGCGCCAACGTGATATCACATAAAAAGTGCTACCATCTGCCTCGGTCTGAATATATGATATTGCCACCTTCTCGTCAGTTGCAGGGCCAGGATTGAAAGACATAATGAATGCGTACCTAATACTCTATTAACTTGCGATCGCCTCTTACACGCCATTGCCAGAAGGATAACATGGAAGAAAGAGGAACGAACGCGAAGTGAACGTCACAGATGACGGTCGCTAAGCAAATCGCAAAATCAGAGCAGGCCCAGACCATCTTAGTCAAAGGACCGAGCGCCGAGTGTACGTCGGACGCGTCAGAATCATACTTCAACCTGTACCCCAGATATCTCCGATAGTTGATGTATGTTGAAGGAATCTGAAAAGATTGTGATCTTCGGCTTCGAGAGTCGGAACAACGTTCCTAGCCACCTGCTCGAAGAAGTCCGATATTACACTCCAAGACTCAAGGTGTAGTTGTCTTGCTGTAGTACCGGTCAGAAGTATCGTCATTCCATGTCAATTCAAGGACTCGGTGTGTCCCGACCTAGACAAGAAACAGCCTTCGCTTATCAGACCGCTAAGACATAGGCGCTCGTCCGCTCCAACGTCGTCGGAATAACCATGAGTAATTCTGTCCCAAAGGTCCCTCTCAGGTGACTAAAAGAATAGATGTTCGAGTCGCGCTTTGTGTGGAACGATAGCAAAGCAATGAAGAGAAAGTTCAAGCCTCTAACACCTCCAAGTGAGTTGTCCAGTCAGATTATGAGCTCAAGCAAAACCTAGGTTTTCGTGTTCCGACGCTAAAACAGTCATGAGGTGCAACAAGCACAGTCGCGTCGCCATATCAACTAAGTATACGGCGATCAGTCGCTAGCGGAGAGCGAGCTTGAAGTACGGAACCGACATGGGCCCGCCATACACCCACGCCCGAGTAAGTGGAAAGCGTTGAACAAGTGAATTTTCGACCCAGAACATGTCACGGAGAGATGCGTCTGTCAGCCGACTTCGCGCGTGGCCCGAGAAACTTGACGCTCGTACCTAATGCCCAGCCAGTGGAAGCTTTGGAAAGAGATCTTCACCGTGTTTGAAACTTACGCAGTCCCTGCACATGGAGTTGTCAACGTCGCAGATGACTCCGAAGGAATGGAAGCGAACTTTTAGAGGAAAGGAATTGGATAGCGCAGCACGTACACTTCAACTTTATGACATGTAAAACCGGAGGCGAGCTTGAAGAGGGAATGATAGCAATTAGAAAGGACGTGCCACATTGATCCATTGATGATAGTTTGAGTATTATCGATACTTTAAAGTACCCTGTCCAATGTCATAGGGAAAGTCTCTGCTGCGTGAGTTACATATGTCTGTTCATAGAACTGAAGATCACTAGCATCCAATTTAACTTGACCTCATTGGATCACCTTGCCTTCTTACCCGCTTCCTCTTCCTCGGGTACTACCTGAACTGATCCCCCGGTTATGCGACGGATTTATTATGTGCCTCAAGAGGAACTTCAAAAGGCCGCCTGCTTTCGCATTGTCCTTCGGATATATTTTGCCATTGGAGCGACTATACGCGGCTAACGCACTCTCTGTTAAGAAGACGCGAGGTGGTATGGTAGTTGCCGGGTAATCGACCAAATCGCATATGTTCACATGAACTCTTCTTATCACCTATTTGTGCTCCGCTTGAGATTAAGAGAGCGCAGCGATATTACCAAGAACATACAGCTCTGCATGCTTCAATATTGTCCGGTATGTCCCCGCCGCCCACCAGCCCACAGAGTCTCTGCCACGCTTGAAGGTCCTTCACGTCGGCACCATATATGTCGTTGAATTGTTGGGCAATAGCATCATGGAGGTCATCGAGTGCCTCGAACCTCTCGCGTTTATCCCAGCCTAATTGGTTGGACATCTCCCTAAATTGAAGCATCGTCTCTCTGCTCTGGTCATATGGATACTCCGGGTATCGTGCGAAGAACGTTTCGATAGGTGTTGGTGGCCGTGTGTTGAACACATTCTGAACTCCACCGTTAAGCGTTCCAATATCCAAGTAAAACCTGCGCGTCAGCTCTATGAACTGCGCCAGCATGATATGTCGGCATTGGTTATAGTATGAGGCTGCCAAGCATTGGGCGAAGATGATTTCCATGGGCGTTATTGACGGAACGCCACTTCGTCTTCCGTTTCTCTGTCAGAAGTTGTATCAGGTCAAGTAAGAATTGAAGTAATGGGAAACAAGCAGACCCTCGACGGCATGGTGGTAAAGAAGGTAGAACGGAGACTTCGACTGATCTTCTTTCAACTTCCTTTGGCCCGCGTGGCCGAAAGCTCCCAGGCCCTGTCTGTGTCAGATAGCTGTGGTTCAAGATGGTTTCTTCACCGCGTACTGAACACAATCAGTGTCACTGAGTCAGTCGTAAAGTCGAGCCAGACAGAAAATCCGGTCGTGAACGGTGTGAAGAAGGAAACCAAAGAATTCCAGTCTACTCGAATAGAACATCGGAGTCAAGTAATTACCCGTGTCGCAGTAGGTGAGCAACCTGAAGTTGTACCCGACGGGCTGTGTGGCTTCCCACGTGGACACCCCATATTGGGCATTCACCTTCGAAAGAGGCAACTTGAAGACGTACTTACTCCTTACCCATCTTTCAAAGTCCCAGTATAGGAAAGGTCCACAGATACACTAAATTTTGGAACATTGAAATCGTGAAAACATCGTCAGGTACTAAAATTATACACCAAAGAAATTCGAGAGAAAAGACGTATACTTCAAATTCTTTAACACTTCACAGAAAATTCTTCAACCGCTCCACTAGTTCGACACTCCATCCCTTCCTCGCCCTCGTCCCCTTCTTCCGCCCCTTCCTGAGCTTCGTCCACGATTCCGCGAAGGATGGGATATCTTCCTCAAGAGGAACTTCAAAAGCCCACCTGCTTTCGCATTGTCCTTGGGATATATTTTGCCATTGGAGCGACTATACGCAGCCAGTTGAATCTCAGAAGAGAACAGACGAGGTCGAACACGGGTCGCTGGGTAGTCAACAAGGTCGCATATGTTCACAAACACGCCCTCAATGGCCTACGCAGCACACCAAATTAGACAAAAAGGATGTTGTGAAGTTAACAGTCAGAACTTACAGCTTTACATGCACTGATGTTGGTAGGCATGTCCCCCTGGCCTACCATCTCCCATAGTCGCTGCCACGCACCCAGATCGCCGGCGTCTCCGCCATAGATATCGTTAAACTGCTGGGCAATGGCATCCTGGATACCAGAAAGTGCCTCTTTTTTGTTGTCGTCGTCATCTCTTACCCAGCCGAATTGACGTATCATGCTCCGGAATTGCTTCATAGTCTCCCCACTAGGATCATATGAAAAGTCTGGGTATTGGGCAAAGAATGTCTGGATTGGCGTCACAGTTGCCGCTGAAGCATTAGCCTCCGTTCGTCTCTTCTTTCTCTGCGGAGATGATCAGGATGTTATAGTATTGAGAAAAAGAATACAGACCCTCGGTGGCATGTTGGTTGAAGATGAAGGACTCTAGATAACGTCCCTCGCCCCGATGTGATTCATCCCAGGGTCACAAGTCCCTTCAACATTCTTCGTTTTCACATCACGCTTGCGTTCGGTGCTTCACTGATATCTTACTGCACACATTCGCTGACGAAAATCAGACGGCGATCCTGAAACATTGGAAAGGATACATTCTAGTTTAAAGGTTCCCGTAAAGAACATTAACGAGGATATGCGTGCGGCTTCAACGAATGTTTGCCAAGAAAAAACATCTACCCGACCCTTGAAAACCTTACAAAACGCACGCATACCCTCCTTAACTGTCCAATTCGAGCCACTTTGAACACGAATCATCTGAACAAAGAAAAACAAGATCCTTGGCAGGGCAGGTGTTCAACCGCCTGCGAAAAATTGCTCTAGAGGATTCCCATGTTCCATAAGGCCGTCGGAAGAATCAAACGATTACATGCCCCAGATCTACTCGATTTCGCTCGCCGATAGAGACAGCGTCTTTCTATTCGGGTCATATGCCAGATATTCCGGGTATCGTGCGAAGAACATTTCGATAGGTATCGGAGGCTGTATGCCGAACACATTCTGGACTCTATTGTTGAGTGTTCCAATGCCCAAGTAAGGCCTGCACTAGCATAAGATGTCTGCATTGATTATTGTATCAGGCTGTCAGGTATCGGGCGAAGGCGATGAGCCAGAGCGCTCCTTTCTCTTTTGTTTCTCTTGTTACATCAGGTGAAGTAAGAAAGACAGATCCTCGGTGACATGGTGGTAGGGAAAGGAGAACGGAGGCATGGGCTGATCTTCTTCAAGCCCATTCTGTGTCAGATAAACTTTCGTTCAAGATGGTTTGTTCACTGCACACTGAACGCAGTCATCAGTCGTAAAGCAGAGTCAGACAGAGAGCAGAGCCAGTCGTGAACGAGTAACGAAAGAAACCGAGAGAATTCAAGTCCACCTGGAGAGAACATGGGAATCAAGGAAGTACCTGTGTCGCAGTAGGTGAGCAAACTGGAAATTATACCCGACGGGCCGTGCGGCATCCCACGTGGAGGTCCCATATTGGGCACCTTCCAATCGAGTCTAGAGCAACTTGTGTATCGACATATCATCTTTCAGAGGCCCAGTATCTAAAAAGCACACATATACATTGGAACGATGAAATAGTAGAAACAAATCGCAGTAGTAAATTTGTACATCAAGGAATTCGAGAGAAAAGACGGATATTCCAAGTTTTTTAACACTTCACAGAAATTTCGTCAACATCTCCGCTAGTTCGACCCGGCCGCTCTACCCCTTCCTTCCCCTCGTCCCTCCCGCCCTTCCTTCCTCGATTCTGTGACGGACGGAATATTTTCCTCAAGAGGAACTGCAAAAGTCCCCCAGCTTTCGCATTATGCTTGGGATAGATTTTGCCATGGGAACAACTGTAATCAGCCAGCTCCTCCGCAGTGGAGAACAGAGGAGGCGGAACTTGCGTGGCTGGGTAATCGACAAGGTCGCATATGTTGACATACACGCGCTTGATAGCCTACACAGCACCCCAAATGAGACATTGAAAGCATACCCTCGTGAAGCTAACTTACAGCTCTGCATGCATTGATGCTAGTAGGCATATCGCCCTCTCCCACTATCTCCCAGAGTCGCTGCCACGCACCCAGATCGCTTGCGTCCCCACCATAGATATCGTTGAACTGCTGGGCAATGGCGTCCTGTATTCCAGAAAGCGTCTCGCGTCCCTTATCTTCATCTCTTACCCAACCGAATTGACGCATCATGCCCCAGAATTGCTTCATAGTCTCCCCACTAGGATCATAGGAAAACTCTGGGTATTGAGCAAAGAACGCTTGGATTGGCGTCACAGTTGCTGCTGGCTCAGAAGCCTGAGCGTTAACCCGAGCTCTTTTCGTTCTCTTTCGCTTCAGGGAGGATCAGAGTGCGATGAAATTTAAAAAACGGGCACAGACCTTCGGAGGCATGTTGGTAGAAGACACAGTGTGCTAACTGACGCCCTTTGCCCCAACATGATTCGTCTCAGGGTCACAAGTCCTACAGCATTCTTCGTTTTCACACCAAGCTTACATTCGGTGCTTCGTTGACTACTTACCGCACACATTCGCTGAATCGCGAAAAATCAAACGGCAGTCCTGAGACAATAAAAAGGATATATTCTAGTTTAAAGGTTCCCGGAGAGAACATTAAAGAGGATATGCGTGCGGCTTTGACAAATATCTGCCATGAAAATTTCTACCCAACCCCAGGAAACCTTACAAGACGCACGCATACCCTCCCTAACTGTCCATTTCGAGCCACTTTGAACACGAATCCATCTGAATAAAGAGCAAGATCCTTCAGCAGAGTAGGCGCTTAGCCACCAGTGGAGAGTTCCTGTTCTACAAGGTCGTCAGAAGGTGTTGCATGACCGAAAGGGTCCAGATGTCCAACGCGATGCCACAGATCTCCGACTGCATTATCCTTCCTCTTGCTGTACGAAACTCAGAGAAAATGTCTTTGGGGGCGTAAGATGCACACCTCCACAAATTCGGCCGCTTCTGCTTCAGTGCTAGTTGCCGACTGCATCCCAGATAGAGCCACGATACATGCCGGTCGGCTTGCTTTCTGTGCTCCACAGCACGAAAAATTACGCACAATCAAGTGAAAGTCGCCGTCGCCTCATTTTCAAGATCTCCGGATCCTCGTAGGCCACCAAGTCATGAAGAAACAAATAGAGACCAAAACAGCCACGGTAAGAACAGAGGTCTAGCTTCAGAGGGTGAGGTGCAGTGGAAGCTAAGCACTTGAGTGAGAAATCTGAGAAAGGCTGCTGCGCCCACGTGGCAAGCGCTAAGTAAAACTTTCACCTTCCGACGCAAGTACTCGAAGTTCAAGCTCTATATTTCCAACAGACGTACATACACTCAAAGTCTTTCAAAATTACGTATCTTCCCAGACAACACAAATGCCCACTATTTAGATGATCTTCCTCGCCTTCCCACCCCGCTTCCTGTTCCTTCCTTGGATTTAGTTGAGCTCCTTCCCTGTTGCGACGGCGGATTGAAGATGTGCCTTAGAAGAAACCTCAAAAGCCCACGTGCACGCTTCTTTGAATAGGTTTTGCGAAAAGACAGAGTATACTGGGATAATGCCCTCTCGGTGGCGTGCTTACGTGGAGGAACCATGGTCGTCGGATAGCCGGCCAAATCCCATACGTTCACATGGACTTTCTCAATCACCTAAAGAGCAGATAAGTGAAAGGGTAATAGTATGATGCTGCCGGCAGTAACTTACCGCCTTGCATGTGTCAATATCATTCGGTATCTCCCCTTGGCCAACAAACACACAAAGCCTCTGCCAAGCATGCAAGTCATTCACATCCCCTCCATATATCTCGTCAAACTGCTGAGCCATAGCACCTTGTATATCACCGAGTGCCTTGCGCTTGGTTGCCTTCTCCCACTTGAGCTGGCGGGCCATGTCGTGAAATTGGGCCACCGTTTCTTTGCTCGAATCGTAAGAGAACTCTGGGTATCGTGCAAAGAAAGCTTGAATTGGCGTTATTGGAGAGCTGTGTCTCCACCTTCTACCTCCCTGTAGGGCGATCAGAATAATAAACCATGACTAGGAAGAAGATGGTGACGGACCGACTGTGGGACGCTGTTCAAGAACGTGGCAACGAGGCGTCTGCTGAACATGTTCATCTTCTCTTGAGTATCGTGAACAGAACGGGTCGCAGGTATAAGAGTGCCCTACACCCTGCCCTGCTGCCTACAGTCCCAGGCCCCCGTTTCATAGTTCTTCTTATCACATTGAAACCGTGAACCCGAAACGCTGATGTATAGAAGCTACCACATCACAAATGATCAGCGCAGCACTTATTAAGGTGCGCTTCGGATAAGAAAAGCGGCGGTGAGGAAGACAGAAAATCGATCCACAGGTTCTCTGAGAGTAACATCGAATGATAAACTATACGGGTGATTCGTAAATGCTTGGTAGCCAGCATCCATTCAAACAATCGTTACACCCCATTACATCGTGTCCTTGTACTCCACGAAGGCTACGTAAGATAAAACGCATATGCAAACGCAAGCGAGCCCAATTCTCCGATGCAGAGCGACAGCATGCCAAGATCATGTAGAACTCGATGTTTGAATGAACACAACAGCAGCACTAGCTCAGATAAGCCCTTTCTCCGATGCAGCACAGCAGCGTGCGAAGGTCATGTAGGACTCGGTGTAAGAATGAACAAAGTAGCGACACTAGTCTGAGATAACCCATGCATCCGAAGCACTCGTAAAAGTCGTCGTTTCAGCGACAAAGGAGTTGGAGCGTCAAGAAATAGGCAGCCGGAAAATCTCATTGTGGTCAATGTTGAGGAGACCATAAGGAGAACACGTGCATCATGGAAGCTACCTTCAGACTCTTCACGATCGCCAACTAACGTTGATCCAGTCAAAGTCAGATAAGAAGGAAGTAGAGAAGGGCGTCAGCGGTCGCAAGAAATTGGTCTAGCGTGGTAATTATTCTGGCTGGTAGACTCGAAGACAGGACAAGAAAACGTTGAGAGACCGACAGCTTACTATACATCTTCAGAGATAAGTACCTTTCAAAACCGCAGGCCTTTGCCGTAGTATGGAACCATAGTGCTGTTCCACGCTACGGCAAAGGCCTATATGTCCCACGAATTTTGCGAAAAATAAACATCAGTAAGTGAATAACTCAAAGAAAATAACACTTACCCCCAACACCCAACTTGGGATGACCGCTCAAAGGGGAACGGTACACCACGCCGAAACATCCTTGAGCGGCCCATCCCAAGTCAGCACCCATCCACATACACGCTAGCAGCTCCTCGAAACAGGACCCCCAACGACAACTATTCCGACCGCATCGACGCGCCGCACCCTGCGCTCGACCGCCGCCAGGAGCCCACCATCACGGTGAGTTAAATTGAGAAAGACACGATAAGAATACCGTTACACCCCGGCGCTACGCTCAGAGGGCCCATCATATCTTCCGAAGGAGTTTCGCCTTGAGCGTCTTCAAGAAGCTCGCCCTCTTCTCAACCGCGACTCCGACGACGGGCTTGTCGCCCTCCGACTCGGACTCGGACTCCTGAGGCGGAACGAGGAAAAGAGGAGAGAACGAGAGGTGAGCTCCCTTCGGGAGGCTCTCGTTCACGGCGGAAGTAGGAGTAGCAGGAGCCGAGTCGTCGTCGTCAGAGGACTCAAAGCTTGCGTCGCACGTGTCAGCAGCGGGAGGTGCGACCTCTGAAAGCAAGTCAAGGGGATCCATTTCGAGGACCCACTCGCAGTCATCCGAGTCTTGAGAGTAGATTGACGCGTCGTACTCTTCTTCGCGGAAGGACTCTTGGGAATAGATGGAAATATCGGTATCGTAAGAAGGAAGAGAAGGCAAAGGGCATGCAGGAGCAGGCCCAGGCTGGGGGAGGTTGTAGATAGAGGCAGGCATTATGAGAGAGGTTATGGTGGTGGTAAGAGGTCAAGGGCGAGATGCTGTTCTGGTGGGGGTTCCCAGCTTTAAATACCTGTCGGTGGATCCATTTTTAGCGCACCAGGTGAGACAGAGTGAAACACGATTGAAAGCAAGGGAAGGAAATCAGGATAAGAACGCGTCGTGGCCCAGAGGCCGGACCCTCAAGCCAGTATATGAAGGAAGGAAAAGATTCCGCGGAAGCAAATATACTCGTCACGAAAGTAGCACTCGAATTGATTGTGCGGTCGTCATTTCCGCGAATGTCTCATTTTGAAGCTTCGAATCGGAGAAATTTTGAGCTCCACAAAATTTTATGCATAAATTTGTGATCGATTAGTCCATACGCAGACAGAGGGTTATTGAGAAATGAAAAGGGCGTCAGGTTCCCAGCCAGCTTGCTTCACTTCTGGAGCTTATCTGATCCAAGGTTGGCTTCTAGGCATAAATCGCCTTTATCGGTTGGGGAAGGATAGAGCTCTCAGAGAAAGAATGATAGATGCGGGTGCGTCACTAACTCATGAAGATAAGTAAGCAGATGTATGATAGGCGATTTTTGCAACATGACGACGTACAGGAGGATTAGGAGAAGACACGTATGGGAAACGGAGTCTGTGTTGATTTGACTAAAACTCATGCAAAGCTTGTATAAGATAGATGCAAGCACACCTGAGACGCGAGGAACGAACCACAAAAAGTTTCCTGGACGGCCACCTATACAAAGACGTAAGCAAACTGACAGTTTCTTAGATGCAAAGGAAGAGATACGAGGAGCCGCGAAAAACTTCAAGAGACCCTGGCAGCCCAGCCAAAAAAAGTGAACAATCTATGTTCCTAATACCATGTGCCCTGGTAAGTACATGCTATATGCAGCGTATGGTAAGGTGTATATGCAAAAGAAAAAGAATGTAGTAGTATGCGTGACGTGCCTCGAAAGCGAATGAATGACAATTATACCGATGGAAACCAAAAACCGCGCCCAATAATATGGAACAACTAAAGAAATCCCGCATCTACCAGTTCCACCCATCGTCACCTTCCTCTTCTTCCGGAGTGCGCGCCAGCGACATCGGCTTCGTGGGGTTCATCTCTTCAGTCGTCGTCGCGGGTGGCGTGGGAAGTGGGGTATTTGCACTCAGCGGTGACGGACTGGACGGCGTAGAGGACGAATGGGCATGTGACATCACCGCAGGAACCTTTGCCGGCAGCGATGGTGATGGGCGCGAGGGGGTCGATACATTTAACGAAGCCAGTGGAGTCGATGATGAGTGCGAATGGCGCCCCGTCTTTCCTGTGAGTGGTCTAGTGGTCGACGGCGGTGGTGGCGACAAATCGAGCGCCTGAGCGATTGACTGCCCCAACAACGACGCTCGCTTCGAGAGAGTCGGTACGTCCCACTTTTTTGGCAAGTTGGGGACACCGACGGTGGAAAGCCATGAAGAAAAGTCGGGAGCTGGACTGATGAGCGGTGTTGCGCCTGAATCACGCGTATCTGGGGGCAGCGAAGGTGAAGTCGGGGCGCTCTGCTGCGGAGACGGGGTACTAGCAAGAGTTTGGGTTGGCGACGGCGATGGTGTCTGCTGCTGCCTCTCAAATCCCCTCGATACTATCCGTTCCCACTTGCGCTTGAGCTGAAGAAGCTCTGCTTCATGTACGGCAAGCTGGGATCGTAATTCGAGGCACTTAGACTCCTTTTGGGCGATAAAGTGGAGAAGATCAGCATGCCTGAATGGATTTAGCCGATGCTCAGCATGCCAGACGAGTATATGCGCACTTTTCAGTCAACGTCACTGGCTCGCGGTGCTTCCGTTCGACTTCTCTGTACGACTGGCGACGGGACGGCGGTGACGGCGACGACGGGGGCTCTGACTGTGTTTCATTGAGGAGATGCAAAGGACGGGCACCGGGAGTGATATTGAAGGAGTGACGCTTGGGATTCACGGTAGAGGACATGGTGGTAACAAACAAGGCAACGATCAGGTTAGGGTTGCTTAGGCAAAAGCTAAGATTGCAAGGGTAATGACAACCAGTACTTCGTATTCAAGCTGCTCTCATTATTGTCCTCAATGCTTCACCTCCTTCTCTGCCTCTTCCACGAATTTCTTGATGCTGTTGAATCTGTAGTCAGTCATGCAATCCATTTCCGACTCTAGGCGTCAGTGCACGTACAATTCTTCTTCTTCACTGTAGATACCGTCAGAACTATCCAGCGACACAGTCACCAGCATGCTCACCTGTTTCCCGAAGTCACATTGGCCTTGACCTGCTCAGCAAGCGTCGGCGCAGGTCCTTCCTTTTTCCCGCCCCGTGTCGCAAGGAATGCACCACCAAAAACTGAAGCGAATGTGCCCAGGGCAAGGTATTCGTTTTTGATTGCCCGTCCAAAGATAACGCTGTAAAATCCAATATCAGCATCCAGCAACAAAAGGGAAAAAAAAAACAAGAGGCTCACTAGCTCATTGTCGATTCAAGTTGGGGGACGGGTTATGGCTAGTCGTCTCCGGCTCCTACCGAATCCGGCTCTGACGCGGTGTTGTTTGCTCACGACATTGCCAAATACGACCTCTGTCTCTCACCGTAATGGCTACACCATCGACCGTCTTCCGAGGGACGACATTCGAAAATCGCTCCCTGGCCATCCTCAAGAATGTCTTTGGCATGGCCCTGCGACGCGTTGGCGGCAAGAATGACGGCGGCGTCGACCTCGTAGGCTGGTGGGGCCTTCCAACCGCAACCCCAGGGACGTCCACGAACAGACTACGAGTCATCGCCCAGTGCAAGGCAGAGAAGAAGAAATTCTCTCCACGATATGTACGAGAAATGGAGGGCGTCGCGTGGAGGTACGGGTCGATACAAGCAGAGGAATCCGAGTCTGCACCTCCTCCAATGCCACTGCCAGAAGACGACCAAAATACAGGTCCTCTCATCGCCCTTCTCCTCTCCGAGAGCACGTTTACCAAAGCGACTCTTCTCCGTGCCCAGTCTTCGCCAGTCCCGTTTATGCTCGCGCAAATACTCAACGAAGAGGAGATGAAGGATATAGATGCACCCATTGCTGGTATTACATGGAACGTCGCGCTGCGTAATCTGATGGAAGGATACGAACTTCGATGGGAAGTCGGTGGCTCGGCACAGGATAGCGAAGCCAGACCGAGTTTATGGCACAAGGGCCAAAGAGTTATCGTTGGAGCTGAGGAATGACCGTACCTCACCCCCGGCTGCTTACAAGTCAATCGTATGTGCCAGTTTTTCTTCCTCCCCGACTGTTGAAATAATCCTGTTTCAGGACACATTCTTACCAGAAGATTTTGCGACTTTGATTCTAACAGCGCACAATATATCAGAGTGAAGTGCTACCTCAGTCGCAAGGTGTATTTGGAACATCTCTTCTTGGACGCTGGCATCAGAGGGTTCGTCGGACGGTATCATATGTACGCGTCCCTTACCTTGTGGTCCTTCGACTTCTAAATTTACAACAGGTCTAATTATAATCTGTACTTTGTAATATGCGCGCAGGCCACTGCCGGATTGGCGACAGCAATCCTCCCGGCGTCTCTTTCAATAACAGAAAATACAGACACTATCTACCCTCGTATGGTAAAAAACACGACCCCCAAGGGCACACGATATCCATCGTTCCAACTTGAGCAAAAGACCGACGCGGATCTGAGGTGAGACGATATATATCGCATGCCCTTCACGAGGGCTACATCTACGAACCATGCGGAATCCTTGGTTCGGCCTGAACTAATTGTGTCGTTGACTCGAAACCCCTTCTTTGCGCAAAGGCGTTTGCAGGAACCACGACAGGGATTCGTGTACTCGTCTTATCTCCTATTGCCAACTGGTGGGTCGAAACATATCCGTAAACTTGAACCGCGGCCACTGGCGCAGGTACCTCCACCATCCACCGGCATCATGTCTTCCGGTGTACAGATCGTCTCACTACTAGTACCTGACATGGAGGATGCGAGCCTATTCGTACTGGGCCGCATCCATCCAATCTTTCTCAGGATCACAGGAAACCAGTTCGTCACTAGCAACTGAATTGAATTCCTACACCCAGAAAATCCTTCATTTATCTCTCTTAGGATACGCAACCAGCTTCGACCCCGCTAACAACAACGTCGGACGATCTGGTGGGGGTTTCAGCACCAGTTGATCGTGTTTAGGGTGGAACAACCTGGATAAATCGCTTTTCAGATCACATGCCTCCTCGCCAGTCGCTAAAAAAAACTCACAGAGTACTCCGTATATCGCTGACCGGGAACCTCGACGGGTGCGGTACCTCCTCACTAGTTCCTCCCTCAAACGTCTTTACCCTGCCAAGTCTTTTCTTGGTTTGCGCGGGAAAGATATCAGGAGAATGACTATTTCCCGAAAGTAAGCCTCTGTCAACCGGTGAGACAGCAACGTACATTGTTCCCATCCTAGCGTGGTGTACTACAAACCCTGGTAAACGTCCTTTCTTGCTGTACAGATATCAGACTTCGATCCCGGCCAGCTGGAGCGATCCAACGTACCGTACTTGACCTTGGTTCAAGGTCCTGTAAAATAAAATCGTTTCAAGAACGCGAAGCGTCATCAAGAGAATACTCACGATGCGACATTATTGCTCCCAGCCGTCCGTTTTGAGCCTCCCGCTGCTATAAAATGAGCTTTGCCCAGGGAAGCGTGGAAGGACGAACACGGAGGAGGTATCCTGAATGCTTCCAACGCTTTGCATAGAGAAAGAATCTCACCCGAGTCGTTGGACTCGGGACTACGGAATATATCAGTTAAGCACGACGAGGACAGGATTTGTACCCACATCGGTGACGGCTCTGGCACCGACTCATTGGGCTCCTCGGATTCCTCGTGCTTTTCTTGTCCTGAGTTCGACCGTGCTTCCTTGAAATCCCGTTCTGAACTTGGTTCCGTCAGCTCGAAGTCTAAGTCCAAGTCTTCTTGCCCTTGTCTTGCGTTTAGGCTTGATTCCCCGTCAAATAGTTCTGAACTTGATTCCTTTGGCTCCTGTTGTGGCTCTTTGAAGGACTGCTGTTCCAAGTCCTGTTTTTCGAGCTCTCGTCCTGAATTTGAGCTTGACTCCTCGAGTTCTTGTTCTGAAATCGATTCCGGTGGCCCTTGTCCTGATTCTGGCGTGAAGGATTGGCGTCCTAGGTCCAGATTTTCGGATTCCTGTCCCGACTTTACGCTTGATTCCGTCAGTTCTTGTCCTGACTCCGATTTCTCGAGCTCTTGTCCTGAACTAGAACTTGATTCTCCACGATCCTGCGATTCCTGTCCTTCTAGCGAGTCAGTAAGGTCGTCTTCCATTACTTCTCACGGCGTCTGGATCGTGCTTGTAATTTTCGAGCACCCAAAAGACACTAATAGCGAATGAAGTCAGCCTTCTCGTAACATGCGCACGTTTAAACAAGGCATACTTCTCATACTCGGATACTCTGTTCATAACAGTGTTTCGTCCTAGAAGTAGCGGGTGGTAAGAGAATAAGAGTTTCGTCCAATGGATGATATCCGACGCCGTTAAATATCTGTTGGAAGCAACCACCCACAATGGCGACAAGAAAGTCGAAGCCACCATTGATCTCCCATTTCAGAAGTCAGAAAGGCACCGTGTCTGTTTCAGAACCAGAAGCATGATGGAAGGAAATAGATAATAAAGGATGCCTTGGCGTTACGACGACGTGGACAAGGAAGGCTGTGAAGAAGGGTATTGGTATTTGTCGAATAACCAGTGCGTTGGTTGCATGTGCCATGTCGTTGCTCGGCTCCTCATCGAAAACAAAAGGGCCTGTGCGCATACTATAGGGTTACAATTGCAAGTCACAGCGTTGAAGCAAGATCGATCGGTTGTTATCGAAACGACGGACAGGGCAGGGCAGGGCAGGCAGGGCAACGACAGCTACGGTAGCAAGCAAGTTTTGTAGCAATTTTCTCAGCGACGCCTCGCTGCCAGTGACCCATTATTTGGGCGGGCCATCCTAAGATGACTAAGATGATGGCGGAAGGAAGTCCTAGAGGCAATGAAGGGAACGGCAGTGTAATTTGTATCGAAGGAGGTGTCTCGACTAGAACGTTCACGAATCAAGTACTTAAAAATGCCAAAGACGATGGTGATGGCGGCTGGTGATCAGATCGGCTCCGAACAAAGGCTCACTGTTCTAGAGGTAACTTGCTGAATTCTCAAGCCCGTTGAAAATACCTGAAGAAATGTATGCTTTCATCATCTACTTTTACTACAAAAGTTCGCTGGCATATTATTGGCAAAGAATGATTTTGACGAAGCGCATGCTAGCAACAAGAAAAGTGGTCAAGATACATATTAAAGAACAATTGCCCGCGAGGCGTGTACGACCTTGCTGGTTTTGTGCACTCTGTCTACTCTTTTAATAATTCACTACGCACTCAGTATAAAAACACCGATTTCCATATTATTGTAAGCTGGGAGCCGTAGAGGTCAACGGATTTGCAAAGCAAGCGAAACTTGGGCAGACTCACGCAGTCTTGGGTTTCCAGCGACAAGTCGCGCAACTCTGGGTAGCCAAACGGGACAAGGTGCTGCAGTGAGGAGTGGAAAAGTACGCTCGATGCGTTATTTATATAATATTCTGGCAACCTAGACGATGAACACTCCATTCCCCAGCGACGTCTCGTCAGTCGGAACCTGTTCTTGCCCGCAAAATGTGACATGTCCTGCCTTCCTGGCAAACAGCGGAGGAATGCGAAGCTTTGGCGAGTCCATTGTGGTAGAGGCATCCACATCCACTGGTGGTGCAGGTATTCGACGCGACGTCTTACAGCGGGTGCAAGTATATACCATGAGATGACCGTGAGACGGTGATTCTAGGCGCGACATTCAGCGATGGATAGCGAGACGAAGATGGGACATACACGCACTCTTCACTCGTATCGAGACCGTAGATCCTGGGACGAGAACGGTATCGCACCCTTTACAGATCGTTCGCTTGATAGACGGATCCCTTCGTGTACTGTCAGACTCGAAACATGGAATATTCTACGGAAAACGCACATTTTTACCGTCGTCTTTTGGCCTACAATCTTCATGGAAGAGACGTAGCTGCGGGACAGATCGCTGGTGGTGACTCGCTTTTGCTTTCTCTTTTGTGGAGGTGAGACGCCATTGAGATACACACTAGCTTGATACAGGAAGTTAAGACGCTGGATGATGTCTCTGTTGGGCACGTTGTTGGGATTCGGCGCCTCGTCTTTTGACTTTTTAGCCATGGTAGTACTAAGTAGGGAAGGCTGCTTAAAAGAATCGGAACTCGGCCCGGACACTCCACCTCGACCACCATGCCGTCGAAAACACTCGACTTTGCGTCCTTGGAAGGCTCTTCCAAATATCGCCAACTGCCCTCTCCTCCAGGTTTCTCCAAATCCCTTACCACCGTACGTCTTACCCGCCCTCAAGCCACGCTTATCCTAACAACCTCATACAGTCCAAAGGTCCATCCAAATCATCCACCACCTCGACAGCAGTCTACGACCAGCTCAAAGAACGCCGAGCATGGGACATGGCCATCGCTCCCGCAAAGTCACTCCCAATGCAAGCATTCATGCTCTACATGTCCGGCGGCGGGGTACAGATATTCAGCATGGGCATCGTTGCCATGCTCTTATGGACACCATTCAAGAACATCGCCGCGATTAACGAGGGTGCGTAGCCCATCCATTGCCATATATACGCCGCTGACCTCCAGCAAGCCTTTGTGCAATTCGCACCATCGACGGCACCGCCAAAATCACTGACGACCCTGCCCCTGCAAAAGATCGTGTACGTGTTATGCAACATGTTGACGCTGGCGGTGGGGCTGTGGAAGTGCCGGTCGATGGGGCTGCTTCCTACCGGGACGGGAGACTGGCTTGCTTTCGAGACGAGAGGCTTGGTGAGATCTTTCCCCCGAGTCCGTTACCATACACACTTACAACTCGCTAGGCTCCGGAATTATCATTATTCTAGCTTATTTAATGTTATCCTGCTTTCTTACTCCCAAGATCCTTCATCGCTTTCTCCACCTCGAGCCTCTCCATAACAGCTCGGGTAAGACTCGACTTGCCTTTAGGCCCACCTGCAGCCTGCGGCGTGGTAGAAGCTCCCTGTTCGTGAGTCCGCAAATGATGTGGTACAATAATTGGCGTGGAAGGCGGTGGTGGCGGCCACTAGACGCGATACTCAGAGATAACAATTAGGCGACTAAGAGAATTGAACACTTGCGTTTCGTCTTGGCTGATTGAAATGGAGTGCAGCCCATGGCGGGTATTCCTTTTCCAGCCGGATGATGTGTTCCTCGAGAAATCTTATTCTTGCTAGTAGGCTTGCTGGAGGAGAAGGTACTAGCCATTGAGAGACGCAGCCAGAGAAAAAAAGAATGGTTGGGGTACATACCGTAATGCACCGCTAGATGAGACTCGACGTTTGCAATTCGCTCAAAGACAGCAGGACTCTCCTCGTCTGCCTTTTGTTTTCCCTTTTCCTTCTTCATCGTTCGACGCAGCGGCCCGTCATCGTTTTTAGCAATATCATATTTCATCTGCGTGTCGCGGTCCAGCGTTTTGGCATCCGTTCTAGCACAGGAAGCTTCGGATGCGGGACGAAGAAACTCTGCTTGGTTAGACGCGTCGTTTCGAGCACGGTTGCGGCTCAAGTACTGCGAGATGGATTTCGTGACCCTACTCGGTGGTGGTAAGTCGCCTGTATACGCTGCCTTGCGGTCGTCCGGCTCTGATTCAGGTAAATGCTGCGTGTACATCAATACAATGAGTAAACTCTAAGTAAATATGCATACCTTGATATTCTCAATGAGCCTCTCCAGAGCACCAGGTACGGTTTCTCGTTCCCAGGCAGGGTTCAGGACGAGCATGTCGAGTTCGAAGCCGCGTAGAGCCTGGGTGAGACCGGCTTCTTGGAAGAAGATTTTGAGGGCCGAGTCCCATGATTGAAGGTGGTCGGTGTTGGTGGTTGCTCCATGGACAAGCATCAGTGGCTGTGTAGTAAGCAGTTGAACATTTTAGCCATGTGCACAATACCATGCTTCAATCATTTTTGGTCTCAATTGCTAAGGTAATACCAAGGTGGACTGCATAAATGACCCGTAGTATTTGAGTGGGGCGGGTATAGTAAAATACAGTTTCACGAGACATGAAATCTCGACCTACTGGACACCATCGAAAAGCTCCCGGAGTGTACCATGCAAGGTCGACGTACAGGTCCATGCAAACGGCCGAGGTAGCGATTTATAATATCAGCAAAGTGACGCTGCCCGACGCTCGCATAAGAGACGGGAGGAGGAAAGGCAAATCGACCTCCACAAGCTGTACACATGGAGGGAGCGCCATTGGGTGATATCAAAACTATCCGATATGTGCGTGCACACAAATGAGAAGATCTTGGAGAGGATTTCATTCATGGGAGCAATGAAGGAGCGGTATTTTGTGAGCGTAGTGGTCGCTCTGCAAGAAGATGGTTGATCCTTTCATCAATGGACTGAATATCTCCCTCCACGTACGGCTGAAATAGCAGATCTAACAAGTGAGGCCGCATTGTCGAGTAAGAGGCTGTCGTCAAAAATGTTGATATTTGCCCGTGGAGAATCCGCAATTGATACAAATTTCAGACATCTCTAAAACTCTGTTAGGATTGTAGGTCTAATGATAGGAGAAGAAACTCACCACCAAAGCGACCGATGATGCAGATGACTCTTGGCGGGAAACGAACGTCCCGGTCTTTCGGTCCGGTTCTCTTCAAGGAAATTGACAGTCGACCCCTGCCTCCACGAATCCTTCACTTCTCTCCTCGCCATCGTGCCAGAGATGGAAAGCACCGTTGGACCAGCATGTGTTGAGCGCGACTAGGACGGTAGCGTGGTGGTTCTTCCCGTGGGTCGAGTCGCAGTGCCAGTCAAAGTGACCCCCCTCGTCATACATCGCGAGCTTGTGAAGCCGGACATCAATCTCCTTGCCCACGAATAGGGTCGCTTCGAAGAAAGTCTTGAGGTCGAGGAGGAGAAAATGGAGAGAGGCGGTCTAATCCGATTCAGGCCGCGTCCGTTGCGGTAGGCAGGGTCTGGTCACCCTTGCCAAACGAAGACGGTTTGCTTTGGACGCGAATGGCGTCGATAAAGGGGCAGGAGACGATGCTGTTCAGGCCTTTTGAAACAGGTGAGTCGCATTTCACCACGAGGCTTTTGTGGTGTTCTGTCAGTTTCTTGATACTCTGCCTTCTTACTGACTTGTGCGTAGGTCAGAATAGCATGTTCGATGCACAGGGTTTAACTTCGGGATTCCCAAACTTGTAGATTAACATGAGGTTGACCACCAGGTGTCAACGCGGAAATGACACGGAACCCTTTCATGTCTGTCACGGTTTACGGTCAAGTGATCTTTGTCTCGGTTTTCCGTAACTTAGCCGGTCAATCGTACCATCTTCTCCATCCTCCTTTTGCAGTTGAGTAGACCTTCAACGTTTGGTGCCAATTGCTCGAACTGGAACGGAAGTAGCAAAGTATGTTGATATTCTCTTTCTCCGGTGATGAAGCTCACCTCATTACTTCCAAGCTGAATATGAACGAACCTTCCGAGTCTGATTGTGAAGACGAACATCAATTTACGTTACATTCCACACGTCCATCTATACTATCGGAGTTATATCACGACCCAAATTGAAGGAAAGTGGCGTCTGTCTTCGGTTCTGGTCTTGTTTGCTCCCCCAACATAACATGAATACGGACGCTTCACCAGTAACTGGCGGTGACGTTCCTCTTGGGGCCCCAGTCCCACCAGACTGCCCTCACGCGCTTCTTTGCTCTATACCTACATGGACCGACATCGTCGAATACATGGATCGCAAAGAACGGGTAGTGAAGACCCTAAAAACGGCATATCCACGCTTGAAGCTTCATACTTATGTCAAGCAGGTGTGTAGGCTCAGTCGATTCACGATTCTTAGCACTTGATCAAGTCGGATGCTAGCTCAGCAAAATATGTTCTGATATTCATGGCAAGGAAGATGAAGAGTGCTTGCTTTTCCCTTCTCTCAAAAACGCGGAGTATTGCCAGGAATACGTACTCAAACATGCAATGATGCAGCAGCGGCTCCGTATTGTGCGCTTCAGCTTACCCGTCAAAGACGATCCTGCCATCTCCCTCCTCCTTCCATGACGGCTGTCCCCGGAGCTCTTCGCAGTTCTCTTCCCATCATCCTCTTTCCCTCAAGCTCTGCCATTCTGGGTATACACCGGGACAGGGATATCCACGCGCTTGGCTGAACATTGCCTCTCTGCCCTGCCAATAGAATTGCTTGACACCAGCACTTTGACGATGCCTCTCGCACCACGCAGTTGGAGAAATTCCGAGTTCTATAACGTACATAGACCCTTGGAGTCGGGTGCGGAGGCCAAGACTGTTATCAGGAGACTCTTTTCCGGCATCATCAATGAAGGTCCAGAAAACATACGGGGCGTCCCGTATATATCACCAGACGACGTGTATCTCTATTCCACAGGCATGAACGCTATCTGGAACGTGCATCTAATGGTACTGCACACCCAATCGAAAGAAACAAAATGTGCTGCGTTGAAGTACGTCTTCCATGTATACCCAAATATCCTCCTCCTAAGGCAACACCTACAGCCTCTTATATTCACACACCCACGACGTGCTCGAAAACTGGGGACCCGGATACCACTTCCTCTCAAACGGCTCCATAGACGACCTCGAGACCCTACTCGCCCTCGAATACGCGCGCAACCCCAATCAGCCCCCCATTTCCGCATTGTATCTCGACTTCCCAGCGAACCCTCTCTTGAGGTCCCCTGACGTTCCCCGCCTGAGAAAACTCGCAGATCAATACGGGTTCCCGCTAATCATTGACGAGACGGTGGGCAACTTCCTCAATACACAGTTACTTCCATACGCAGATATCGTTACTTGTAGTCTCACCAAGGTCTTCAGCGGACTTGCGAATGTGATGGGTGGCGCGTGAGTTCCTCCATTTTCGCTCTCCTAACATTTTTTCTTACGCAAACCACGCCCTCCAGCTTCCTTCTCAACCCCGCATCGAAGCACTATCCGGCATTCAAAGCCTACATGGACACCAACTACGAAGACACTTACTTCAGTGAAGATGCTATCTGTATAGAAGCGAATTCCCGAGATATGAAGCGGCGTGTACGTATGATAGACCGCAATGCAGAAGTGATAGCCGATTTCTGCTACGAGGATTCGTTGAAAGCGGAGTCTGTTATCAAACAGGTGCTTTATCCAAAGTATCAGATGCGGGAACACTACGAACACTGCTGGTCTAAAGCCACTGATAATCCGGGATATGGAGGTCTTCTTACGCTGTCCTTCATCTCTAATGCTGCCGCAATGGCGTTTTTTGATGCCTTGCCATGCTATAAAGCTGTCACACTAGGCACAGTATTTACGCTCGCTGTACCGTTCGCGGAGGCAGGTTTCCACGATAAACTGGAATGGGCACAGGAGAACGGGATTGATTACGCCTCGGTGAGTGTTCTTGTACTCCCTACATGATTTTGTTTCTTATAATACCGTAGGTACGCTTCAGCATAGGCATGGAAGATCTGACAAGCCTGAGGGACGGATTCAAAGCAGCACTAACAAAAGCGGCGGCAGAACACGTAGCGTCGTTTAAGCAAAAGTGATGTTTCGTAAGTAGAAGTCAGTACAGTCATTCCAAGGTATCAACTATGGTACAGATGGAGTTGGCATGTTGCCAGTCAATAATGGTCGTAATTATCGTGAATCCTCGTAAGAGAGCGACAGTCAACAAAATCTTACATCACTCCGCTTCGTTACCTTGTCGTCTGTACTGTGAGCAAGGTCGTAATCCCGTCGGTTGCTATGCCTAGTGACAGTTAGCGCCAGTAATGCTACTTATCAATATCCATACCGTGATTGACTCTGTCAGACCAAAACCGCCTCTGAGCGTGTACCAAATGGATTGACATACAGCGAACACTCACCCTTCTGAACCAGCAGGAAGCAGGCCCGTGATATTCTTCGCCGTTGTAGTATAATGCACGCCGTCAAAGTGGTGGTTGCCGACAGCATGCTGAACTAGCTGGTCACGACCTGGATAAAGATAACGACACAGAAGACATGCATATCATGAGGACGCCAAACCAATATTGTATCCATCAGGGACGATTGTGTGTTGCTCTTCCAAATCCTAATACCGGGATCAGTAAAATCAGACTAGAAAAATCAAACACAGCTAACTTCTTCTTGAGAAACACTGCGCCGGTAAACACGTCAGAACAGGTCGGAAGTTGGAGGAGAAACTTACGCAAGGAATAACGCGCCGCTCATTGCATCCGGCCCATCTTGACGATAAACCCTACAGAACCGGTTTGTTTTCAGCTAGGTGGCAGAGAATTTCGCACGAAAACACACCGAAAATGATTCCCACCAATGATGGTCTCAAGACACGTCCCGAGCTCCTCGTTTCCATAATCCTCTCTGAGTTCCATCTACGCGATATATTCTGAGTTTGTCGAACTCCAAAAACGCGCATATACCCACCGTCTGATTAACCCAGCCGTGTCCGTCCCCAAGGTTTGCTGATTGCGGGTCGCCAATATGGATGCCGAGACATTCTTCGGAGCTGGGAAGACATGAGAAGGGAGAATACGGATTCAGTGAATAGACAAGTAACATACAATCCAATCGCCCGTGCGTAATTACGATTCCGTCGTTCGTGAGTACTTCTGGAGAGCTTTTGCCGGATATTATGACCTGTAAATTTCGAATCAACGCGATCCATCATACCAGCCAAAGAGAACGGCAGACATTGAGCGGCTCGCCTAGCCCTCCCCCAGCTGCAGACGTTAGCGTCGACGCATCGTTAACCAATATCAAGCTTACCGTTGTCCAGCATGGATCCACCATTTAGATTTGGATCATAGAAATCCACTGATCCAGGCTGTATGGGAAGCTGAAGGGCCAGAGCAAGAGGAGCAAGGACAATGAGTACAGTGAGCATGGTGGGGGATGAGAAAAGAAGCAGAAGCAAGGTGATTTCGTCGTAATTAAGGTCTATTTTAGGGGTACCCATGTCGGTGCTTCTCTGATAGTGCACCGGAATAATACGATCCCTGACGTTCCATGGGTCGACGAAAAACACCGAACCAACACGCGCAAGAACGTTCGACATGAGTACCACGAGAAAAGAATGGTTTTCTGCTTATCAACATCCTGAAAATGCGAGAGTCAGTCTGCTTCTGTCCACCACTCAATTAAGGAAGTTGATTCTGTGAAGAATTACTTTAGAAGCCACTCAGACGTCGCACGTGCTAGCTGGACAATATGCTACACTGGCGCGTGTTACTTGCTCTATTGGAATCGTCTTGACAGACACTGATGGAAAATCAAGCACTAGCTCTGGTTGGCTATTCCGGATCAAAGAGCTCCATGGTTATCGCCCCTTCAAGGGAGGAGGAGGTTTTATTCTGGAAATCACTGCAGACTTGCCGTTGTCTCGACCCTCAGAAGTCGCCTATCTAATCAGTATATGACGATGCATCAAGAGAAGGATAAAGATCCCGTGTAGATATCTCACTATTGTTATGAACATGATTTCATGCATCTAGATCAATGTCTCTGTCTCTGGGTAAAGTCCAGATATCCAGCTGGCTTCTCAAAGACTAACAATCGATTTCAGCGTTTTGAAAAGAAGTAGTCAAACAACGTACCTTTCTGTAAACACCACCCGTATAGAGGTATGAGTCTTGACGTTATACACCTTGTCCGCCAGAAGTTGTCCAGGAAAGCGATGCACAGAAATACAACCGACAAAGAGAGTCACCTCAAAGAAGCACATGGATAAAGCCGCCGCCAGAGGAGCGTTGTATGAAGTAAAGAGGTACATATAATAGCCAAGCTTAGGGCTCAAGCTTCTCACTGTCAAAGTCACGGTGTGGACCAGGACTACATGCGTTCTCCTGATATATGTATGTAAGATAAACATTCAAAGAGCCAAAGGGAAGACAAATCTTTTTCTTCTTTCGACGCACATTCCTCGTCTATCTCGGCTGATGATTTTGCTCTCACAGCGCCGTCTTCCCCTTCAACCCCCAGAGCGAGGGAGCCCCCCCCCCTAGTCAGGCACCTGTCTCGAATAATACTGATGATACACACGTAAGCCCTCTCCGAAATCACAAACAGTTCTGAGGTATGGTAGACTGGATCTCTACACCCAAACTCGGATAAGGATGCGACTGAGATGCGACCATGCGTTGGCAACTTGGCATTGAACTAGACATGCTCGACAGCCAAGGGAATTCAACAAGTTTTCCCTGTCTTCTCACGGCGCATTATTTTCCGTAGTCTTCGTTCACGAGACTAGCATTGGACTGGCCGTTTGGTTTGTTCGAGTGGTAAGTAATAAAAATAACGGGTGTGGCACAGCCACCAGCGAGATTGATCTTTTCCGAGTAGTTCCGAGTCTTCCGTCCCTTCTTGGGACCACCAACACCAACACCATATGCCGATTTTCTAAACTCTAAACTCTTTGTGAACGTATTCTCGGTCTAGTTCTCTGTCGCTTGCACAAGCCCTCCAAGATTTTTGCGTATTCTCTACAACGTCTCTGACTTATCTTCGGGATATTTCCTACCAGTACTTATGACTCACTTTTCTTGTTTCTGGACTCTTACTTATGTGCAACCATAATCTCATCTGAGTCCTTCCATGGCTCTAGCTATCAGAAAATGCTTATCTGTTAATATTGTACGGCAAACGCCACGATGATAAGCGCCCCATGATCTTACCAGTTGAATATCGGAGCAGTTGTCGCACAGCATCTTCAGATATCACTCAAACCACCATGTCTCGAAGCATCGTCAGCCAGTGCATATCAGCTGTCAAATTGATTCAAGCTGCGGGGGATATGGCACCATTCCCGTATATCAAAGGACTAGCTAACGTCGCGGTCGTCCTGCTAGAACTACTTGAGGTGATTTCTTCCTTCTATTAATGCGTGTACCACCTACTAACACGATTCATCTTCCTGGCAGAAGGCTGACAAGAATAATGCAGATCTCATCCATCTTTCAAATAGCTTGAGTAACACCCTCGTCGTTGTACGAGACACGGTCATAGCCCACGGAGAATCTAGCGCCCAACATTTCAGAGAATTTTGCGTCGAGGTGACAAAGTAAGCTTCTCTTGATCCTCAGTCAGTTGAAAGTGTATTAGACTAACTGCTACAGCTATCTTGCAACGGTGCTGAACGACCTCAACTCGATCAAGAGATCTAAATACACCCGTGGCATCAGACAATATCTACAGACAAATGATATCTGTGACAAGATTGATGAATACAAGCAACGTGTACAGGACCTCAAACTTGATTTTTTGAGGAGTACTCAAGCTCTTCAACTGGCTCTGCTGTCTTACCGTTCCTACAGATACGTGTAACGACCGAAACTCGATTCATCGCGTCGGAAGTAAACGATTACTCTATCGCTATCGAGGACGCGCTTCGAACATTGAGACACGACCTCTATGACATACATGAAGAGACTCGGACCCGGTGTCGACGGAGAGCGCTATATCAAGACCAGGTGAGTCTACAGCCTACACATGTCTTTCATTTCATTAAGGATTCATGCCAGATCTACGAAATCATGCCCTGTGATATAAGCATGAAGCAAGAAGTCTTTAAACACACACACGAGCACCTTATGTCGGTCGACATCATTGATTACTATAGCGAGGTCGATACCAGCGCTTCTCCAAAATTGGTCCGGGTTTACAGAGCACGACGCGGTTCGGAAGTACAGGCTGTCAAGGTGAACTCGGATCTCTCGAATTACATCTAGGCGTGCTGTGTGACTCTATCTCTTCGCGCAGATGTTATACGATGATCTGCATCAATTTCTTTCTCTCCGGTTTGCGTAATAGCCATTGTTGTTAAGCTGTATTATCTGACCTGCTGTTACAGGCACCCGAACATTCCTCAACTGTTCGGAGTATGTACTTCGTCGTCCTTTCCCGCTTTGATTTTCCACCAGAGTAAGGCGAACGCTCTCTGTCTTTTGCACTTCTAAATCAGAAATCCGCGTACTCAAGATGCGGCACGCAAGAAAACCGTAGAACAACATCGGTCTTCTCTAGCTCTTCTCGATGTCTTGAACTTTGATCTTCAGCTTGTAAGTTTTCAAGTGATCATTACAGTATTCCTGATTGAACCTGACGTAGATGTCGGATATGCGGGTGGGTAACTTCTGAATTGTTCCATAATTATCAACAAACGGTCACAGTCGGCCTCAATGTACCTACAAGATTTCGAAGGGATTCGTGAATGGGTAAGTCAGAAGACTCGTGCGCATGCCTCGACTAACTTGAAGGAAGATCGTAGGCCCAGACACGACCTACGTGGATGGAAATGGAAGAGTGATCTATGATAACTTTTGTCCTTCATTGGGCACCGATAGTGATGCATGGTTGCGAAGCGTGTTTCATCTTCTAGAGACCAATATCCGTCGCCCTAGCTATAATTTCTCGCATCCACGGTGGAAGTCTCTCATAAAGAGTCTCCAGATCATGCAAAGTCCTTCATTCATTCACAAGGATAATCTGCTACCGTTGTACGAGATGATATATGCATTCGTTGTGGGGAAAGAATGCATCGTGGATCCCGAACGCCGCGGTCTTTACGCTGGCGGCCACATTATCCGGGAAAATATCCACGACCGTCCTTCTAGTGGTACCACCCACGTTGCCTCGCTGCCGCTGGACCTTGAACCTGTTCAATGGACATTCTCTGACCTAGGAATGAGAGACAATGAAGATATCATTCCTGTTGAAGGGTACGTCGCCCTCACTTGCCGGAGCTTCGAGACTTGAAGCGCAATTTGGTCTTGATTACAACAGAATTCGGGTTAAATGGAAGCTATCCAATCTCAGGCACTGGGTGTGTGTCAGGCCAAGTCACCTCGCTTTTCCCGATGCCCCAGGTTCACGACATGGTCAAAAAAGCATTGAACATCTGGTTTATGCCTGGTTTGCCCAATGTTCGCAGCTCACAACGCCAAAATGCCTGATTGATGCGCTGTTATTGGGTGAATTCATCTGACTTGCACACTCATATCTCAACGATGCTGATCTCCCCGCAAAGATGTAGAGTTCATGGTCAATGTTGATTGGCGTTTTGGACATCAATATGATGTTTTCCAGCTCTGTGACACCTTCATCGCCAGCGATGTCGAATTAACAGATGACATATATCTGTGTATATATCCGCCCTCTCAAAGAGACGAACCCGAGTTCCGATGGTCCTTAGACCCAGACATAGGAGACAGTGTGTCACATCGCGAAGCGTGGTCGGTCCTTGGGATCGATACCCAGATCTACGCCGTTTATACTACGTGTAAGCTTTTCACAGATGTCTACAAGGACATTCAGGATTTGCATCGTGCGTGCGGCTTTGACTCCTAAGCCCGTGGATCTGATATATGCGAGCACTACGGACTTCCACGGATGATCGGAGGCATTATCTACTCCCGTTTACCCTGATTCTGCACAGACTTCTACCTGCACCATTTCCAGAGCAAGTCCTTTGACAAATGTTCCTCTTTCCATTCTAGTTGGTGGAGTAGTACTTCTTTTTACACCTGCACTCCTAATAACGCAGGTTTAATCGAATGAGCTTGGCCAGTGGAACCCATCTGTTCAATGCTACTGCCTTAGTAGCATACTTGGAAGTAATTCTTAACCTCGGTACATATTGTATTTCAAACGTCGTGTATCACAGGCTTTCAATCTAATCCTTGATCGTAGAAACCCGTAGCGACAGGGAAGGGCTGGTCGACAGATGGTCGCAACAATGTAGGAAGACAATGACCGACACTGCTGTTTTTCAAGTTACCGGTCAGGGCCAATGGACAACGAATTTCAATTTTGTGTAGTTCAACTCAAATTGGGATTTGATCCCGAAGACCATGGCACGATGTGTTTGACCTGTTCGTGCTGGCTCCGAAATCACAATGACTCCTCCCTCGTCTATTCCAGTGCTTGATCCAACTAACGTGATTGTCCTACGACGCGATATCGTACGCTTATCATCTCAGATAATTCTGCGTTCTGATTCCGACTACAGTTACCTGCGAACTTAGCTGACTGGAGAAGCTATGAATGTGGACCACAGGACGTTCCTCATGATCACACATGGCTACCTCTATGGTCCCGTCTGCAGCCCTTACTCAGCTCTCGCGGGTACACTTTATGGAACTGGGCTTGCACTCGTTTCTCCAAACGACCGTGGACCATCGCCAAACGGGTTTCTTTATCACACACCAGCTATATCGGATAGTTATCAGAGCCTGCGTTATGTGACCCCCACCGTCTGTCTCTTCGCCGAGAGCGTCCCTCGAATCAATTTTAATATCCTTTCTAGAATGCCAATATCATAGCAGCCCGCCATAATGACGACCGGGATGTGATGATCCGTATAATAACTGCTGGTGGAGAGGGCCACAACGTTCTCCGTATTGTCAAGAAAATCTGCACAGGCGAAGAGAGCTTGTTGAGCCACAATCACGCCCTTTCCCTCTTGGATATATTCGAGTACAACGATCTCACATTTGGTGTCTTTCCTCGGGTCGCGGTATCATTGTCGCGGTCCATTAATAGTTAGCCAAAGAACACAGTAGAAGACATCATGGATATGCTGATGCGGGCAATTGAAGTAATCTTTCCACTCGATGAGCTGCCCCATGCTAATCTTGGCATCGTTTAAGGGGATCGTATTCATTCATGAAAGGCATCGTATTGCTCATAGGGTACATTCCCAGACATGATCGGAGAATGTGATATTGAATTAAAAATCCTTCCAGGATCTCTTCTTGAGCAACTTTCTACTCGAATGGCACCCAAACACTTTAGATCCCGGCATGAAGCGGCGTGGCTTCACTCGACCTAGGGTGTATATTATAGATTTCGAAACCGCTGTGGACTTCCTAGAGGATTCCACACCTGAAGAGCGCGTCGTGACAGAATATCCCTTCCCCTTGGAGTCTTATGGACGGCCTGTACCACCCGAATTTCACGTCTCGAATACATATGATCCTTTCACTTTGGATATATGGCAATTTGGCTCGGACTTGACGAGGTTTCGTGTGTGTTCGGGATATACAGTTCAATCAATGAAAGACTGACCTCGATTCGGTTCGTTCTGTAGTCAACTATATGGGAAATCGACGAAATATTGGAGTCTACGAGGAATGAAAATCCTCGAATCGTCCAACAGCGGTAGAGCTTTTGGATAGACTAGACGCCGTTATCAGTGGCATTCCTCCGGCCCTCTTGCGCAAGAAACCTGTAGAGTTACCTGAGAAGCAGTATGTCATGTCCGAGTTGCTGTACAAAAGGCTAGAAGCAAACAAGGAGAGGCTAGAGGCTGAAGCTAAGGAAAGAAGAAAGCAGACTGAAGATTAAATAAACTTGTAATTGTACGAAGCAAACGTAGCATGATCGGCGACTTCCCGGCAACGCGTCAGTTTCAATCGGAGATACAAAAAATCAATTGCAGCCGACTTCCGTCCGCTAGTAGCCGCTACGTACGTCATTTATTCTTCGACTATTATCATCATGAATCCCAGCAATAGCTGGGAGAATATTGCTATCACATCCTCAATCAAGCCAACAGTCCTCAAAACCATGCAGTCAGTGTACCGATATCGGAACCTCATTGTTCCTCTTCAATTCGACAGGTGGTGGAACAGGCCTTGTTTTACATACAAGGTCGAAGGGGACTCCTTTACGCCCAGCTCTATCATTCTCGAATTTAACGAAGGGGATTCTGACCAGCCTGTACAACGCACGCATTTCATGATCTCCGTCGACCAACAGACAGTGTACGACGAGTTCAAAAACGAGGATTTTGCTTGCCCAGATGACGTCGTGCACGAGTTGCGGGAACTACAGAATATTGCTTTGAGGCATGCTCGAGGACGTCAGCAGAGTATTCTTCGTATGAGGCAACATCTTGCACAAAACGAGCAAGCAGCGAAGCAAAGGAAAGAGGAAGCGATTCAGGTAGGTTTCTACACTGTTCGCGGGTCTGTCTCATCGCGACTGCTCTAGTCATTCTACAAGCGCTTGGTAGAACATCGAATCATTGAGCTTCATGCCCTTCCCAGTCCACCCGAAGACAGTTGTCCAGTATGCCAGATGCTAGAGGCCCTTGTAAAGTGCCTCAAGTGCGGCATTCTCTGCTGCCCTAATCCTTCTTGCCCCAGCCACAGCTCCGACGGACTCAAGGTGTGTACCGAACACCAGGAGACGCGTTTTTGTCAGAGCTGTATCGGCGCTGGCAGCCATGCCAAGCTGAGACCATGTCCTATTAAAACCTGTGACCAATGGACATGCGAGAAGGACTGGCAATGGTGCTTTGGCCGTCCCGTACATATATTGCCCAGCTCCAGCGATGATACGAGCAATACCAATCTGGGAAAGGGCAAACAAAAGGTTACAGCTCCTGCACATCCTCCAGCGCTCGAGCCTTGTCCTAACCACCATGGGTTCGTTTGGACGAAATGCGGTGCGCGTGGCTGTTGGTCGAAAAAGGTGCCTAAAACGTTGTCGGGCTCTTACCGCCCCGCCATTTGCCCCGCCTGTGAAGCCGAGCCCGGGCACAAAACTTGTTCTAACGAATGTACCTGGATTTGCGCTGCTTGCGCGTTCAAGAGAGTCAGGCCGATTTGGAATTGCCCTTCATGCCACACCGCCCTGTGCAATGATTGTGGTGTGGCGAAACGTTGCTTTGGCTGCAAGAAGTCTGAGTGGTGCTCGACTTGCCGCGGCGAATCCGACGGTGAAGAGGAATCCGATGAAGAAAATGGCGATCAACCAACCAGCAAGCCCTCCAAGGAAATTGGAAGGACTGACTCTGGATTTCTCAAACAAGAGGAAACAAAGTTTGAGTGGATGTGCCATATATGTGAATCGGCTCTTTGCGAAACTTGCTCACGAAACACTAAACTCGCTATCGTCTGCGAGTACTGTGATGAAGGCTGTTGTCGTTCGTGCTTGGTTGCCGACGAGTGCTCTTTTTGTCGTGAAGACGTGATACGGTGTTCCGAATGTTCCGACGGTCGTGAAAACAGTCTCTGTTGTGACGCCCCTTGTACAGATTGGAATGAAGCCTGGCCGTAAATGTTGCTCTAATTTACTGCTATGTAATAAAGTAACTGATTTTGCATCCGGGGCCTGGACCCTGCCTTTAGATTTCACGCCATTTCCTGACTTTTCCTTGCTTACACCACTCTTCCCTCGCTCCTGGGATTTGCGTGGATTTATTCTCACCATGGCGTCCGTCGGAGTGGACCAATTCGGTTCTAGGCTCAACGTAATCGCGCGCGTGATATCTTGTCCGTCTTACCCGTCATGCGGGGCCCCGCATCATTGCTCTCCAGACTGGCAAAGCGACGATGGACTCGAAATCTGACCATGTCTGCAGTGGAAGGCTCTCTTCATCCTCCCTTGTGCCACAAGACGCTGCCCGACTTCTTCGCCTCTGAAATCCTGCAGAAATACGCTGCGAAACCGGCTCTGATATGCAGGAATGAGCACGCCCATTCCCTTGGAGGTCCTCGCCTAGCTAATCTCGGCGTAGAGTCACACTTGGCTTGGAATTTTTCCGATTTCGAGAGGTGCATTAGCTCGGCTGCACGGGGTCTCTTGGACATGGGTATCCAGAAGGGCGACCGTGTAGGAGTTCTCATGGGCAATAACAGGTGAGTACGACGAGCTCTTTCTTTGTATATTCTCACATTCCGTAGCGCCTATGCGATTCTGCAATGGGCTTGTGCGTCTATCGGTGCCATTCTCGTCACTATCAACCCGGCTTACCGGGTGAACGAGCTCGTATGTCTCGAAACTGTCCCTCCTCTCCCTTCTCTGACTTGTCCTCAGGCTACTGCTTTGAGACACGTGGGTGTCAAGCACCTCTTTGTCGTTCCCCGAATTCGTTCGTCCGCATATATCCAGCTCCTAGTCGACCTTTACCCTTCCATACGAAGCGCGCACCCAGGAGAGATACAAGAAGAAGCCCTGCCGAACCTTCGTAATATCGTCGTCGTCGATAACGAAGAGTCGTGTAGAGCCGAGCTAGACGCGCTTGAGGTAAAGTCGCTTATAGATTGGCGCGAAGTATTCGTATGGCGGCAAGATAGAATCAGCCTGGATCAACGACGTCAGGCTGCAGCCGAGTCTCTACACAAGGACGATATCATTAATTTACAGTTCACTAGGTCACTTCTTTGTCTGCGTAAACTACTACCTTTCCTTATTTTAATATTTCAGTGGCACGACTGGGTCTCCAAAGGCCGTGTCGCTAACTCATCACAATTTATTAAACAATGCTCTTTCAGTAGGCAAATGCATGCACTTGACGGACAAGGATCTCGTCTGTGAGTTTTACATCAACCCCAGAAGATTTTGCTTGACTCCGAGAAAAAGGCAACGTACCCCCGCTCTTTCACTGTTTTGATAAGTCTTGTCCATTCGCACAAAGTTGAGGGTTTGCTTATTTCCCATTTACTGCACGTCTCGTCCTTGGGAACCTCGCAGCATGGTCTTACGGGGCGGGCATCGTCTATCCTTCAGAAATCTTTGATCCAGCTGCTATCGTGGATGCAATCGTAGAGGAAAAATGTACGGCATTGCACGGCGTGCCCACCCATTTTCTCGGAGTATTGGCCGAGATAGACGACAGACGTGCTCGAGGAGAAGAGCCAGACACGAGAAGCCTGCGGTAAGATGCCGCCGTTTGATCTGCACTCGATATGAATGCTGATTCATTAACGCAGGACTGGCATTGCGGCCGGCTCCCCGATACCCATAGCCCTCATGCAAGAGCTCATCGCCAAACTGAATCTTGTGGATCTGACGAATGCATATGGCATGAGTAAGTCGCGTAGCGATTATCTTTCATTTCGTTCTGTTGCACAAATCACAATCATCCGCAGCCGAAACAAGGTAGATACCATCCAGTTCAAGCACCGTTACTCATATATCTCATTCCGTGCTTTACTAACAGTCCAGTATCCTTCCAAACAACACCTGAAGATCCCGTCGTCAAGCGCGTTGAAACAGTCGGAAAGGTACAGCCGCATGTTAGAGCAAAGATCGTTGACACAGACGGCCAAGTCGTCCCTGTGGGTACTCCCGGACAGATATGTGTTGCGGGGTACTTGGTACAGAAGGGGTGCGTAGTCCTGGAGTTGAAGTGATCTTGGTAGATTAAATTGTGATGATCAGGTACTGGGAGGACGAGGCGCAGTCTGCTCAGGTTATGCAAAGGGACTCCGAGGGGACCCTGTGGATGCTTACCGGGGACGAAGGAATCATGGACGAAGAGGGATATTTGAAGAGTAAATAAACCTCCAAACGTGTTCCGTTTCTATATGCTGACATCTGTTACAGTCGTGGGCAGAATCAAGGATATCATCATCCGAGGGGGAGAGGTACGCACTGCGTCCGAGATTTCATGAACCGCCCTTGTTTACCCCAGCACTCAGAACTTGTTCCCAGTTCAGATCGAAAATGCCTTGACGACTCATCCAGGTATCCATGAAGCTGCTGCGGTCGCGGTGCCTGATATTCGGTATGGGGAGGTTGTTGGGGCTTGGGTTGTTCGCGCGCCGGGGCACAATGATATTTCAAAGGAGGAAGTTCGCAAGGTCGTTTCTGATGCGATGAATCCACAGGTGAATACGAGCTAGGGTTGTCAGGGTGCATTTACTTACTGGTGTCTAGAACGCTCCGGTGTGGGTTTGGTTCGCGGATGAACTTCCAAAGACGGCGAGTGGGGTGAGTTTTGTGTGGGTTGAATGCATTTTCTGCGTGCGGCTTATTGTGTTAACAGAAGGTCATGAAGCATATTTTGAGAGATCGGAGTAAGAAGTTGTCGAGAGTCAATGATGGGCGGGTGGCGACGCAATGACTTGCACGGAGCGATAACTCGTGTATCACGTACTGCAATCTCTTGCAAAGCGAGTCTTTGTTGGCTTACTAGTACCAGGAACAAGATGTATGTGTTGCAATCGTCTCAATAATCCGATGTAATACACAGGTGTCAGCAAAGAAGAAAGTCCCAAAAGTCGCCCGCGACATGAATAACTAAGGCTACATTGGACCAACTCGTATCGGACGTGCATGCTACGAAAGTGGTATTAGAAATATTCCGCCGCATATGCGCCAGTGAGAGAACTCACCAAGATTAAATTCCTGCTATGCTGAATCGTGCATGTCATTCGAGGTCGTCGGTCCGAGTAGCGCCCATGCGATCAACGATGTCTGAAGGAACGGTGTGCAAAGGATGTGTAATGTATAAGAAAGAATGTAAATTCAAAAGAAGGGCAGAAACGGATGAGGGCGAGTGTCCCAGACAACGATTCCTAGCGTCCCGCGGCCGAAATCGAACCAAGTTTCCTCTTGTCGTAAGAACGGAGGGAATATCTAAAAGTCCCAGAGGGTTCCCTGGTTCCGAATTGATTAACAGACGAACTAGACAGATGGGGGAGGACTCACAAAGCAAGGAATCCCAGCCTTCCTTCAGACCTTCCATCATCTCTTTATTTCCCTGAGCATTGGTAGTAATTATTACCACCTCGGCGCCCCAGGCATGATAGATATCCTTGATAATCTTCACGGTATTCGCACGTGTCCCGCGCGCCTTCGAGTCCCAGAGCGTCACTCGGTCGGGATACAGGTGCTTTTTGATCAGTCCAGAGATCTCGGGTCCGAATGTTTTCTCCTGATCAGAGCCCATCCATAACAGATACCTGTATAAATCGCGGTATGAGAACCAGAATTACAGCTGAAGAGTAAGGATATTCACCAGTTGGGGTTCTTCGGAGTAGAGGTACGATCAGTCCGTATCCTTGGAAAGGCTGAAATAGGTACATACCTGAATACATGTAGAGAGGCATGCTCCCAAACCAGTACCGGTACACACCCGGAGACCCTCGTCGGTAAAGACTGGATGTAGCTCCTACAGCAGCAAACTATGAAAACTAGCTTAGAGGCGTTTAAAGGCAGGCAACGACTGTTGTGCAGACCTTAAGTTCCCTTGTCCAGAGATGTGTGGGCGGATTCTCTACAAGTCGGCGCGTGAACTGAACGCTTCATGAGTCTCAATAGCAGTCACCACTGTATATGAACTCACGTCTCCTTGAACGCCGGAAATCAGATAGTGTTCTCCTGATTCAATACCTTCGCTGATTGTGCCGCTGGAACGTTTACGAACGCTTTAAGCTCAGGATCAAATCAGTATTCTTAAGATTGACTTACAAGGCATGGTATTCCATCAACGGTCCTTCGGAGATTCGGCAAACTAAACCTTGACGCATTCCCCGCTTCAGTTTAATTATAGCAACTTTCGGCGATGGCTAGAAAAGAGACTGGGTGAGCAAGGGTACGACTCAGTAACTGACACCAACTCACAATAGTGATTTCCACTGGGACTCTACGAACAGTAAGCCACGGTATGATGATGCTGAAGATGAAGGTCAGGAGGAACTCAGAAATTGCCATACTAAACATACAGAATAGGTCATAAACAGCAAGAACCAGAAGTCTTGTTGGTGCGCCACCTTGCTTACATGGAAGGTCTTTGTGTTCGAATCATAGGCATCGCCGAGGAAAACGAAGACCCAGGCTAGAATGAGTATTGGTCATTTTAGATCCGATCGTACCCCGCAAAGGTTAATAAACATACTGGATACAACGCCAGTCCTGTGGAACAGAAGAGAATGATCAGAGAAGAGGACGGGAAGGAGAAAAGGTGGCTCTCACCATCCAATGAACCGATGGTGGCGCTCGAAAACGCTGACAGATAAGTATAATTAGAAGGTGTAACGACATAAAACTGAAGCCCTTACTTATGATGAGTATTCCTCAACCAGGGCATAGCGGACAGCATGGCAAAACCAACCGCCAAATTCGTCAAAACGCCAAATGCGAGAATGGCGCCGTTGAGACTGAGGCGCTCATGGAAGATCAAGCTGCACTTGAAGATCAACCACATAACGGCCGAAATGGCGCATCCAGAATGAATCCCGCCGACATGTTGTAACGCCGACGAGATGCCAAGGCGGAACCACAGCGGTGGCCACTAAGGAGGCTATTAGCAACGTTCATTTCATGAGGGATAGATCGGCCGTACTTTTGCAAACGCGCTGCATAGGACAAGATATAGAAACCTAGTGAACAGTTCCGTCCGTACCAGAACAGAAAACAAGAGATTCCCAAGGATCCAGGCGCCCGTGTAGTTACGAGGATATTCCCAAGCATGAGTAGCAGCGCAAATGAGCGAAATGAAGTTGAACAGAAAAGCGACGGTGAAAAAGCGCCTGCAAGGGAAACCTGAGTTTAGATTACGAGATTTTTTTTTTGCCACCCACCGATATGTATTATACCACAACCGGAATTTGACCCAACTGCTAACCCGTTTTTTGGTCGGTCTGCGAATGAGGGCCAGCTCATTCGGCGACAGTTCTTTCGACGGAAGTGTAAGAGCGATCGTTTCGAACTTGGCGTGAGGTAGAGGGGGAAGAGGTAAGCACGGATGTGGCAGAGGACCCTTACTACAGGAGTCCTGACTGACTATAGATGGTCGTGAACTCTGGAGAGTAAGGGGAACTGCATAACACTCCTCTGCGATGCCCTTCTCAGCATCGTCGACGGAACAATCGGACGGCATGAAGCTAAAGAATGTGGTTGGAAAGAAAGTGAATGAATATGACCCTTGGTTCGACGTCCGATTTAAATAACGTCGTCATTTTCCGGTTAAAGTGGTCTGTCAGGGACGATTACGAAGTATTGGGAAACAGCCCTTTACATCTGTCACTCCAGACTCGGCGTCCAGACCAATTTTCCCACGTGGACGGCGCTCTTTAGAGGATTGTTATCGGCGTTTCTATGGTTATTTGGTTGTTAGACCACCGAGGCTACCGATGTAATCGAGGAAAACAGGATGGTACAGTAATGATCGTTCGCTGAAGATTAGACCGAGATTGTTTTTCATTGTTGTATTAGTGGGCATCCGACAGCCACGCGTTCGACCTTCAGCTTCAGTTATCACCGTATACTTTTTCCTTAGCTATCGATACTATTTTTTGTAAACCTTGATTGATGTACCGACGGCCGTCAGTAGTCGCAACAAAAACATCCGAAAGAGTGGAAGCAACTTGAATCAGATCAGGTCCACAGGCACATGAAGAGACACTTATTGCTCCGAAAATGATTTCTATAGCGAACGAAATGGAGGCCGATCCGCTGAAAGTCGGCGATAACCAGAAAATGGTTCGGGTCCGCCAACAAATTGTCGGATAGCTGGTATGCTGTGTATTACACATGTATACACAGGTACTGAAGGAACTGCGGGACTGCAACTCACCGAATATATTCCAAGAGTATGGACGGCCCATTGCTTACTGTAGAGGAAACATGCGAGGTCGGCAAGTGGAACTCCTGAGCGAACTTCGGATCTGAGATCTGCAGTTCAATCCGGCTTTACCGGGCCGGGTCGGGCTCTTGACCTGTTCTCAACCTTTATCATGCCAAGTTTTTCGCAAGAACAGCAGTCCTGAGAAATCCCTCGATTTTGGTCCTCGATGGATAATACAGTTGGGTAACTCTTGCGTCTAATATGAGGGTGGAGCCGTACGCCTATTCATGGTATCTTTCGTCATCTATCGGCATACTTAGGCTATGTTACCATTTCTTCTCTGGGGCTCTCGGAGCTTAGCTGTTCCTCTTGGTCCGATAGTTCTCACGCGATAAAGTTGCTCGGCGTGGCTCTTCTTCTTACAATGTGCTGTAGCTCCCGGGAAGCTCGATTAATTTTCACAGCCCATAACATCCGGTATAAAGACTACCTTCATCTGTATTCACATCGATATTCTTTTTCTCTTCTCCTGCCATGGCGGTAGTACATCGGACCAAAAGCGAAGAGATAGCCCTTGGAATGACTCTTCTTGGTTCAATCTTCTCCTCAATGTAGGTCCTCGACCTCACAACTATGCACCTCACATCTAATGCTATCCAGCCTGTATGGAATCTCCCTGTCCCAGACATACACGTATTATAAGCGTTTCCCCAAGGATGCCTTGTCGATTAAGTACATGGTAAGACTTTGTGTATGTCCATCATCCGTTCCTGGTTCACAATAAATGTGTAGGTTGTTATCATGACGTATGTCAACAATTTTTTAACATCGTATTCTTTGTCCATCTAACAAGCGCAAAGGATTATCGATGCAGCATCTGTCGTTTTCATGGCTCACGCCTGTTGGTAAGTCTTAACTAACTACTGTCTTTCAATATGCACCTAAATAAACTGTAGGTATTATTTCGTGACTACGGGACCTTTCCATCTTTATGTCTGGTCTGTGGATATTAGATCCGTCCCATTTCTCTTACTTAATTCAATGGTTAGGAGCCTCAATGTAAGAGTAGTCACCCGATGCTCAAATCAGTTTTTCATTCTTCAAGTTCAGGCAGAACTTGCATTTTCTGTAGCGTCACTTTATTTTTGCAACTTGGGGGATAGTCGCTGACGCTTCGAAGATGTTGATATCAGGTCTTTCAGAAGGGTACGCCTTAAATGCTGCCGTGACTACATACGTCATTGATGAATGGCGACAACAGATTCCTTGCATATCGTGTCTGGTTACGTCAGTCTTCGCCAAAAAACCCCGAGATCCTGAATTTACTGAGATCTTAACTATTATAGTAAGCGGGCGCCGGACGCTCTTGACATTGGTTTTGGTGAGCTTTCTGCCAGGTGATTGTGATTGTGACTAGAACCTACCTCAAACAGCTTTGTTTGGCCCTCGTGCACTTAGGTACGCTGTTGACGCTTGCGATGAGTAAAATGCTAAGTTGCATACAGTAAGCGGCGAAGGTGCGCCCCGGATTTAACAGCTTAATTCCCACCAACCATTGCATGCGCACAGTCGCAGCGGGTCAATCTTTAGCTTTGCACCAGCTTGCGAGATTCGGTAGCGTGAAGGTATTTGAAAGCAACGCTCGGCATCCTGTTAACTGACACTTGTCCGGAAGGTACCACATGTTATACGCCTTGGAAGCGCCGCTCTCTGCGACACCAGTTTGGCAATCTCATTATGCTACTTTTTGCATCAGAAACGCACGGGTTACAAGCAGTAATTAAAATGCTACTTCCGCCGACCTTCATTCATGCCCTTCCAGAACGGACGAGATCATCGATCGTTTAATGATATTTTCTATTAACACCGGGCTGCTAACAAGGTAGCAATCGAAAGCTGCTATGCCGTTTCATCGCCCTGACTATATGATACCCCTTAGCTTTGCTTCAGTGGCCGGCCTTATCACGGTGAGCTCGTCTACCACAACTTCGCACTAATCACGGAACTCTATAACAAAATGCATGCAGTACCTTGTGGTTCCCAAGACATGGGTTTATCTCGCTCTGTGTTTCTTGATCAGTCGGCGTGCGTACATCATTTTTCCGTTCGGAGAAAATTAACCGTTGAGTGTAGTATATGCAAATACTTTTCTGTCCTCGTAAGTTGACATTTTTCCAAAAGGCCAGCAATTTTTTTTTTACTTACTAAAATCAGTTTGAACACTCGGCATATACTACGAACAGCCTCAGATGAGGCAGAAGAATCGCCGGCTATGCCACGGTTTCGCTCGCGCATTTCTCCACGGGCTTTGCTTGCCAGGGAAAAGGTATGCCAGAGCCCTGGTTCTGCGATTAACACTACTCACTCCGTCCTCATCGTTTGTATAGCCGCCTACTCAACTTGATATATTTATAGTGACTGAGACGATTAGTGATGCCTCTAAGGTAAGCCCAGGAAATTACTTGGCCTCGATGGTCGAGACATTGATAAAACTTTACCAGGATGGGGGCCTGGAATACCAAGGCTCCATGCCAAATGCTAGTTGCTCCGCAAGCTTGAATCATTATTGACTTGATTGTATAACCAGAAGTGCAGATCCGTAGTTTACCCGAATATCACATGCGTTAATGACCACTTTCCGAGGATTTCTGCTCACTACGAAAAAGGCTCGGTAAAGCGTTGTTAGGAACAAAGCGCCGTGTAAGGAACGGTCACGTGCCTAACGAGTGAGGAAACCAAGAGTTCCTGAAGCCTTAAAAGGCGCCAAAGGCGCCATAGGTCCTCGTGGAACCGTACTTAGTCGGTGTGGTATGTGAGCTCCCAATTCTGAATCATTCCGAATGTTTAGGCCAGATAAGTTCCAGCGTACATAATGAACATCGCTGCAAGTTCGAAACTGTTGAACTCTACTTGTCTCTCATGGATGGATATGGTTTTTTCGGTGGGCTTGCTGTCGCACATCGTTTTTTCTTTTTTCGGAAGACAGACTTCGGGGAATTCTCATTAGCCACAGCTGAACGGGATGTAGAATTATTGCTTCTCTCGGGTGGATAACATATAAAACGATAAGTACTATTCCACAATTTTGAATTGAATTGAACATAAGGGAGGATGTATGGGCTACATAACAAGAACAGAGCGTGTCAACAATGCAGGGTAATCGTAAACAAGGAAAGCGGATAACAGGGTTGGAAAGCAAGGCAGGTAGCAGTGGACAGCGGCAGGTTCCAGGAGGTTAAGAATTACGAGTATTCATAAAGAATTAACTGAACGGGAAGAAAGAACGTTAACGTCGGATCGTGGGAGGTTCTTGTCAAACAGCTGAGAGGGATGCATGATGAAGGATGGAAAGGTCATAATCAACGCAAACTGGAGCTAGAGAGTCTCTCCGCAAGTGCTTGCACCAAATTGGCTTCAACACCAAACTCTCGAGCAAGGTCGTCGATCTGACCATCACTTTGGACTGCAACGAGCTGTCCATCTTCACTTGGCAGTGATGCAGGGCGCTCATCGTTAGAATTCGCGGCAGAGGGTGAAGCAATAGTGATGCTACTTGGGGTACGGTAACCGCTTTCGGCTTCGCCGTCTTCGTCTTCGATATCAGCGTCTGAGTTATACGAGGACAAGGAGTTGCATTCAGACGTTGAGGACACCTGAACTTCAAGCGCTTCAGATATTTTGCTTATCTGTTGCGATGTGAAGGCTGCGAAAGTGTCAAATGAATCGTCAAACGTATTAGATAACAACCGTACCTTGACAAGACGTGGCAGTTTTAACGACTTGTTCCAGCAAGACGGCACTCGACTCTATAGGGGCATCTTTATCTTGAAGGTCTTCCTTCTCTTGTACGATGCGGCTTAATAAGACTTGTACGGCAGCTACAGAAGGGAACATCAAAAAAGACAGGCAAAGACACTTATCGGCATCGTCACTTACAATAGGTGACATCTGAAACAAGGCGTTAGAAACTGGGTGTTGATAATAGGTAAGAATATCTTACCATATAACATGTCCCTCAGTCCTACTGACCAGAAGACGCGGCTGTCGACATCGGCAGGGAATTTACTGAGGACGCTAATAAGCGAGTGGAAGGGCAAGGAGGGCACTTTTAGGAAGTGTGCCTAAATGCCATGTTAGCAGCCACGTTCATGCAGGTACAAGAAAATTATTACATCTGGGGACCGAATGAGGTACAAGAGGGCAGAGACTTCAGCGTCCGTCATAAGCCCATATTCCAAGGCACTGATGACACGGTCATTATTCAATCCCGCAAGTGATGGATGAGAACCATCGAATGCACCGCGCCACGATGGGAACAACTATCGGGAAAACATCAGAGTTAGTTTCAAGGGAAAGAACGGCAGAAACCAACAGCAGCCATCAATTCCTCCTGGGAACTTCGGGTAACAGTGACGCCTCTGGCCCTTCGTCCCTTGCCAAGGACACTTCCTCGACCTCTACCAGCTCCGACCCTAGAGCTCATATCTCCTCTTACCCTGGAAGACGATGATGTCTCGCCACGAAGAATAGCGGCAGCAATCTCTTCACATTGAACTTCGACAAAAGCATGACTCATGGTCTTGCCTTTGCGATCTAATAGGACATGGCTGCGCTCAACTGGTTGCTGTAACCAAGCCGAAATGCTCGGTGGCGTAATATCCTAGTCATTCAAAATTTAGGTTCGGCTCGTCCAAAGGAACAAGATGGCATACCCAGGGAACATTGTCAATGCGCAAAACAACGTGGTCTTTCAACATATTTTGTTGTCTGGGGCTTTCACCATGATCACGAGAGCGTCGTCGGGTCGCAGGCGGAGGAGTGCTCGCCCTAACGTCATCGTTTCGGAAAAACGCTTGACCTCCAAATTCGAATGCACTTTCCAGGCCTCCCGTAAAGCTGGCGCTTACTGCGCTGCCAGGAGAAGAGAATAGGGGGTCCATGAAGCTTTTGCCTCTACCAACGAATTCGTCATCGCTGCCCGACCTCTGATCATGGTTGCTCTCAACTGAGCTGAAGGACCGACGATCAACTTTTGACTTTTTCTCCGCAGGACCAGACCCGCTGATCAGCTTGAAGTCCTCTACGCCGTTTTTGCAGACAGCGCATTCCATATCCTTTTCCCCTACAATGTTGAGCGCGCTAGTTAAACAAGCCGAACATAATGGATGGTTACAGGGCACAAGGATAGCCAAACGAGGTGGGTTATGACGCGAGCAAACTGAACACGATACGGGATTGCTCTGTGGTTCAGGAACGGGGGTCTTCACAGGCATTTGGTAGGATCCTTGGATAGACGAACTCGATTGGGCGACAGGCAGAGGCATAGAAACGTGGCCAGGTTCCGGATTAGCGATGGTGCGAGAGACTCCAATAGTGGGAAGGGAATGCTCCTGATAGGGCGGTAACCGACGTGCATACGGATATTGATTGCGATATTGCTGGAAGTGCTGTTCCACGCTTTGTGCGATACTGTTGTTCAGCCCAGTGCCAGTCCCGACACCGCCAGCGGCATTGAAAGGATCAGAAAAGTTTGGTTGGCCGTATACAGGCATCATTGGGGCAGGAGGTGGCGCATTATTAGGGGGGAGATATGTGGCGTAATCCTGCTGGTATTGCTGTTGTATATCGTCGTGGCGTGGCAAGAAGTGTTCATGGATTCGTGAGGTTTCGATTTCGAGTTGATAGTCATAATCATAATCGTGCTCAACGTCATTTTCGTCGATATCAAACAAATCCAATGAAAGGTCTAGATTCGTGGATGAGGCCATTTTCTGAGGCGTGTTGGAGACCTGTGTTTCATATCAACTGATGTAAGTCAAGGGTCTAGTGCAACAAAGAAAGAACGTACGACGCCGAAAGCCTCGCGCCTCCTCGTATGCGCTGGATCAGTCAGACTGCCCCTCAGTTTGAGCTGGCGTGCTAAATTACGATTGGGCGGAGGTGTTGCCATCACGGTGCTTTTCAGAGAGGGATTGTTTTTGTGAATAAGGGGAGAGGTTGGAATCATTCGCTGGCCTCGGTTCATCGCAGGAGACGCAGGCGCTTGAGAAGTCGACAAAGCGCGACGCCGCTGATTGGACAGAAAGGGCGGGGGTAGGAGGGCTAAAGAATATATCAGCCATAATGAAAAGCGCAGAACGCTTGGACGCGCCTTCTTCGGCTGTGACAAAGCCAGAATCTTGGGCATCACAGAACGACATATCGGTGACTATATGCGTTATAATTTAGCATAACTGATGCAAAAAGAACACGGTTGATCTGCCCACCATCGTCATCAATGAATTGCGACGCGTCGCAGGTCGATACCTTGATGCCATTTTTACTAGCGCAAGATCGCCAGTTCCGAGCGAGATCAGCGAGGCTCTGATCCCTGGATACGTTGGGAGATGAAGAATAAGATTTTGCGACCTGAGGAGAGGAGAAAGGGAGGTGCTTTAAGCCAGCAGGAAAGTTTCTGACGCTGGCTGGGGTCGTCAATGCTGGGGAAGGGTTCGAGGACGCAAAAGAACGCAGGCTCAGGGGCGTGTACGGTGTTGCAGGCGATGATGGAGAGCGAAGATGGGAATAAGAGAGCGAATGAGAATGAGAATGAGCAGGGCGGTTCGCGCGTTGGGGAGTCGAGGGAGTCATTGCTAAGGTAAAGAAACAAGCGTGGATCTGATCAACAAAACGGGGACAAAGAGTGACAACGCGATTCGTCACGTCACGTGGTATCACGGCCGTGTGTTCGACGCGTCTTATTTCCAGCCTGGCAAGCCGCTTTAGACGCGTCCAACAAACGTCCAACAGAAATATGTTGTATTAGAGTGGTGAGTTTTACCTGGAGTTTCATCCAGCATTAAACAATTTGTATGAATACCATTATGAAGTATTTTCCAGATAGAATTTCTGCCGGATGTAGTTAGCAAATACCACCGCTTTGTGGTCGCCCTGAATCCCCGCCACCACGCCGCCAGGCACTTGTTCCAAGATGAGTGTCCTCAAATCGCGCAATGTGTATCATGGTGATAAATCGGACGCTATGAAGCCATTCAAATTTCTTGGGTTCGTGGGTAAGGAAAGAAGAGCATGTCATTCCACGAAGTCTACTGTTATTCGTTGAAACCCAGAGCTTTTCTCACCCAATACCCTACCATTTGTCGCGCAATATTCGGGGATGACCAGTTTCTGCTTGGATGCACCCTGTTAGTCAACAATATCATGGATGTATTCGACGCTACAGATCACAATTAGCTCCGTAAACTGGGTCCGAAGCAGAAAAGTCGTACGACGATTAATCACCATGCTCGTCCCCGTAAACCCCATGTGCCTCGCCGTCTGGAGGCTTTGCATAGGTCCTGAGAAGTAACCAGTCCATGTTCATGCACTGGGAAAGCTGTGTTGTAGTCCGTGAAGATTTTATCCACGCTTTGTGGCTTCAGTATCCTGACACCTCCGTACTCCCTGTTGTTCAGGATCATCTAACAGAAAAAGCCCATATCCTTTGCGGTGGAGAAGACTCCGTCAAGGCTCCAAGCATTCTCGTCATGTACCTTCACACAATCTTTATGTAAGTCGAGATACAATTCAAGAGAAGCCGGGAGTACGAACTGTTCCCCAAACGGGCTGAGGCCTGAGGTTCCTCGGTTCCTCGAACAGCAGCCTGAAACTCTGTTGCGGCTATCCTAGAAGTGTCAAGGGCGAGATTCCCCGGATTGAAGAAAATGTCGGATATTCTTAAAGGACCAGTGAAATCTCGCTCCAGAAGTGTGCCAAACGTCAGTCCAGTCACAATCTCTAAAACAATTTGCATCGTCATGAGGCCTACATGGTATACGTATGAATTGAATGCATGATGGTAAAGGAAAGACGCGCTGAGGTCAGAATAGAGACATGTGGTACCTGGCTAATTCAGGAGACCTTGCGTGATTATCGCTTGCCGGCGTGCATTGTAGCTTGCATACCTGTAATGCATTTTATCTTTACTAACCTTTGAAATTGTGCTGCCTACCCAGTCCATAAAGGAGGAGCAGGATCGGCATCAAATCCCGCTGTGTGCGTAAGGAGTTGTAGAATGGTGACGTCTTCTTTCCATTCACTGTACAAAGATAGTAAGGAAACAGCATACCTGTTAACGTCCGCTAGCCAGCAAATTGGGAATATATGTTGAAACCGTGCAGTCAAGGCCAATAGCACCACGCTCCAGCTGCTGCAACGCCAGTATAGTTGTGAAGAGTTTGGAGAGCGAAGCTACCACTGTAAAAGCCGACGAAGAAGAAAAAACCCAATAGGTAACATCAATACGAACAATCGTAGATGGTACCCAATTTTGCAGATATCTTCTCCAGATTCTCCAGCTCAGAACCGTTCTCATTAGCATACCTGATAACTTCGCCGACTGCAAAATGGGACACGATTGTGCTCTGATACCCGATCCTGACGCAGTTCAGATAATGGCTGATGGAGACAAGTGGGAGCGAATCACATCACGGTCGCTCCGGGATATACGGGATGTATCTCATTGTACGTAGCAGAAGAGTAGTTTTCTGGGATCAGATGTGCCGATATCTTTTTCTCAAGTTGAACAAACGACCAGGATATCATCCCAACCGACCCGGGCGTGCCATATTTTAGAACCTTGCCCGACACAACTGCACAGGAGATAGTGAGATAGTATATTGATTTGTGTAAAATCTTACGATGGGACCTGCAAGACAATGCCAGCACATTCACAACGAGATCAAATAAGATCATCTTCAATGCTAGGCGGCCCGAGTGACCAGCCTACTAAGCTGATTGTTTGAACCCAAGTAGTACTATCTCATAAATCGATACCGTGACCATCTCGGAAGTACTACAGTGTGGATCCATAAGGGTTGCTGCGGTAGAGGACCTGAGAGAAGCTGGCCGGCCGGATGCTCTCCTGTGAACGATAGGCCTAGGATAAGAGATATAGCCACGATTATCAGTGACGATTCTAGACCCGGCGGTCACTGCCATGTACTTATCAGAAGAGCGCTACACCGAAACCAAGACCTACTTGTAGTGTGTATGGCGCTAGGCAAGACTGGATAGCGCTTGATACTACTGCCGATTTTTTTGAGAAGCGGCCAGATCGGCCCGGTCTTCGACTAGAACTTGTTGGGCAAGAAGTCGGAAGTCGGTCTTCGTCTTGCCAACCAACACTTTACGTCACCCTGGCTTCGAGAAATTACTGTGATACGAACTTCTCTTCGCCAGATCACTGCAATGTACGTACATCGCATCTATGCTATGCCACATTCATGCAGGCTTCGTCCTAGGAATCAACTAGCGAGCCACTACTTATTCATATCAGCCACATTTGCTCATCGTAGATATGTTTCATATGTGTGCTGTTAACAGAGCCCTAATCGAACTGAACGGGACATCAGGGCTCCAATTGTCTGGGCTTGACTTCCTGCCTGATATGAATACAGTACTGTGTCCTGGTGATGAAACCTACGACAGCTTGAGCCGGCATTCGTACTCGCCCTAACGAAACTCCCGGACTGTCGCCACATCTTTCTCATTCAAGAAGGGGCCCCTCACTGCGCTTCACGCCCCACTATGAATGTCCTGGCCTCGAGGAGTTTGAACTTCCCATGCGTAAGTCGTCCATTATCCTGGACATACTATTGTGTCGAGTTGACTGAGTTCCACAGTTCACAACATCCAGTTTCACAGATGTCGATATCTATTCAAACTCAGAGGATCTTGGATGCCATTTCGCCCGTCTGCAGTGTACCCCAAACATTGTGAAGCAGATAGACGATGCGGTGTTTGGTATCTGGGCGGCCGCATATAAAGAGTTGCTTGATCCACCAACCTTTGTGTCCATGGCAAGACAGATAATTGAGTGAGGTCACTCTATTTGAAAGTTATCTCCCGCTGACTACCTCGCACCCAAGCGTTAGAGAAGCAATCGAAGAAGCAAATATGGCACTTATGAATGAACACGTCACGACGCGTAAACGGTTGACTAGGAGGAGATTCCGATTTTCTGGTCGGCCAAAACCAAAGGAACAAAGTATTTCCTCCAAGCTCATGATCTTGAATGAAGTAATAACGAAATTGGCGGTATGTGGATTTCGACTCAGAAATAATCAAAAATAGAACTCATGTGTTATGCTAGATCGTCTTTGAAACTGCAGCATTATTGGAATGTATACCCCACTTGGATTATATGGAGCTACCTTAAACCGCTTCGAGCATGCCCTGTAGAGACGAAGTCACGTATTATGAACTTGCACGAAGACATACCGATAGTACTACTCAGATGTCCAAAATTCCGGGGAAGAAAAGGCATAAGTATGAATGTTGAGACGAAAGTGTACAGATACAAATTCTGATCTTGAAACTCACAGAAAGGGATGAGTACATAGAACTTAGCTTGTTGAGCTAATTGAGCTTGGAAAAGAAGTCAACGGTGATAGTCCAAAGTTGTTCAGCAAGATCGTCATCCCGTGCCACTTTGCTCGGATTGGCGATGTGTGGGGGTTTGTCCTCAAGATAGGCACCTTTGTAATTGTCCCGATTGTCTTTGACGTCCTTTCCCGCGGCTGCAAAGAAAGAGGTATACGAGCCACGGTCTATACTGGTTACGACTGGCACAACCAGCAATTTCCACAGAGGAGCAAGGGGCCACTTGTGAGTAAAGGTGTCGACACTACCAGGGTGAAGTGAGATGACAGTTATAGGTACCGGCGGCTCCGAGATGTCAAGTTGACTTTGAAGAGACTTGGTCCAAAGAATGACCAGCAATTTAGAGTGGGCTGGTTGGAGAGATAAGCTTGACACGCGAGTGCATGATCAATGCGGACACACCGTACCGCCAGAAGCTCGAGAACCACTTCTTGTCATATGATACATTCAAGTCCTGAATCGCGTCGCATTTAAATCCCGAAAGAGCCCATTTATGGGATATGGAAGCGACCTAGGAAAGTTTCTTTGTCAGTTGAATAAAGCATCGAGCAAGATTCGCTTGCATTGATAATTCGGACGTCGGAGTTCGGCTCCCGGGAAGTCGAGATGAGAAAGAGGCAGCAGCGTTTGCGTGAAGACGAAGGGACTAAGATAACTGAACAGAATTTCAAACATGTCTCAACACATCGAGGAGGAATCGTAAGACTAACTTGACGATGACAAGGTTTGACATGCCTATCTAAGAGATAAGCAAGAATTTGCAGCCTGAGATTACTTTGTGACGCACCATCCGGCCCAGCCTCATATGGTCCTAACATCCTGTCATGAGCTGTTAGTTGTATCAGGGTGATCCAGGGTTTTCACGCCTACATGCCGGCATTATTCACTGTTGTGGACGTCAGGATTGAGGGGGTCAAGGAAAAGAGTAGAAAAAGAAAGTTCACCCAGCACGTCCAAACGTTTTTCCTTCCTCATGAACTCTTCAGCAGATTGTCTTGCAAGTCGAGGGTCACTGAGGTCGAGCTTCAACCATACGACATCCCCGTTTCCCGGTTCAAGAGATTCGGTCTTGAGCTTTTCTATAGCCTCCGCTGCCCGTGTCTCGTTTCTTGCTGCAAGATAGACCTCGGCACCAGCACGGGCCAGATGACGGACGGTTCCATAGCCAATACCGGAGCTGGATGTAACCGTTGTAATCACTGACGAACGCCTTCCAGTGACTAGTACTCACTTTCCACCAGTGACAATCACAACCTTGCCCTTCAGATTGACCGTATCAAAGGTAGGCGGCATTGTGGTCGAGGTAAATGATGGGAATTGCGTGTGGACACATGTGCATGGCCCGTGAGATCATTTTCACATAATTTGGTTGGTTCCTGGAAGGAAATTCGCTGATGGCCGTAGTCTAGTATCGAGAGAATGAAGAATATTGACGTATGTTCATTCTCTTGACTTCTAGGTGTCCGTCGATATATTATTGTGGTAGCAAGCCAGTATTGTTCTGTTACGGTAAGACGCGGTAAGCGAACGATCACGTGCACGACGCGTTCCAACATAAACACGCAAACATACTGCAACAAACACAAATTCCAACAACCCTTATTCAGGGAAGCCGACTTTTCACCGCAGACCGCCAGCGACATCCCCCACCTCCTTCATCAATCATTCTCCTCTGTCATTCTCTCTCACTCGCTTCAACGTATGCTTGTATATTAGAGATCATAAATGGCCTCAAATATTCCTGTGCGTCGTCTTCAAATCGCTCTTGACCGTTGCTGACCTGTTTATTAGGTTCGTAGGCCGGTGAGGACGGTGCGCGCCGCCGTCAAGGACATAGAGAATGCCACCGCTCGCGCTTCTAGGATAGCGACGCGCTCAAAAACCATTTCCGTTGCGGGCAAGGACGATGGTACTGTGGTGGCACCACCAAGCAAGCTCAAGGTAACCGAGTCGACGGCGGAGAAGGCGGCTGTTGGGAAGAGGAAGCGCGGCGTCCTGGCTGAGGTTTCTGGACCAAATGGACCGAAAGTGACTATGACGCGGGGAAAAGAGAAGGAGACGAGCAAGCTGGATGGTTCCAAGGTTAAACCAGTTCTGAAGCCAGCACGTCAGCCGTTACGGACGACAGTAGGTTCTCGTGTTGCACCTGTGGCGAGCAAGGAGACAGTCGCTCGGCGTAAATTTACGGTGGCCAGCACGGATAAAGAAGTCGTAGGACACCGCCGCACGATCTCGCACTCTTCGACTAAAGGCGACGAAGCAGCGACTGTCGCTTCCACCTCACAACCTCCCGATGTCATTGATGAAGAAGACGCACCGCGCGTGTTCAAGCGGCGTCACACTACACCAAAAGGGTCACCGCCGCCTTCACCCCGCATAGCTCTCCCGCCTGTACAAGTCGAAGCTGAAGTGGAGACTCGACAATCGATTCCAGATGAGTCACAAGTGGAAGCCGAGCGCGTCGCTGCTCATCTTGAAGACCTCGCAGAAGATGATGAGGATTGGGACGATCTTGATGCTGAAGATGATGATGACCCACTCATGGTATCAGAGTACGTCGTTGAAGTGTGCCAGTACATGAAGGAGGTCGAGGTATGTTGTGGTTCTTCTGTGTTGGTGAAGTTTAGTGACTCTTTGCAGGCCAAAACGTTACCGGACCCAACCTACATGGACCAACAAGAGGAACTCGATTGGAACAAGCGAGCAATTCTCCATGACTGGATGTTGCAAGTCCATACCATGTATCGATGTGTTCCCGAAACATTCTTCCTTTATGTCAACATCTTCGACCGATTTCTCTCACTTCGCCCAATGGTATCCATTTCGCGGCTGCAGCTGGTTGGAATATCGTGTTTCTTTGTGGCCGCCAAATTCGAGGAGAGCATAGCGCCTAGCGTGGAAGACATCGTCAGGCTTGCTGGAGAGCAATATACAGTATCTGAAATGCTAAAGGCGGAGCAGTATGTTCTCAAAACGTTGAATTGGGACCTGAGCTACACAGGACCTATGACTTGGTTGCGCAGAGGAAGTAAGGCTGATGACTTGGAAGTCACTGCGCGAACTATTGCGAAGTATTTACTCGAAGTTGGCTGCATAGAGTGGCGTCCTTGTGGCAACGCCGGCGTCGCTGGTTGCTGCAGCTTCTCTGTGGTTGGCACGTCTCGCTCTTGGTCGAGAAGAATGGGTGAGACCATTGTCGGCCTTACGTTGGTTTGTGCTGAACGTAATCTACAGACACTAAATTTAGCACATTATTCCACATTCAAGGAAAACGAACTTCTTCCTACTGCCAACATTTTGCTTAACCATTTGCTACGTCCGGAGGCTAGGCAATCTGCAACCCTTGTCAAGAAATACTCGTCTAAGAGGTTCGCAAAGGTGAGCGCATTCCGTGTTCAGCTAATATTGGACTAACATGTCTGCAGGCTAGTCTGACCATGCGTAGATGGGTATTGAGCCATTGGCCTGAAGGAAGTCGAGTAGATCTTCCTGCCGTGTTGCCCCTATTAAAAGCCGCAATCCGGGAACGGAGAATCGCGGAGGCAATCCAACAGGCTGAAGAAGAAGAGTTCAACGACAGTGATTGATATTAATAACAGGAAGCAGTACGCACCACTTCCTCTTTTTTTACGCATTCGACGGATCCATCATCGTTATCTCAAAGTTATTTGTATTATTTTTTTGTTTTCCAGCCCAATAATTTATTATCTGTGGACTTAGGCAACGGCCTCGGAAAGACATTAATACAAACACAGCCCTTGTCCCTTCTCTTCAGAGTCGACTGTCGGGTTCTACAGGCTCTTGCAAAATCCGAGTGTTTCCAGCCCTGCATTTGGCCAAGCTATAGAGGGCACAAATTCGGGTTATCTTTTAGTGGCGGCCTATTTTTTCATAACTGGACGCATCACTCAACTGCGGCGGGGGCCTTCAGACTCACGTTATTTCGCTTTCAACCCTAACAAAACTCTTATTCGACCGGGCCAGACTGCGCGATCCTGCATGATTTAAGGTTCCACTGATTTCCGTCGCGGACCGGCGCTGCACTAACGCGCTTATTTCTCCCTTATACTCCCGCTAATGCGCCGTTCGTTGTTCAAACACTACACCTTTCCTGGCCGATGGTAGCTATTCGTACCATATGAATCGCTTCTAAGATGAACACACGTCAAATCATGGGATGAACTGTACGCTTTCTGACGGAAACGAGGCGGGCCGCCAATCCACTTCAACTACTTTTCCGAGGTTTTTTCTGAGCCTTTTCTCATCATGGGATGATTTTCGGTACCTGCTCATGAGGTGGTGGTCCCGCTAAGCGGTCAGTGAAAATTTCTCTCACACTATAAAACCAGGATGTGTCTCGCTGATCCTTCCCTGGGCAATGGTCATGTTGTGCTTCGTCTTTGCTACTACGCTTCTTGCGTCATTATGCTCCACGGTTGCTGGCTTCGGCCTCACTGAAAGTGGAGACTCGTACACTTGTCGATACCTCCGCCGGTTTGATTTTCACTGGTGCGCCTATGGTACCTGATCTACGAAATGTTGCGTTTATGGACTATCCCCCCCAGTTGATTCGACTAGTGGAGACATTACTTCCATGAAGTTCAATGGAATCGAGGTTAGTGCTCGAGTACTGCGCTTCTTCATCTACTTGACATTATGTGCTAGGCGCAAGACTCCAGCAAATATAGTCAGATTGCGTCGGGTATTGACGCTGACTGCTCATGGGTCCGCGGAGGCCATGACAATAACTGTAAGAAGCGCTTTATGATATCATATGTCGTGTACTAAACCATCCTGCCTTCAGATATTACTGTAACTCCATCGGCTTCGTCTGCATATAGTACGAACTCATTCTCTTTTTTCCATAGATCACCTGCACCACCAGCACCCTTATTCAGTATTTATCTCTCCTTTCCCAATGTTGTCACGCTGAACTGGTCCGTTACAGGTACTACGTCGCCAGATACAACGATCCAGCTATTCATATGGCCACCTAGTACGTTTATGATTACCGGCCCTGAAGACTACTAAAAAGAGAATTAGCACTACAGCTGAGCCGTCCGTTGGCGAGCTTCGGTTCATTGCCCGTCTCAGTCAGTCGACGCTCCCCAATGGTTATGAATGTATCAGACATTGTAGGCGGGACTGCTATTGAAGGAAGCGACGTGTACTTGGTCGGCTCCGAAACAAGGTCGAAGTTCTACTCGTCCAGACAGTTTATCGATGACCAAATTCACGGAGTTTCTGGATCAAGCATCGCTGCTTGGATGATTATCCCCGGTACCGGATATGAAAGCAGCTCCGGCGGGCCTTTCATGCGCGACATCGATAACCAAGGAAGTCAGTGACACATTTTTTCCCCTTTGGTCGTCAAACTCACCACAGTTGAATCATGGTTTATTATTGACAGCCTCGCAGCAAGAGCTTTATTTCTGTGAGTTTTATCTTTCATCAATCCGATCTCATGCCGATGTTTTGACGTAGACATGGTAAGGTTCTTTGATTGTTGTGGTCTACGCATCTTAGGCATACGCGTTTAGAACTCCGGACACACACAAACAGAATGTTTGTTATTTTCTTTCAGTATTAATGATAAATGATCTCATGTCAGATAGCGTATCGCATGGGTCTGCATGGTCCTTAGTAAGTCTCGGTGTGCGCGTTCTGAAAATTCATCATCTAATTGATCTTTTTAGTGCTTTATGGTTTACGACTGGATCCACTCCTTCGTCTGACATCGGTAGCCATCGTTCACCTACTGTTTCATCGGATTTTTAATTCAGCACTGTAGATACCTCATTCTGGGATGGCCTTGATGTGACGGGGTGGACCTCCGAAGATGACAGAGGCAGGGTCAAAGGAAGCGCGACCGGATATCCTTCGGCCTACGCCGACTATATGTCGGTCGGTTTCAGTAACAGCGACGCTCAGTACTGGTGAGTGTGGTGTTAATATTCAATTATTCGGGATCTCTCATTGGTCTATTGTTCAGGGTGCGAACGGACTCGTCCGGTGATTTCGTCAGTCCCTATATGAAAGCGGGTACCTACACAATGACGCGTCAGTGAATTTCCTCATTCAATGATTTTTTTGTGAAAGAAACTGATAATTGCCTTCTCGACACAGTATACAAAATGGAATTAGAAGTTGCCACTCAGAGTGTCACCGTTACTGCTGGAAGCGTTGGAACGTCCAATATCGCGTCGACTGAGGCTGTAGGTGTTCTCATTCGGAGATTATTCGACCTTCTAACAACTATAACTTTAGACACCATCCGTGATTTGGCAGATTGGTGAGATTGATGGCACGCCAAGAGGATTCCTAAATGCCGAGTAAGCAACACGGATGTTTTATGTCGCAGCTTCGTTCTGAAATTCTGCAGCTTGATTGAAACGATGCAGTAAGTGGCGCTTGAGCGGTCCCGTTCGCCGATTGAAAGGCACCTTTTTTTTCCAGTCCAAGTGACAGCCGAATGGCTGACTGGGGGCCGGGTACGCGCTTAAACTCTTGCACGCCTATATTACCGGGCTGATTAGCCCTCAGTAACCTTCACCATCGATGATGATGTGGATACGTTCCCCATGGCTATCTTCAAAGTGAGCTGTGAAATCCTTCCATCTCGGATTTCCGTAACAAGTTCTTTTTACACAAGGACATCGGAGCGGTAACGGTGAAATTCACGCTGTCGAGTTCGCAGGGCACGTACCGAAAATTGTCGTAATGCTTGAACGCGGCGATTGAAAGGTCCTTTTAGGTGGCGCCCGAACCCTTGACGTCGCAACCACGCTCGCCTTCGCAGGCAAGTTTCAGCCTATCAGTGTCTCCGTGCATGATATGACGTTGTCCCTTGCTTCTAGGTGGTCGCCCTGTAGTCACCGTCAACAGTTGGACGAGCTCTACGCCGTCTGTTCCAGATCAACCAGATTCAAGAGGTATGCTCCCTCCATCATTTTTAAATGACTGACATACCTTGGATAAGGTGTAACCCGTGGTACATGGCGTGGAAATGTAAGCGTTGTCAAGCACTTAGGCCGTTGAACTTCTATTGATAAATCTGACAGAACATCATGTATACATACTCAATCCGTACGTTCAATGTCTTGTTCCTGTCACGCTACACATGGCTGACTGTGGGCTCTAGCTTCTGGTTATCTGAACACCGGATCGACTGTAAACACTCTCACTATTACTGTTGCTTCTGGGTCTTCTGGGTCAGACTTTTTGTGAGCCTCTTGACCCAACTCATGTTTCGTTGCACCCCACTAACCCCGACCTAGGTCTCCCAATGTTGTCCTCGACGGCTTGAGACTGTACTAGGCCTATGAACGGGATTCTAGTTTTTTTTTATTTTTTTTCTTGCCGACTTGGATTTTCCTGTCTGGCAGGAGGCACTAGTACTTACGGTCGGAAAATTCCTACTTATATCTATTGAATACATTATCATTCATAAGATCACAAATTTTTCATTTTTCTTGTCTCGTCCGTCATGATGCGTACATGGCGGATTTCAGAGATCTTCACCGAAGCGTAGATGTGAGCTGACTCGGAGCTGACAGACGTATCCGACACTCCACGTAGTCTTCTGAGCACTAAACATGAGCTTGTGACGGTGCATGTCATATGGGTACTCCCGCTCTGTACCTCTACCTTCAGTAAAGTGAAGGTGACCAGGGTCAGTCCCTCGGCGCAGGGTCAGCCCGGCAAGCGTATCGGCCCGTCCAAAGAAAAAGAAAAGAGGGAAATGGCGTGGAATTAAGGCACCGCGGCAGGCAAAGTGCCTTGCTTCGGACCGTCTCGAATTCGTTGTCTCCGCCTTCGAGAAGCATGCGGTAGGGTGGTCGGTCGCAGGTTTCCCACCTCATTTGATTTTTCGGAGATGAGGTACAATTCTCCTAATGGCAAGGTTTTCTGCAGCTGATCAGGCAAATTAATAAAAATGCATGATTGAAGGGTTCACAAGGTTCTGATGCCGGCAGCGTGTTGCTGTTCTCCCTTTTCCTCTCCCTTCCAACTTGCATAGACCTGTGAGGCCACTGGTCGTCTCGACCGGATGGTGATCGCTAACTGAAGTGTAACATGCTACCCTTCGCACTCAAGGTGGTATGGATGGTGCTATCACTCACAGGTGGGCGACTTGTGATCTACCTCGCGCTATCTTTACTGAGGCTCGATGTCAAATCCCCCCAGGCCTTGCTAGCTGCTGGGCAGTCCTTATGCTTTTTGCAGGTTGCATTGAATCATATTGGGGCCCTCTGATCTACTGCATCGCTTGCACGCTGATGCAAATCATTTTCTGTATTGGTAAAATCCGGAATGTCGTGAATTTCGTTGGAGTTAATTGTTGACGCCATCGATGTAGGGATGGCTTGGAGGATGGATCCTTACGCTATGCCTCGGGCATTCTGCCTTGGTGGGTTGTCCTCCTACTCTTCCATTGTCCTGCTCCCTGACTCTGTATCAGCCCAAACTATCATTCTCGGGTTTTCTACTTATGTGATGACTGGCGTCTGCGCGTCTTTTTGTATCGCTACGTGTATAACTGTATGGAAGCCCAAATCATGGGCGGATGCGGAGCGCTCGTACGTGATCAGCCGGAGACGATTGCATAATTTTCATTAACCATTGACTGCAGGGTATTGGTGTGGCGGAATCACTACTATTTTACGCTCCTGGTCTTTCCTATTGTTGCCACAATAGTAGAGATCGTCATTATCATCAAATTGGATGCTGTCAAACCCACTGACGACCTCCACTGTGATGCATCAGACCCTATATGGTGAGTGATGATCAACGTCAAATGGTTCCGAGTCATCTCAGTCGCCCTCTCACGATAGGGTGAGATTTTTCGGTTATGCAGGCACACCACTACTTCTCGCAGTACCCGTTTTGTTCTTCTCTGTCAAGTCCATCGTGCGATCCTTGAAGACGAGCAGACACATCCAGCGTTCCCGTTCAGAGGAGCTCGAGAACCAACGGGTTCACTCATTTCCGCGATTACCTTGGAGATTCTACAGTCATCGAATAGTACCCAAGGTTGCTCCATCACCTTGTCCGTCTTCTATGAAGGCCACGCCCTCTGGTCACGAACTCGATTCACCAGGTTGGTTCAGTCCCACGCATCTGGTTCATCTACTGATCCTCCCACCTGTAGATCGCACGAGCTTTTCTCACTCTTCTCTATTTCCACCGGATACAGACGTCCTCGACTCCCCTGTATCCTCTTCTTTCCCTACCTTCGCCACTGTTGACCCCCCACCCCCGACTATACGACGAGATGGTCCACGACATCCTGATTTCTCTGCTATCATAGGAAATGACTGGAACGAAATAGCCCTTGCGACGCCTGAAGAGTCCGACCAAGATAAGACGAGCTCGTTGGTGTGGACTCGCCCCGGAGACGATGATATCCAACTTGAATCCAATGATTGTGGGGGAGAGAAGCTCGATGACTTGGATTCATTGGATATTTCATGTAGCGACTTTGACTATAGATCGCCCTACTCTAAAACGCTGTCCTTTGGCGGTATGGACTTCTATTACATACTGGGAACGGATGCTAATTATACTGTTTACAGCTATGCCCAAGCGAAAGAAACGACTTGCATACCTATCACCGGCAATATGGCGTATAATGTTCTTTCAAGTGTAAGTTTCACCTCAGATGTGCGGGATATTTGTTCATTCAAACCATTTCCACAGTGCCTTCACTATCGTTCTTCTCCTTACTTGTATATCCACCCTAGTTGATGTTGTTGCCGGCCACGAAACACCAACACCTTTTGGAACGCAGCACGTGGCACTGCTTCTATCTGCCTGGGGACCAGCCCTAGTGTTCGGTGGGCATTTCAGAGAAATGCGAGTTAGGCTACGAAATGCTGACACGAGGTCGCCAGGTCTCTTCCCTGGAGTGATGCGGAAGCTTATGTTCTGGAGATCAAGTAATTCATGAGATGCCTCGTTAGGTCCGAGTTGACTAATCTGTATCATTGTTAGCTATGTAGAAGAAGAATTCTAAGTACAAGGCCGGCGCCGTAATCTCTGAATAATAATGATAGATAATAGGACAACAGCTAGAATACAGCTTATTAGTGTAGAATCGATTAGCTTGATTCTTGACAAAGCATCTTGAGTATAAGGGTGAGCAGACTGAGTAGATATTACTCGTGCGTTAAAGAATACATCGTATCCACCTATACGAGTAAACGTAACTAGATGGTGTGTCTAAAGAGATCCAAAATGATACATCTGTCTATAGGCGTCGTATATCATTTCCTATATCGTAAACGTCAGTCCCAACCACGAAATGAAAAACATAGCAAGCAGGCAACATGAATCACAACCAGAGGTTAAATAATCCGACCAGCAAAATCGCGGCTATCGCGCGCATCATATTGGCCTGACGGCCTTCTGCACTTCCAGGGAAGAACAGGCTCGAAGCCGTAGGCGTCGAAGGCACCAGCAAGCTTGTCGGAAGCCCGGTGGGCGCCGAAGTCGAAATGCTCACCAGCGCATTCGGTGTGGGCGCAGGTGCTCCAGTAGTATAAGCGCGAATGTAGGATATTTCAAAATAGGCATCATTGAAAGTGGAACCAGGCCCCACAACGCTGTCGGCGTACTGGGGGATCGTCAGCCACTTCACAGCGAGAAAGACAAATACGCACGCATGTGCCTGTGCCAGATCCGCACGAAGGGAAGTACAAATTTGAAAGGCCGGCCCTATAAAGAATGTAAGTTCTGTAATGGAAGATCTAAACAATAGGGTTCTTTTACCATTGTCCACAAAGAGTTATGTCAAGGACTAAGTTCTGAGCAGAAAAGAATTCTGGGATATTACAGTAAGTCGCCGGGTAGCTAGCGGAAGGCGGTCCCCAATCAGAAAGGTCAACGCCTGTCGATGCTGTTGTTGCAGATATCGAAGCAGGAACGTTCGGCCGCTAAATGCGAATGATTTAGGGGCGCTGAGCAACAATGAGTAAAGTTCTAACGTACGCTCCAGAACCAGATGCTGTGCATGATGTATGTTTAGCGATCAACAACCGCGAATAAGTTGAAACTTACAAAATTCTATACATAAACACGTATTAGTATTACGACATTGAGAAAAAACACCACTGAAAACTCACCCAGAAACGTCGAACTGTGTAGCCCATACCCCTCCACCGGCTTCAGCGAGACCAGTGTACAAACTGTTTTCCTTCAACTCGAGAACCGTACAACCAGAAGAGAGAGAACAGTCCGTTTGAGTAGTTGCTCCACTTTGATACTGTAGGTTTTCGGGAACATGCTGGCACCCAGATGTCGTATGTAGAGCCATTTGATTATTGGGCATCAGATTAATGGCTTCGATTATACTGCGGAATGGGTGGATAAGGAAACTTCAAAGAATAAACGCTTGGACATGACCCACTCAATCTCGCCTCCCACGGGCCATTCATCTTGATAGCCTTTGGTCCAAAAAGCGGGCCAAACCTACGACGAACACGTCCGTCAATTCAAGAGGGTTGGGTAGATTGTAAAAGCAAGCGTACCGAACATCCAAATGGGATATGTTTGACATCGATGATCCACAAGCTGCCAACATCGTATATGTCTTGGGACGTTATCCGTACCTACAGAATCATTTAGGATACGAAGCAGGACACGATGAGCAACCTCACCGAATTCCGCTTTTGGCCATACACCACATTGTGCATGTTGTCGACTTTTATAATTGCATTCCCCGCATTGTTTACATACGCTAGGCCTTGAGCAAAGGCATCCGCCTTGCTAAGCCACCATACATCCCCTTGCACTCTCTTCAATACCAAGCCACATGTTGAAGGAGGGGAAAACACGCACCCAACGTGAGATTATCCCAGTTCCCAAAAAAGTCCCATCGGTCGAAGAAAGTGCTGCCCGAGTAATCCCGTACAATGTCATAGGCGCTGCCTAGCTGGCAGTAAAAAAGAACGTGGAGGATCAGCAGTTGTAAGCAGGAATTTCTAGGCCAAATCATGGGGGGAAGGGAAGAAGGTTGGCTCACAAGGAGCAGGAGCGGCTGGAAGGGTGGAAGTGGAGGAAGAATGGAACGATGTCATGATTTATATAAATTTATGTTGTATATGGTGCCCTTCTGCAGCGTGTCGGATCAGCGGCGGTGCAAACACGCGTTGGATCACGTGATGTACAGGGGCTTCGAGCTGTTACTCCCACGTTGTTAACGCGTAACTGATAGGTTGCTGGGAATTTTATTGGCTTTTCTTTACAAATACAATATTTGCAGCGTCTATGTTACCTATAAACAATTCGGGCCTCTATGATGTCTTGATCTTCATGTGTACGGACTTCGCTCGGGTCAACTGGTCGTATCCTTTTTTTAACGGCCAATGAGGTCGTCGAATGTCGTGATTGATGATAACAGCACGCACCAAATTTACTGAGACTGACGCCTCTACCACTATCTTTGACACCAGTCCAAGCTAGCGCGGGATCCAAGAAGTCACACCTACCGTTGATTCAGCAACACTTCTATATTGCTTCTGCCATACCACACTCACCTGTTCAGGAATACTGTTCCTGTCTCTAGTTCATCAACAAACTTCAAGAATATCTCCTCGGACGCCGGATTAGCAGATGCGTTCGTCCACACGGATGCTGTGAGTCCATATGGAGAGTCGTTCATGAGCTTGACAGCTTCCTCGTCGGAAGAGACTTTTTGTATTCCGACTGTTGGACCAAATGATTCTTCCTATGAACAATTCATGAGCATAGCGGCACAATCATCAACTTCCGAACCGACCATCATAACATCCATACCTAGAATGAATTTCATATCATCTGAGAAGCCATATGAATGAATAGGCGTGAACTCACTATGATTCACATCGACTAGAACCTGCGGCGCAACATACGTAGTTCCGCTGTGAAAAATTTCAGGATCGCGCTTGGACATACCCAGGGTGCAGACACTCACGCTTTCGCCATTGGGAATAAATCTTCCGGGATAAGCGCTTTCGCACCAGCTTTCACTGCAAGAAGATCGGAAGACTCCTAACGATGGGGCAACATTTGACGTACCTGCGTCCGAAACTTGTTTACGAATTCTCTCAGCACTAGCTAAGGAAACTACAGGACCTAAGTTCGTTTCGGGGAGTGTGGGATCGCCTAGTTTGTAGCCCTGTGAAAGAGCTATTAGCACATGCGATCTGGCACCTTCAACATGCATATACCTTGACTAGCTTCACATAACCTTCAACAAAAGCATCATATACGGCCTCGTGGACGTAGATTCGCTGAGTGCATGGTGTGTCAAATTATAGCGACACGAGGGAAATTCATGCTTACCTCGATGGCGCAGCAACTTTGACCAGAGTTGAACAGCGCCCCTTCATTTTATTAGCTTTAGGTTTATTAAATAATCTTATAAAGCCATACCATCGACCAGTTCACCGATCGTGTAATTCAGATCTGCGTCAGGCCGTACGTAGGCAGGATCCTTTCCACCAAGCTGAGGCAAGTCAGATGAATGATTGTGCACGAGAAATGGCTTCACATACCTCCAAACCAACGCCTTTGAAACCCTTAGCCTGGACGGCAGCTTCCTCTACGGCCCGGCCACCTATAACACTGCCGGTGAATGAAACAAAGTCTATGGAAGGATGCTGAACAGCGTGAGAGGTCAACGCGGGTGACATGTGCACAACTTGAATAATATCTTTGGGGACACCTGCCCGAGTCAATGCAAGCGCGAAACGCTCAGCAGTTAGAGGTGTTTGGGGTGATGGTTTCAGGATGACCGCGTTCCCAGCGATAATGGCTGGGAGAACAGCATTGATCGAGACGAGATAAGGATAGCTTTATTTCATCTATTAATTTTCATACAAGTTGATTGTGAGAGAGTACGTACTTCCAAGGTGCGACAACAAGGACGACACCTAAAGGGGCACGTTTTATGTATCGTCGGAAGCCAGGCTTGTCAGTGTCAGTTAGACTGACATCGGCGAGCGCGCTCTCTGCGATGGACAGCATGTAATTAGCGCGATCGAGGAATCCGCGAACCTCTCCAGCGCATTGGGACACTGGTCTGGTCACCAAGTGAATCAGGCAAAGGCTATTCCGCGATTCCTGAGGCTCACCTGCCCATTTGCAGAGTCAGTTCCATAGGGAGATCCTCGCTCAAGGCTTTGAATTCATCCTGGAATGCTAGTCAGAGAATAGTCTGATGCAATATTGAGGAAACACACGATGAAATTGTACCCAGTCGCGATTCTCTCCTTTAGCGGAACCTTGCTCCAAGCTTTCTGAGCCTTTGAAGCAGAGGTAATGAACCCATCGAGCTCTTGCTCAGAGGGATAGGTACGCGTAACGAGCGGCTGCTGGGAGTGGGGGATTATCGTCGTCTGCACGGACATGGTAGATAGTAGTCAAGGTGAGAGTCAAATTCCGTGTCAAAGAGTAGGCCGTCGGGGAAGGAGGGGTCGACCAGAGATTAGATCGGCCCGATAGCCGTATGTCACGTGGCAAAAGTACGCGTACCCTCCCAGGACCACACGCAAGCCTTTTCTTTCTCATTAACAGCCATGGCGAGCTCTTCCGTCTATTCTTCGCCCGGTTTTGACTTTTCTAATCAAATAAGGTGAAAGATCTTGTTGTGTTTTATGCTAATGGCTAACCGGTTTTGTGTAGAAACAACTTCCTGAGCGAGAAGGGATTGCCATTGCCCAAGGCTACCAGTACCGGTACAACTATCGTAGGATGCCTTTTTGAGGACGGAATTGTTCTTGGTGCAGATACACGGGCCACTGAGGGCCCTATTGTCGCGGACAAAAACTGTGAAAAGGTAAGTCGCACTTGTGAACCTCATACTGCTGCATACTTAGGGCTTGGTAGATCCACTATATCTCAGAATCAATTAGATGCTGCGGTGCTGGTACAGCCGCCGATACCGAATTCACGACGGCGCTTATATCCTCCAATATGGAGCTCCATGCTCTCCATACTGGCCGTAAACCGCGAGTGGTGACGGCGATGACGATGCTGAAGCAGATGCTGTTCCAGTGAGTATCAATATGTGGCCTTTCGCTCCTACTCCTAACTTTGAGCAGATACCACGGTCAGATCGGTGCTGCTCTCGTCCTTGGTGGTGTGGACGCTACCGGTCCCAACCTTTTCACCATCCACCCACACGGGTCGACTGACAAACTTCCTTATGTGACTATGGGATCTGGAAGTCTTGCTGCGATGGCCGTTTTTGAGAGTAGCTGGCGGCCGAATATGACGGTGAGTATGCTACCTTGTACGCTAACGACCATATCCTGAGGACTCTGCAGCGCGACGAAGCTCTCACCCTCGTCAAGCATGCTATTTCTGCCGGTATTTTCAACGATCTTGGCTCTGGATCCAATGTCGACGCGTGCATCATCACAGCCACTCATACTGAGATGCTTCGCAACGTGGAGATGCCCAACCAGCGTGTACAGAAAGAGAAGACATATGGGTTCCGACGTGGAACGACGGCATGGAAGCGTGAGACTGTCAAGAGTTTGATTGTGGACGAGGAAATCACGCAACTAATAGGCGAGGCTATGGACACGACTTAGTTCACATGATAAATGAAATCTATTCTGTATCAATTCATCGTAGATGTCTCTCAGCAATAGCGTCTGAATGGGCGTATTCGTTCATGAACGATATAGGAATGAGGACGAAGTACAAACAATATCTAGGATATAATACATTATGCTTCACGCCCGTTTAGAAACCCCTTCGTGAAACGAATTTCTCCAAATCCTGGGACGTAGCAACACCCAGTACGAATTTGCGCTGGTAGTCCGTGACTATTACAACATTGGTATGTTAGACAATAAGCTGCAAGAACGGACAAGATGATTGCACCTAGAGCAAAGATATTGTCCTGGAGAAAAGCCTCGAGTTCCGCAAGAGGTGTAGCTGGTGTTATCAAAGTGTACGGCTCGGTCGACTTTCGCCTGAACTTGGTCATGTACTGGCTAATGCGGTCATCCTCAAGGCCTCCAATTCAGCATGGCATATATGCAGAGCACAAACTGGCGACGTACCGGATTAGCTTTCCCTGCTTCCCATTCCTGCTTCAGCTTCGCCACATCCAAGTATCCTAGAGGCTTTCTATCACGGTCGAGGACACTGTACGAAAGCTTCCAGCGTCTACGGCACCAATAGCAAAAGGAAAGCGCACGGAATATGCGAGAAATCGCGTTCGTAGGCAAGTTCAATGGCCCGAGATATGACTTCGGTTGAAGGTAGGGCAAAGGCTGGTGGTAGCTGCAAGTCCTGTAATGAAAATAAATGCTCATTAGAACCGCTTCAGATTCATTCACGATCGAATCAAAGCTTACTTCGACTACGGCGCCGCGAAATTTGTCGTCAGTCATCGAGAATTGCGTTGAGGACGTCGATGGGACGAATAGTATAGAGCAAGGAGAAAGATGACAGAACGGGCAGAATGTGAGTATAGGCAAGTCTGAGACTTGTACTCGTTGTAATCTTCCCCTTTTGGAAAGAACATAAGACTTAATTATTTAATTAGCAACATAATAATAAATAAATAAATAGCCATAAAATAGTTAACTTTATATTATTTACCTATTTATCCCAAAGCTAACATGCCGTGCGGCTGCCAGTCTGCGTTGGACTACATAAAAAATAGCTAAATGGCACAAAAGCCTACCTGCAGCACTGTCTGCTTTGCGCGCGCCACCTCAGATTTTATGGTCTATATAAACAATTCTTTGGTGCGAGATCTACATATTTTTTTCTCTCAAGTTCGCTGATTTCGACGATGTCCTCTGTCTATAACATGAACGGGTGTGTCACAAAAATCTTTCACTTGTTAGCATCGTTTCTCAATAATCTTGTACGCAGCCTCGAGTTGGTACAGTCAAACCAAGGGCATCCCCCAGCTAAGGACTACATCAACAACCTTCCGGAGGAACTGCTCGAGATCTTCGCGTTTGGTGCACTCAGCACTCGCGATACTGCCTTTTCCTTTCGAGTATCGACTACATGTAGGCTATGGCGCTTCTTTGCCGTTAACGAAGCGCATCTCTGGACTTCCCTCACCATCACTGGTCATGCCGCACGTTTTATCCCAGAGCCAAGTCGGGATGACCCTCTAGAGACTGCTCAGACAGTCTTTCCTCGAGAAGACCTTATCCTCGAGCCCTCGGCCGATTCGGACATCGACCTCGAAATCCTCCTCGATTCTCAACCCCCAAGATTTATCCCAGGCGAACTCTGGGTCCCTTACAGTCTCACCGACGACCATTTTCTACGCCTCTCTTGTCTCCTCACCTCTCACGCTCATCATATCCGATCGTTCTTCGCGACCGTACGAAGCTGCTTCCTCCTTACTTATCTCTGCTATGAATTACGTTGGACCGTCATGCCACGTCTGAAGAAATGGGAGCTGTCCTGCTCAAGAGATGTTGCGTACAAAGAGTGCTTTGATAACGAGATATGCAAGATAGCACCGGTTCAAGTACTCGAATACCAGCAAGAGGGAACACTACCGTCGTCTCAACAACTGCAGCGATGGAGCGGTAGCTGTGTCTAGCCTACCAACCACAGGACAAGCGACCCTCGATGGAGACTTTGCGCGACATCCTTTCCAACAACATGCACACCCTAGAAAGTCTCGAACTCGCCTGCGTCGTCGACCTTGATTCGCCTCCGACCGCGTTCCGCCTGGACTTGCCCCATATTCGAAGCTTGGCGCTCGGATACATATCCCCTCAAGAGGTCCAACTCGTTCTGCAAGCCTTTGCATTTCCCGCTATCTGCAAGCTAACTATCCAGCCTCACGGAGAATCAAAAGGGACGGTTTACGTCTTTTACAACCTAATGAAATACCTTCCGCTGAACCAGCTACAAGCTTAAGCTCTCGAACTCTGGGGTGCTTGTCTTTGCCCGGCCCTTCCCGGACCGGATCCGGAAGGTTTCTCCATGCATATCGCTTCTTACTATTGTTCTCGGTGATAGTTTTCAAATATCAGGATGATGCCTGCCCAATGACTTACCAATGACTACCGGAAATCATACCTGATATCACTGTAGTTGATCGTAGCTAGTACCTTGTGGATCGTTGTGATGGTCCCGTCAATCGTAAGTTCTTTGGTAGATGAGTTCCCCGGGATGATGAAATCAAAGCCAACAGACCCCGGAGACACGACTGAAAGAGTTCTGAAGATCACGACGTGTAAGCACCTTACACACACACAGATTGATCTGTAACAGTACGAGCCTGGGGAAATGGGTTACAGATAGAAAGTAGGAACAGCAATCGAAAATTGTTCTGAACCTGCTCAACGCAAATAGCTACAAGTCCTGTTCTGCTTCTCGTTTTACATCGAACCAGATCATACACATACTAACGTCCCGTCTTTCCTCCAGGCATGATGCGAGGACGTTCGCGAGAACCTTGACGTCCGTGGTATGAATACGACGGCGGTAAACCCCTTTCTGAGTCAACCTCCTGATTCCAGGCCGAACTAGTCCCGTCGAACACACGAGACGGGTGTATACCCGACGATGCATACGCAGGGGATAGTTCAGAAAGAGTCGGCAGAATCAAAACACCATCAAGTTTGCGCTCTTCGCGAGACATTCCAAGGCCTTGGGGTTGTCCGATAGCAACGATCGACGATCTATGATCATTGAAAGGAGAAAAATCTTTTGTTATCTCTATCAGTTGCATTCGTTGACGTCGACGGCGCCAGATGGATAGGGGGATGAGAATTCCAGCCGCGAGAGCTACACCGTCGAAAAGACCTCCAACCCCTGCGCGTGCTGCGACAGATTTTGCATGATTGGTGCTCCTGGAGACGAAGTAGTAAGTATATTTGCATAATCTGAACGATGATAGATCAGGCTGCTTACACAGTTCCTGGAGCTAGACAATCTGTCGGACCAAAGGCACCAACATGCAAAGGTCCATTCGCCCAGAGCTTTCCTTCAGAGCTTACCATTGACATATAGAATGGCATTGCACGGGGCTGAAGGTTACATATCGAATCAGCTCTTACAGAAATTTCGTTATCGAACAAGACTTACAAGAGAAACCGTCCAAGTGATTGGATCCATAGTATTCGAGGTTAAGTTGAACGGAGGATGGAGTGCGGGTGCAATCTGAATGTAGTCTTAAGCATGCATGCTAAGTTATTAGGTTGTAGTAGCATCACTGGCTTACCGTGAGTGTGAATGGAGGCGTTCCTTCGTTGGGTGTTACAGATACATCGGTGCACTGAGGTTTAAATGAACGATATATTGGTAGATGGTCCTAAAAGATAGAGAAGCCTTATACCTGATTGATAAAACCAAACCGAGACATAGGACCGCTAGGCTGGGACACTGTCCCATTTGCAGACAGAACCGCAGAGGTGACATTCGGACAGCTAACGTTCGTACCGTTGGAGTTCGGTATCATAGTGTACATGTCTTGACATCCTCCCGAAACTCCGTTGACATCAAACTGCAAACCAAAAATCAGATGGATTAGATTTGATGTGTTGCCACAGTGCATACCATACATATTTGGTACTGAATTGTATCGAAGACATGAGATTCGAGATCACTGATGGAGGAAAACGTACCTGAGCTCCAGGGGGGAAAGGTACCGCCCAATCCTAGTGGATGAGAGATATTCAGTTTCTAGAATCGTTGATTAGAATGTACGCACAAAGCTCAGCCCGCTACCAGCGTCGATGACGCTTGCCGTTTCGCTTGTTCTATACAGTAGTCAGATATGTATCTGAACGTGGAGGTGCTTCTCACGAAGTGTACACCAAGAGGGAATATGGAGCGACGGGATTTTGTCTAGCAGATTGTTTCAGTAAAGGTACCCCAACCGAGTCGTCACAGAAACTTACCCAATAGCTTGAGATCGATCCCATTTGAGGTGGATGACTTCACATTGCTCTATAGCAATTGAGGCATTGTCATAATAAAAAGCAGAATTCGTTACGAGTAAGGAGGATCGGGACCGGCTCATCCGCCTTGTTATAATCGAAAAAGAAACCCTATGTTCCACATAACTTGAGTGGTATCGTTTCGAGACGTGCATACAGAAACACACCGGTTCCAAGAACGGTACAACCTCGGCGGCTGCGAAATGAACGAGGATAACAGTCAAAACCTGCAAGACCGTCAACATAACGAAAAGGAGAGAGCGTAAGAACAGGAAGAAACGAGGCAGCTTACTTGTCAAGATATCAAGTTCTTGAATCTTTGACGAAGCTACACCATTGGCTAGGGGGTATACCGTTGGCTAGGGATTATACCGTGAGAGATTATTCCAGATGTGTCTTAAATGCGTGAACAGTAGTCCTCGGCCATCGTTTTTTTGATTTACAACGCACAAAGGTGGTAACTGCGAATAAGAAGGATTCAATAGGATTCAATCAATACTAAACACGTTGTCACATCACCTCATCAGGAAAAAGCCTTTTGCTACATATCTGCCACTCAGGTATACATAGTCTATGTATATCCGGTAGCGGCTGTAGCAGGTGCTCAGTAGTACGTAGCAGTACATAGTGTTCCATATGCACTGGTGGGGACTACATAGATAGCAGTATCCTTGAGCAGGAGTTACAGAATACTACCATCATGGCCGGTATTTATGAAGTTTCTTCAGACCTTTTGATAATGAAAGCAGACAATGGTTGCCATGTCGGCTATCGGACTGGAGGAAGTTGTTTATCAGACCACAGCCGGGAGCAGAGGATTGGTCAATGAAGCTTGTAGTGGATGTTTGACCTATGCCCCATAACATACGGAGCAGTTACGATGGACTCTATCTAGCTTCAGTGTGTACTGCAGCGAGAATTCGGAGTAGCAGAAATTTGCTAAGTCCATTTGAAACTCCGATTGTGCACGTGCATAATCAACAAGATCACGCCATCGGATTTCGATCAAATCCAACCAACCTTTCTTCCTTTCCTCCATTTCCGCGCACTCTTCCCCCTTTACTCTTTCCTCATTTGTGGTTCTATCTTCTTTTCTCTTAGCGATGCAGCTAGCTGATCGATACTTGATGAATCTCCGTACAGAATTTGTGCTCCTTGGATCCATAAGCGTGTCACACAGTTAGGCTTTGAACATCATAGCTACTTTTCAACGTGCGTGCCCTTTCTCTGACACGCTCTGACATGGCTTGTATTTCAGGCAGCAACATCTGGGTAGGATGTCCTGTACTAAAGGTTGCTGGTAAGTGCCTCAACCATAACGCCGTGCGTCGTCGCTGATTTCGTGCTTTTCATAGGAATCTTGTTCTATCGATGTCTTGGACTGGAACGTACGTACCTTGAACTGTTTTAGCATTGATTGTTCTCATCATTGTCTCCAGGGTTCAAACAAGCCATAGATGCCCAACGGCTGTAAGTGTAATGGTACCAAAGATCGGTGTCTCACATCGCCCAAGAACTGGCCATCATCACCCCCATCCCCGAAGCCTCCCCCAGCAAACCTGCACCATCGTAAGTTGTTCTGCCGAGCTTTTATTGACCGCTACTAATGCCTCTGTCGGTAGAATGAAAGCCTACTTTATGATGGCGGGATGGATCGAGATGGTACTTACATAGATCGGCTGGGAATCAGAAGTTGTAAGTGGTCTAGTGCAGGTGACATTGTATACCAGTGTAGTAGCTAGTTCCAATCTATCGATTTGCATCGTCTTATGGGCTGTATTCACCAGAGTATATCTTGGTATGTAAGGATACAGTACTGATACAGTCGCAATACGGTAGCTTCAGTGAGGTGCTATCATCCGCTACAGGCTGCTACGTACTCTGAGTGGTCCGCTACAAGCCACTACATATGGGGGACTGTGCTACGGCGCTACCTGTGCTACATAGCCTACGTACCACAATGTAGCGAAGTGGGTTTTTCCTGATGCTCAACTGACGTACCGAAGCTTTTAGATCTGATAGTGACCTCCAGGGCTGGCTTTAACTTCCTCGTGATCACGAATAGGGCAGAGGCCTTATTGAATCTCATGTGCATGCCTGATGCTGAGTTCGCTGGCTATTGGCTTCTGATAAATACGTAGTCAGCATATATATGTTGATTAGTTGATGCCGGCGCACCCCGACACCTTCCTGATTGAGCTTTTTGAGTCTTGAAATGAAATTCATTTATTCAGCTTTTAGAGCCCTGCGGAGTGCATTGAATATTGATCTGCGGTTTTGGCTATTTAGCGTTCAATGTTGAACGAAGAGCCAACGCGTTACCTTCAAACTCGCGGCAATATAAACCGTCTGCAAACAAATTTATCATTCGCATGGTATTAAGCACTGTCGCAGTAGAGGCAACGGTCAAGAAAGTACGCCATTTGCCCTCACATACTCGTAATGCACCTATTGGGCGTTGCTCGATGCACCGACTCTCGTAAGTATCCATTGATTTCCTACTGTCAACATTCACTTCGTGAATCAAGCACTGAATACTGGGAGGTTGCCATCTCAAGGTATTCGGGACACCGATTCAAGTGACTCAACACCGGCTTCGGACGTAGTGCCTGAGAATAGCTGGGCGTTTTAACTAACTACCAACAGTACGCCCCGAGGCAATTGAGGGCATAAGTCATGCAATATACGACCCTACCAGTCACTCTATTGGAGTGGGCCCCATGCAGGCTGGGCAGTGGTTCCGAATATCTTCTTTCATCATCAGCATTCAAGAGTCGTCATTTTCAATACACTCACCATACTCAACATCGACACTCAACACACCACCCTATTCATTAATAAATGTAATTGATGAAGTATAATAGGTACAGATACATTTTAATACTTACTGATAGATCACCACTAAGACCCAAGTAATACAAAAAATAAATAGTCCGAAGGTATCTAGGCAAATGGGGACATGGAAGGCGATGACCTGGTAGGCGAATGATTAGACCAACAGCTAGGGGTAGAACAGGAAAGACAAATACCTTTCGCTCTCCGTCCAAACAACTTCGTCAACTCTTTTCTCTAGCCACTGGATAACATCCCCTCCAATGCCTTGGCTATCGTACAACTCGAGCCGCTTCAGCCTAACAGGTGACAAACCATTGACGACAGTCCCTGTGGCACCACCGTCGGGATTTCGGCCTTCCACGGCTTGAACAAGCTTTGCCCATCCCTCATGCCCATGACAACTCCTCAACCCTAGTTCCTTCAGCTTAGGACACAGCCACGCGTTTGCAACGACAGTGCTCCCCATCACACCAATCGCCACCGCGCCGGTCATCATCTCCTCGTCTGGCATGCCAAGCCCTGCCATGAGTACATCTAGATGTGAACCACCCACACGGAGACTTTCAAGATGGGGGAGATCATTCAGGAATAACCATGACACAACCACACCTCCCGAGCCATAATAGAACGGCGGCGAGGATGCAGATACTGTGTCTGGAATGGACCCCTCCGCATGATGTCCTGTACCGTAACCATATGCGATTCCGAGATGTTTAAGGTTCATCGCGGTTGACGGCGTCTTCGCGAGAAGAGTTTGGATGTATTCTTCGATAGACTCCCGTGCTTCAATATCGAGATTCAACTCTTCGAGGTCCGGTAAAACGAGGGACTCGACAAGGTTCGTGAGCATATAGTGCCCTCCTAGATTGAACTCCTTCAGATGGGGGAGTGTCAACTGAGAGAGGGGTAGGATGGGAGGCAGTACTGTTTGGAAGTGAAGAGAAACGCGCTCCAGGGAATGCTGATTTGCATGAAGAATATGGAGAATTTGGTTCAGAGGGTGCTGTGAGGCAGGTAGAGCGCGGAGATTGAGGTTTCGGAGGTTGCTTTGGAAAAGAGGCGAAGACCACTTGAAGGGAATGTATTGTAGAGTCACGGTGTCTAAGACGGGCACCACCTGCTTTGTAGATGGAGTATTGGGAAGCCACGCCCAGTGATCAGGATAGTAAACAGACTCCGCAGCTGACACTTCAAAGTGCTTCAGCAAGGGAGCGTCGCCTACCAAAAATATTCAGACATGCCCTAACAAGTGATCTTTATTTAAACCCACCTGTAATTGATTTGAGGGCGAGCATGGAAGGGAATTGGCGGTCGAATCGGAACACAAATCGCTCCCAACGGTGCATTTGCTCGACGAGGTAGTAGACCGCTACGAACCCCCATGGTGTACCGCGACCCCAAGCTGACTTATCGCCGCGTGGACGATCGCTGGGATATGACGGTGGAGATGAAGGCACCCAAACATCATGACTGTGATGCGATGATGGAGACATGGGTATGATGATGGGAGTGTTCGCAGGCGGAAGCACTCCTGTAGGAGATATCACGTATGAAGGTCCTGAAGATGGAAATGACACTGGGTATAGGAACGATGTCGGAGGTGAAGAGGACCGTCGCCTCCGACGGCTACTAGTTGGGACATCATTGGTACCTTTTGCAACATGGAGGTATATCTCAATGTCCAAAGGCACTGATGATCCTGATCGTTCGAGCCAAAGTCTAATGGTTTCTGGAGAGGAGGTAGGAGTTGTGACAAGGCGTATCTAGGAAACGATCAGAGACGGGTAGACGCGGGGAAAAACATAAAAGAACGGGGGAAAAGCAACAAAGAAAACGGGGTTAAGAAGAAATGTGCATGTTTCTGTCCTCGCGGCATCGATTTGAAAAACACGACGTCCGATGTCTTTGGTCTACTGCACCGGTGCAACAGGTGGCGTCAAGCTGGATCACAGCCGTTGGAGAAATCCTGCATGTAGAACAGGACAAGACGATGCCTCTTTCTGCCGACAGAAGAACCATCATCTGTTCGACACTAGGGACCCGAACGGTGGCGGAGACATCATTGAAAAATGAGGCTACAGCCAGCCAATGCAGGGACGCCGAAAATGAATGCATTGTCGACTAGATCCGCATGGCCGTGACTGCTGAGACAGCCGGACGTCTCAGAACCCCGGACGACGAAAAAGCACCGAAAGTTGCCACCGTATCTCCAGAACAAGATAGAAGGAGAGAATTTGGAAGAATGGAATAACAAAAAGGAATACTCACTTTGGCCCATATCCGGGGCATTGTCAAAGCCAATCGCCTCCAGTTCACACAGACAGACGCCAGAACCCATGCACAGCAAGGGTGGTCCTCGAAGCACCAATAAAAAACGTCTCGTAAAAGTTCCATCGGCAGACGTCTCATC